CAGCACCTCCAGCACCAGCAGTAGCTCCAGTACCTCCAGTAGTACCTCTAGGCCTAGTAGCTCCAGTACCTCCAGCTCCAGGACCTCCAGAAGGACTCGCAGCACCCCCAGAGTCAGCACCCGAAGTCTCAGCACCCCCAGAGTCAGCACCCAAAGTCTCAGTACCCCCAAGCTCAGTACCCTCAGGCTCAGTACCCTCAGTCCCAGCACCCGCAGGCTCAGTGCCCTCAGTCCCAGCACCCGCAGGCTCAGTACTCTCAGTCCCAGCACCCGCAGGCTCAGTACCCTCAGTCCCAGCACCCGCAGGCTCAGTACCCTCAGTCCCAGCACCCGCAGGCTCAGGACCCTCAGTCTCAGCTCCAGTGTCCACTGCAGAAGGCTGCAGAGGCGGGAAACCAGGGGGGGTAGCCAAACGAGGAGAGCAGTCACCCCCAGACGTACCACTCCCAGGCCCAGCTCCAGCAGCCTCAGCTCCAGAGTCCACAGCAGCAGGCTGCGGAGGTGGCGAAGACGGCCGAGGCGGGAAACCCGGGGGGGTCTCCAAGCGAGGAGTGTGGCGAGTGGTCGCCGTGTCGTCGGCGGCGGTGTCACCCCCCTCAGCTGGGTCAGAGGAGTCAGAAGAGATCTCCACTGGCTCATCCAAGGGGGGTGGGTCTACCTGAGACACACCTGAGGGAGCAGGACCCTGTGGGGGAAGGGGGTCTACCGGGGGGGGGACTGATACCAGGAAGAGAGGCGCGAGGGGGACCGGGTGGGACGCGTGTGGGTGAAGTCGGTAGTAATAGACCGACTCGTCGAAGGTGACGTCCTGAGAGGACAGAACACGACGCGAGGCAGGGTGGTAGAACTGCCAGGGTGGAGCGTCGGTGGGGAAGCCCAGGAAGACACAGCGAAGAGTGCGAGGAGAGAGCTTGCTCGCTTTGGTATCGCGAACAAGGGAGAGCGCGCCCCAGACCCGAAACGACGACGCATCACCAGGCTGTCCCGTCCAACGGAGTGTGGGCGAGGTCTCTGGAGCAGAGACACGGGGCCAGAGGTTGAGCTGATGCGCGGCGTATCGGACCGCAAACGGCCACAGGAAATGGGGAGCAGCCGCTTGGATCATGGAGGTACGAGCAACCTCCATGATCAGGCCAATGCGACGCTCAGCGATCCCATTTTGCTGCGGAGAGGCCGGAAGCGTGAACGACTCGGCGATGCCCTCATCCTGGCAGAACGTCTCAAGGACGCCAGAGGAGAACTCACCACCCCTGTCAGAGTGCAGACGCAGGACTGGGAAGTCCTGCTGAAAGCGCTCGTGCAGCTGGAGACGAGTAGCACGGATCCAAGGGATCAAAACACCGCTGACGTCCGCCTTGTGATGCAAGGGGAAGACTGTGGTGTAGCGTGTGTAGTCGTCAACAACCAGCAGGAAGTAGCGCTCCAGGTCCGTCCCACCGACGGGGGCCGGGCCCCACACGTCCAGGTGGAGAGTCTGCAGAGGAGCAGTGGTCGGAGGAAACTCGAAGGAGTGAGGAGCGGCGCGCTGCCGCCCCTCGACGCAAGGAAGGCACGGCGGGGCAAGCGAGCGCGGTAGGGGGGGCAAGGTCCTGGGGAGGCCACAGACAAGGAGACGGGAGTGCATACTGCGTAGACGCTGCAGGGAGGGGTGACCAAGACGGTGGTGCCAGCGCTGAGTCTCGTGCGTGAGTACTCTGCACGAGCAAGACGCAGCTAACTGCCCCGACGCAGACGCCCGACTCGACGCAGCCACCTGACCTGACTCAGCCACCTGTGCAGACGCAGTGGTCAGTGTGTACAGACTAGACCTAGGCTGTCGAGTGAACGTAGCCAGGTGACGGCCAGTCCGGGAGCAGATCGCCACACGCTGCCCTCCAGGAATAAAGGTATCAACACAGACATCCTGAATGGCAGCGTTGCTCACCAAGTTCGTCGAGAACGTGGGGAGGTGGAGACCTGACAGAGAGCCGGAGGGGACTGCTGGACAAGGGAGGACCGTGGAGGCTCTCGCAACTACAGGGCCCCCAGAGGGGTCAGCCAGTGAGACTGGGACAGGTGCTGCGAGTGGTGTGACTGTGGTGCAATCACGAAAGAAGCAACGTGACGCACCTGAGTCAAGCGTGAAAGTGTGCAAGACCTCAGCTGAGGCAGGACCTGTGGCAGTAGACGCACTAGCACCTAGAGCGTCGGCAGACTCACGGGCACCTAGAGCTGCAGCAGACTCACCAGCACCTGGAGCAGCAGCAGACTCACTAGAACCGAGAGCAGGAACCTCTACACAGCCAGGGACGCATCGCTGAGAAGCACAGTCGCAACGTCGCTTAGGCCATGTATATCCAAAACCTCCACCATCAGGACCAGCTCGCTGAACAACCCACTCACGAAGCTGCTGAGGGGTGGGGTCGTCCGGAAGAGGCAGTGCCCGCTGCTGTCCACCCCTGGTCGCAGCAACTGCCGCGATAGTGGCCATGACAGACAACGACGGTCAGGAGTAGGTCCAGCACCTCCAGCTCCTCCAGCACCAGCAGCACCTCCAGCACTCCCAGTAGCACCTCCACCAGCAGCAGCAGTAGCACGAGTAGCAGCAGTAGTAGTAGTAGCAGCAGCAGCAGTAGTAGTAGTTTTTTTTTTTTTTTTTTTTTTTTTTTTTTTTTTTTTTTTGGGTTTAGGGTTGCGCGCGGCCCACGGGCTGCAGGGGCGACGCTCGGCTCGGCAGGGCGGCGCGCGGGATGCAGGGGCAGCGCCCACAGGCTGCAGGGGCGACGCGCAGCTCGGCAGGGCGGCGCGCGGGCTGTAGGGGCGGTGCGCGGCTCGGCAGGGCGGCGCCCAGGCTGCAGGGGCGACGCTCGGCTCGGCAGGGCGGCGCGCGGGCTGCAGGGGCAGCGCCCACGGGCTGCAGGGGCGACGTGCGGCTCCGCAGGGCGGCGTACGGGCTGCAGGGGCGACGCGCGGCTCTGCAGGGCGGCGTACGGGCTGCAGGGGCAGCGCCCACGGGCTGCAGGGGCAACGCGCGGCTCGGCAGGGCGGCGTGCGGGCTGCAGGGGCAGCGCCCACAGGCTGGAGGGGCGACGCGCGGCTCTGCAGGGCGGCGTACGGGCTGCAGGGGCGACGCGCGGCTCTGCAGGGCGGCGTACGGGCTGCAGGGGCAGCGCACACGGGCTGCAGGGGCAACGCGCGGCTCGGCAGGGCGGCGCGCGGGCTGCAGGGGCAGCTCCCACGGGATGCAGGGCGACGCGCGGCTCGGCAGGGCGGCGCGCGGGCTGCACAGGCAGCGCCCACGGGCTGCAGGGGCGAACGCGCGGGCTGCAGGGACAGCACGCGGGCCACAGGGGCAGGCACGGCTGCAGGGGCAGCACGGTCGCAGGGGCAGGCACGGCTGCAGGGGCAGCACGGTTGCAGGGGCAGGCACGGCTGCAGGGGCAGCACGGTCGCAGGGGCGAGTACGGCTGCAGGGGCAGCACGGTCGCAGGGGCGAGCACGGCTGCAGGGGCAGCGCGGTCGCAGGGGCAGCACGCGGGCTGCAAGGGCAGCGCGGCTGCAGGGGCAGTGTAGGAAGAAAAAAATTACGGTTAGGGCAGGGCGGAACGTTCGGTGGGCCCTAGGAACGATTCTGCTCTAATACCATGTTAGAATAAGCAGGAATGAATGAGTGAACTAGGCAAGAGGTGAGTACAAGTAAGGGAAACCTAACCCTAAAGTGTTGTACTCACTAAGGAGTGACCCTACTGTAGCCTAGAGATACAATTGTAATTTGACACGTGTGACGTCATTTTGCAGGGATGTGCGTTCTGCCGTCAGTGTTGCGATTTCTTCAGAACTTTCGCGGAGTTGCCGCAGCAGTTCGTTCAGACGCTCCTGCGTGAGACTCGTGACGTCAATGTGCTCAGCCATGTCGAAGGGCGTCGGCTAAGCTTAGTCTAGGCGCAGTCGTGGCTGCACGCGTTTACGAGAGAACGCGAGGACAGTGGCTCCTAGGTTCTAAGGGGCGTGAGTCCCTTCGAGCAAAAATCAAAAGTTGATTTCCTGAGGTGCGGAGATGCGCGGTCCGAAAGGAAAGTGGCTCTGATACCAAGTGTTACGGGTGCAATGGAATGAAGTAGCGAGGATTGCACTAGAGTATCAAAAGAGTAGAAAGTATGAGCGAAGGCATGAGCGAATACTTATGTGCGAAAACATGCAACGGTTACGCGGTGCGTGCGAGCTAGCTAGTGCTACGCTGGCATGGAGGTTCAGGCTAGTCCCGAAGCGTAGGCCGACTCGGCTGGGCCAGCAGTGCAAGGTTTGGTGAAATAGTGCGCGCGAAGTTGGCGAAGCCCCGTTAGCAGCAACGGGCGAACTGAGCTGCTGCTGTACGCGATGTTGATGGTCGCGGTAAGGAATGTCGAGAAATTTCCTTACACTGCCACTCCACCAACGCTTGTTGTCTCGACTCGAACCTTGTCGGAGAAGCATACATCGAATTTCGACTCGCAAAGAATCCAAGAATCGGCTGACGTCAGCGACCCTGCAAGATGTGCAGTGCAGGGCGAAAGTTGTTTCACGACGCAACTTCTCCACACGTTCTGCTGTATCCAGGTTCGGCCTGGGTGTCTTGCCACGCCACCAGACCAGAGCCAGCCATGTCAGCCATAATTGCCACTAGTCCTGCTAGTCACGCTCCGAGCCTTGATTTTCAGGCGTGCTGGCGTCATCCCTGTGGCCCACCTTGTGCTAACGTGGCACCAACCTCTTGAATTTTGCCATCAGCTTTGTGGATCCTCCTCGTGAGCACTTCATGTTGAGGTTTGCCTCGCCCACAACAAGGGTCATGCGGGAATGATTATTAATGATGCCGAAGAGGAATCTGCTTGATGATGCTCGAAAGTCCTAGAATTCCCTTCTCCCGCTGCTCGCCGTTTATAATAACTCATAACTCCATTCTCCAATTACCGGGACTCTTATTCCACACCTTCGGTTTCGCCTCCCTTTGAATACTCCCGACGACGCACTAGCTGTTCGCGATGGCCGCCGAAGTCGGAGAGGGTAACTGCATCGGCTATGCCGCCAGGGATCAGTCGGGATTCCTCTCACCCTTCAAGTTCAACCGCAGGTTCGACTCACTTTCTTCAGATCTTTCAACCATTTCTGCCGGAGCCGTGCCTCACCACGCGTTATCACTGCATGTGTCATTACCTGCCATTACCGCATTATCAAATTATGTGTCATGGTCGCTTTCGTTCTGCGAATCCATTCCTTTCGCCATCCACCAGATCTTGGAATCAAGGCTCTTGTTGAAACATTTCTTATTCCCGACGTACCTCACCACGCGAATGATACAAACATCATCACGACATTTTCCCAAACCGCTTGCCGCTGCTCGCTGCTTTCTTAATCGCGCGACATCTCTTACTCCTTCCGATGCGTCGCTCTTACTCCTTCGGGGACAGCGACTTTTCTACCCACAGTGGATCCCAAGGACGTGCGCATGTGTGGCTCTTGAGTCAAGGAGTATACCCAAAAGCATCCCTACTCGTTCGGTTTTGTCGCTCGCAGGGAGGTGGGCCCCAAGGACGTGCGCATCCGCATCACGCATTGTGGCATCTGCCACAGCGACGTCCACCAGGCCAAGAACGAATGGCGCAATTCTCAGTACCCCATGGTCCCGGGGTACGTGTCCATAATCCGCTACTATTTTTTTTTCCATTTTAAGTTGCTTCTTGTGCTTTCTCTCCTAGCCTTCCCGCTTTTTTCTAGGTGCCTCCTCTAGAACCTCGTGTTCAATACCTGGTGATCCCCTTCCCTTTACCATCCCTCCTCCCTCCCCGCCTCCCCTCCCCTTCCTCTTGACAGGCACGAGATTGTGGGGGTGGTGGAGGCGGTGGGCTCCGAGGTGACCAAGGTGGCGGTGGGGCAGAGGGCGGGCATCGGGTGCATGGTGGACTCGTGCCACACGTGCCAGGCATGCGTGCAACACGTGGAGCAGTTCTGCCCCGAGCGCGTGTACACGTACAACCAGTTGGACCCCAAGACGGGCGAGGTCACCAAGGGCGGCTACTCCTCTTTCTACGTGTGCGACCAAGAGTACGTCTCTTGATCCTCTCGCTTCTTGGACCAAGAGTACGTCTCTTGAACCTCTCGCTTCTTGGACCAAGAGTACGTCTCTTGAACCACTCTCGGCCTTCACAAATGTTGCAGGGTGGCCTCTCCCCCTTCCCGTGCCTCCTGCTATTCGCGTCAAATTCGCGAATCTCGCAACTCCTGCTTGAGAAACCAGCGTTTGGCATTTCGCGTGTTCCACCTCCCCCCTCCCCCTCCTCTTCTCCCCGCAATATCCACAGCTTCGTGCTGAGTATCCCCGACAAGCTACCGTCAGACATGGCAGCGCCGCTGCTGTGCGCGGGAATCACGGTGTACTCGCCCTTGGTTTACTACGGCGTCAACCAGCCGGGCAAGCGCCTCGGAGTCGTGGGGCTGGGCGGGCTGGGCCACATGGCGGTGAAATTCGGCAAGGCGTTCGGCATGCATGTGACGGTGCTGAGCACGAGTCCGGGCAAGGAGAAGGAGGCCAAGGACGTGTTGGGCGCTGATAGGTTCATTGTCACCAAGGATGCTGACGCGATGAAGGTGAGAGAATGTGGTTCTGAGAGGCGCGATGCTAGTGACAGAGTGTCGAACATTCGAGAGAGTGTACTGGAGGGTACAATTCTAAATCGCGGGATGACAAGCAGAGCCATGGCACACAGAATTATTTTTATCACAAGCAACTGGATATCCATTTACAACGAAATAGCTTAGATTCATAGCGGAAAGTGATATTCCTTGGCACTCTTTCCCACCACCATCAGGCAGCAGTGGGGTCATTGGATGCCATAGTGGACACGGTATCAGCGCAGCACGAGCTGGCGCCATACCTGGACCTTCTCACATTCAACGGCAAGATTATCCTTGTTGGCGTGCCCCCGGAGCCCTACAGCCTGCATGCCAGCCAGCTCATCGGCTGTGAGTCATGCTTGTCCATGCCTGTCAGTTGATTTGCTAGTCTGCAATATAGGGGCATTTTTTTGTTTTTTGTTTTTCTTTGTTTTTTTTTCCTATGAGTGCTCTTGATCTTTCTTTCCCTCCGGTTCGCAACTTGCAGCCCGCAAGACTCTGGCTGGTAGTTTGATTGGAGGGATCAAGGAGACTCAGGAGATGCTGGAATTTTGTGCGGAGAAGGGGGTTACACCAATGATTGAGACTATTGCCATTCAGGACGTGAACAAGGCATACGAGAGGATGGTTAAGAACGATGTGAAGTATCGCTTTGTCCTTGATATCGAGAAAAGTTTTAAGTAGAATCTTGTAATCACTGAATGATGAGTGGAAAATTATACCAATTTCTCTTATTATGTATAGATGAATTTTGTTAGCACATACTTTTATATTCCTGTGTAGTCATTCGAATCTGTACCGTGTTTATTTTAGCGAGGTGTAGAACAGAAGCACCACAACCACGGGAAAATATGCACAAGTAACCAACTTGGGACTCGATAACGTGAATGGTAAAAAACGCGTACGGTCACTGTATCGGGTTTTCTGACAGGTTTGGCGAGTGGGGTCACGGATTCAGTCACTAACAACAGGTAAAAAATCACGCGAATGGTCACACATGTAACTCCCGCCAAAAAAACAACTCAACAGAATTCCCGGTCGCGCCCAACCAATCTGCTAACTTCTAACAAAACTAAAACCCAATCGGAATCGTATGCAACTTGGGAACGGATCAACCCTAAACACCTGGCGAGTTACGTGTTTAGGGCTGATTCATCCGAAAATGCATCCAGGTTCCTTTTGGGTTTCATTTCGTTTTGGCGGGAGTTTCATCTATGACCATTCGCGTTATTTTTTACCATTTGATAGTGACTGATTACGTGAAACGCTTTATCAGTCGCGTGAAAACACTCTTTTCAGTGACCGTACCCTTTTTTTTCTTACCAACTATGTTATGGAGTCCCATGCTGGTTACGAATGGCATATTTTCCCCCACAACCACTCCCCTTGCCGCAACCCGCTATCTCAAGCAAGTTGCGCATCTCCTCGCGCGGGAATCAACCCACCAACTCTGTCCACCCTGCCTGACCCTCGTCACCATCGATTTTCCCAAACCACCCAGCCATGACAATCTCGATGGGGATTGTAGGTGAGGTGGATGGCTCACACCTTTCCATACATCGTGCTGGTTGCCTCGATTTCTCATCGTCCCTCGCTTGATCCGCTTTGCTTGATTTCCATCGCGCTTTGCCCAAGTCTTTATATGACAGCACTGGTTCCAGTTGCTGCGAGAATTGTTTCGAATCAGGGTTCCATCTCTTATCGGGCGTACAGCTCTTCCTATCACCCACCTCCCTGTTTGCTAAGTACCCTCCATTCCGTTTTTTCTTCAAGCTTAGCTTGCTCACGCTCCCAAAGCTAGGAGCTTTTAGTGATTTTTCTGCCTCCTGTGTGCGCGCTACGCTCGACATTGTCCCGCACCAGCCGCTGCGTCTCACGGAATAAGTTAACCATTTTACCCGCGTCGCCGCGTCCACTAATATGTTCTGTTGCTTTTGTCGCTCGCGAGCCGCGGACGATGACGACGACTACGCCACGTCACTACCCCCCGCTCCCGCGAACCGCAAGCACGCCGCGCCAACCGCCAGCGGAGCATCCGCGGGCGTGCACGAGTTCGCGAGCCAGATGGCGGCGGCGGACGACCGCGTCGCCATGTCGTCCGTCGCCGTGCTTCACGCCGCGCAGATCCGCAGCATCCGCTCCGAGAATGCCGGCGACGCGAGGCCCGTCGGTACGCCGCCAAGCCGTGGCGGGAGTCGCGGAGCGACTCCGCGAGAGTCGCAGCGGTCGCCGGGTGTCGCCGGCGATTGGAATCGGAGTTATCAAGGCCAGTCCACCCCAGGCGCAGCGTCCGGTGCGGGCTTTGGGTCGAATGCTGCCGCGGTGGGAAGCGGAGTTAGCGGGAGCGGGTTTGGCGGGGCCGGTGGGGTCCATAGCATGTCGGAGCCTCGAATCGCGACACCTGGAGCTGCAGGAGACAAACTACCGCTATCGCCTTTATCGGGTATGCTTATAACGGGCCAGGCGCAAGGTCACAGTTACAGCCCCGCACAGGGGGGGCATCATCACGCGCAGTATGCGCACCAGGGGGAGAGCGGAGGGGCGGGCGGGGGCGCAAGCGGGGGTATTGGCGCAGGCAGAGGCGGAGGCGGCGCAGGGGGAACGGGTGGCGCAGTTACGATGGCGAGCGGACCTGGGACGCAGCGCCCCGTGCCAATGGCGTCGAGCGCGGCCGCGTCTGCGCCGGGTCGCGCGCGGATACTCGCGTGGCTTCAGGAGTCAGAGTTTAACTACGCGATAGTTGACGAGGTGGATAACCTTCCTACGAAGCTTCCTTCGTCAGCCGGTAAAGGGACGAGCAGTGCCGCCGGTGATAGCGACGCTGTGACTGTAGGCGGAGGTGACAGCAGCGGGGGCACGAACAGCACGAGAGAAGGCAGCCACGACCCCTTTAGACCTGCACTCTCCAACCCTGACGAACCCGCTATAGAGAAACTCGGTTCGTTCTTATCGAGCCTCCTAAACGGGTGCTATGATGACGCCAGCAGCCCCGCGCCTCCCCCGCAGCCGGGCAGCAGCAATCAGCCGTTCGATCCGTTCGCGAGTTCTAGTAACGCGGGGTCGTGGCGCAGAGAGACCGCAGTTATGACCCTACCGGGGTCCAGAAAGGATCTGCCTCCTGCCGCACCACTGTTTGGCTCGACTACAGCAGCATTAGGAGGGGGGAGAGGGGGGGGGGGAGCAGGGAGGATTGCGGGAGGAAGAGCAGGAGGCGCAGCAGCAGGAGCAACCCGAGGAGCAGCAGATATAGGAGGCACGGGCGTCGGGCGTTTAGGTTCTGTTGTTGGTTCTCTAGCTGCTCCGGCTGCTGCTGCTTCTGCTTCTGCTGCTCGTGATAACGGTGCTGGCGTTGCTGCCGCTGCCCCCTCTTCTCCCCTTCCTTCTGCCACGGCTGCCGGCACTGCCACATGCAATCCATCAGCAGTGCGCACGTGGAAAGACAGCGCTGACGCTACCTTGCTCAGCGCTAAGTTTCACTCGCAGGCTCGGACCGCTGGGCCTACAGGCTTGGGATCGGGAGCCGCGCTGTCCCCTGCTGCTGCCGCCGCTGCAGCTGCTGCCACGGCGGCGGCGGCTGCAGCAACGATGGCGGGCGCGGGCGCGGGGGCAGACGCGCGTATGGGCGCAGGGGAGGTCTGCGCTCGCAGCCCTGCGCCAGCTGCAGCAGAAGCAGGAGAATCGTCATTATCAGCATCAGCAGCAGCGGTAGCAGGAGGAGCAGGAGAGTCAGCAGCAGCAGAAGCAGGAGCAGTAGAGCGTGGGGAAGGGGCAGTGGATTCAGGTGCAAGGGACGGGGCCCCTGCAGGGGGTAGAGATGAAGCGGGTGTAGAAGCAGAGGGGGCGCTTGCAGGTGCTGCTGCTGCTGCTGCTGCAGGGTCTCATGCAGCGGCTGAGGCTGCAACCATAGGAACAGGTGGGGCGGATGGAACAGGTGGGGCAGGTGCCACAGATGGTGCTGACGGCACTGCTGCCATTGGTGGCGCTGGTAGCACAGATTATACAGGTGGTCCTGCTGGTGTTGAAGGTGCTGCTTTGGCAGATGGCGTAGGTGGTGCAGGTGCGGCGGTGGGGCGAGGGCGGGAGCGGGAAAGGGAGGGTCTGCTGGTGCAGGCACTGACCAATCAGATGCGGCAGAACGGGGGAGAGGGGGAGGGGGGCGGCGGGAACGGCGGTAGGGAGAGGGGGAGAAACAGCGGGGAATGGGCATCACAGGCACAGGTGGGGGCAGGGAGAGAGGCAGAGAGCGCAGGGGAGCAGGAGTGGCGGGGTGTGAGCATGAGGGAGGGGCGAGGAGGGGGAGAGAGCGAGCTGGTGAGTCGGTCGGTGACTGAGGCGTCAGCGGGGGATTTATCAGCACTGGCCAGCAATATTGGAGTCACTTTTGAGAGCTCTCAGAAGTAAGATTCAGCAGCAGCCGGTCTGTGTTTGAGATGCCTGCTGGGGGTTTATCAGCAGTTGCTAGCACAGGAGCAGGGCTGGGTGCGAGGGCTGTTTTCAAGGCGCCCCACAAGTGAGTTCAGCTGGGGGTGTGTACATTCTGTGGGTAGCTTTGGAGCAGGGCTGGGTGGGGGGGAAAGGAGGGGCAGATGGGACCGCCACAGGAGTGCAGGCACAGCAGCAGGTGCAGACCTGCCTGTGCCTGCTTAGAGTCGTCAGGAGAGGTATTATGTTGCGGTGGGTTGCGGTACGGTGGGGTTGTGTGGGACACGCTGACAGTGGCAGTGGGAGGTGGGCCGGCTGAGAGGGGAACGCGAGGGAATGGTGCACCCTGAGATGCCTGGAAACATTGCAGCACTTGACCGCTTGTTCACAGTCAAAGTAATGAGAAGATGTGACGCTTGAGTCAAATCACAAGTCAAGCCACCTGTGGTCTGAGTTAGTCTCAGATGTCTCGGATGTTAGTCAGGCAGCAGATTGTTTTGAAGGGTACTGCCCGTGCCTGCTTGCTGCCTTGCTGAATGGCGTGTGGCGTTGGACAGAGTCCTCTGCAGTGTGGTGTAGTGCAGGTGATTTGCTGCATTGGGTTTATTAGTGTAGTTGCACTTACGCAAGCAATTATGTGCAAGGGTATTAGAGAAGAGCTGTAGGTGCAATGTAGGGTCAATGTGGCTGTGGGATATATGCAGCATTTTTTATCCAGTACTAACCTTGATGCACTCATGCTTGTGCAACAGAGGCCGGATGCAACATCCTCATTATAAGCAGTGATGCTGAGCTGGTGGTGAAATGAGGGCATCTCTCTATACCGCAATCCCTGTTCAGCAGGTCAACAGCACAGTAAGGTTAAAAAATATGCACAAGGCAAACCAAGTTTCAAAGCAAACCATGGTTCATGGCATCCACGGTATACCCTACATTGCCTCAATCTTGGAGACATTCCAAAACCAAGCTCGGGCTAAGCAGCATTGGTGCTGCCAGCTTTTGCCTAGTCCAGCACAGCCAGGTGGGGCAGCTGGCACGACACGAGTAGCAAGTTGCAACCCACAGCTGCTTCCCTTCCCACCCCTCTCCATCTTTGAGACATCTCAAAACTAGGCTCAGGTCAAGCAGCAGCGGTGCCTCCTGGTGCATAGTCCAGCACAGCCAGGTGGGGCACTATGAGAGATGCAATCCACAGCTTCCCATCCCTCTCCCTCTTTGATATGTCTCAAACCTGGGCTCAGGCTAAGCAGCGGCATCGGTGGTGCCTCCTGGTGTATAGTCCAGCACAGCCAGGTGGGGCACTATGAGAGACGCAATCCACAGCTTCCCATCCCTCTCCATCACCTCACTCGGCGCCTGCACCCGCTTCCCTGCTCGGTCCTCCAAAATTTCCGTGATCTGCCCAGACGAGTCCACCTCCGCGATTACCCCGTTGGGCAGCCCGAAAATTCCGGCATATAGGAGGAGCGGGTGGAGGTTCAGGCGGAGGAGAATGGAGCGCAGGCGGGGTATGCGGGCGAGGAAATCTGGGGAGGAGGGGGAGATGGGGGTGGGGAGAGGTGGGAAGAGAGTGGGGTGAGGAGGGGAGGGGAGTGGAGGTTGGAGGGATAAGGGAGGTAGGGAGCGAGGGGTATGGGGATTACGATCGAGAGAATGGTGCGGAATGGTGGCATGGGAAATGGCTGGGAAAGGGCTGTAAGTGGGAAAGGGGAGCAGGGAGGAGCATTCCCATACCATAGGCGGAGGTTCGGTAGGCAGGCATGGCGATCCAGAAGCGGCCGCGGGGGTTGAGTCGGGGGTTGTCGGGCACGCCTGGCAAATCCACCATCACCTCGTGGCTGCCTGCCTTGCTGCCCTTGAGCCAATACCGGTTGCACCTGCTCACACATCCGTGCACATGTACATACACATGCAGACACATACGCATACGCGCATACACACACATGAGGAGGTAAATCAAAGCTTTTGGAGGCACGTGCAGGTATACGGAGGTAAGAGGGCGTGCCGCAATAAATACATTAAATCAAATGGCTCGATAACAATCACCTCACCTGCGTCCATGCCAATCTCCCACCTGGCTCGGATGGTCTCGCAATAAACGAGGAAGGAGCGATCCGCAGAGAGAGCTATCCCATTCGCGAAGGCCACCCCCGCCACCAGCTGAGTCACCTCCCCCGTCGCCAGCTCATACCTGTACACTCCGCCGTCCGCCCCGCCGTCCAGAATCATGGAGAGGAAATTCCTGTTGGGCGGCAGACAGGTGGGGAAAGGGGGAGCGAGGATGATTTGAGGATGCGGAAGAGAGTGCTGGTGCGAGGAAGGTGGTGGCGAGAGGAGAGTGGTGGTGGGAGGAGGGAGGGTGGCATTGAGACTTGAAAGGTGGTCTAACAGCGGAGCTAGGCAGGTGGGAAGAATGCAAGCGCGTGAAGAGGAGGACAGGTGAAGGTGTATGGAACGGGGGAGAGAGGGGATGGGGAAGGGGGAAGGGGGAAGTGGGGAGGGGAAAGGTGGAGTGGAGGGACTAAAGAGTGAGATGGGGTTTTTTGTGGGAGCATGCTGTGGAGGAGAGGAGGGAGATGGACGAAATGCAGTGAGCAGGGCTTTGCCTACCTCATCTCGTATTTCGTACTCGTTACAGTGAAATACACTGTTCCGTTTGCATCCTCCGCGTCAATATCAAGGTCGTTGACAAACGACACCTTCTGCCCGTCCACCAGTTTCCCCCCAACCAGCTGCTCCGCCAGACCCCCTTTTAAGCCAACCCGATTCAGCCCATAGTACGCGTCCGCGATATAAAGCTCTCCGGTTACAGGGTGAAACCGCAGGCCTAAGGGCCGGCCGCAAAGAGGCTCCTTAGCCGGGTCGGGCTGTGACTTTGGCGGAATGTCACACAGCTGAGGGGTGCGATTTGGGGAGGCCTGAGCGAAGGGCTCCCATTGGCTGTCGTCCGCGCTCCTCCGCACAACGCGGCCGTCTGCCAGGCCGGAGTAAGGGCCCGCGCCGTTGGCGTCGATGGCGAGACTCTCAGGGCCGATCCCCTCGTTCGCGTACCTGCCAGCGCCGCATCCACAGCGCAACATTCGCCGCGATATTGGAAAGAAAACGAGGAAAAACGGGAAGTAAAACGACATGGGAAATTCAGGCATTCTGTATTTTGAGGAATAATGTACGCTCGCGATTACTCTGGACTACGAGACCAGGAAATCCCGTTTTTAGAGTCGACAATAAGAACTCAAGTCTCCTGCATTTCAGGAAATAAGATTGCCTGTTGGTACTCGCGACTCGAGTAGGTCCTCCTGCTGCGTCTGTCCGAACAAAATGGGGTCCGCATTTTTATATCAATTATCTTCTACAACGGTGAAATTATGACGGTTTTCCTCATCTGCGGGCGCTTCCCTTTCTGTCACTTTCGTCGGGAAACGCATTGTGGCTTACTTAATCTCGGCTGAAGCAAGGCGGTTAAAGGGGTCGCTAGCTGCTGGCACGGCAAGCGGCGGGAGGAGGACGGGCGACACGTCTACCGGCTGGCGAAGAGCGAGCGGGTCGTTGTACACGAACGACGCGACTGCTGCTACAAGCACGCCGAGAAACGCGGCGCGAAGCGCGGCCATGGCCAAGTCAGAGGCGAGAACGGCACTGAGGAGATTCGCCAGCCGTGAATCGAGAATTACGGAAGCTGGATTGCCTGCCAATCCCAATGCAATGCCGTGCTGTGCTGCTGTTGGAAGGTGACTATGTAGGGGCCGACCGGCATTCCCTTGGGGACTGGGCAAATCTCTGGCAGTGAAGAATGCCGGATGGAATGGCTCCACTCGAAGCGGAATTTGCAAATCAGTGGTGTACATTCTAAAATCGTTTTTTGGGGGCAATCTAGGTGCACACCCTTTCGCGCTCGATGATTGGAGAACGATGTAAACTTTTTCCCAAAACTCCAGTGCGAGGAATTCAAACCCCGCTGACGAGGCCTAACAATTTCGTGAGTGATTTCCCCGGGGGAAACAGTGACGCGGAAACGCGGAGATTTCTGCGCCCAACACAAACAACCAAGCCTAAATTTCTGCGCCCACCCCCCTCCTTCCTTCCGCCTCGATTGTTCGTTTCTCCGACGGGACAGTGCTACCCTGTTTTCAAGTGATAAACCAGGGCCTGTCCCTCGAAGAATGTAGACCGCAGCTTTAATGGTTCGGTCCGGCGTTGCAAACTGGATATACGCTTCGCAAAGTTGGCGAACGAATGCTCTGCAAGAATTACCAGTCATTCGAGGAAACGGTATTTCCAGCAACTAACGAAGGAAGTATTTATATAATTATAAGGTTTTCAGTTCAAGAACCTGGAGCTGACATGCACGCAACCAGCGTGATGGTATATTACAGACACACACGAGGGAGAACAAAAATGAAATGGAATAAGAGACACCGCCAACGCTAAGAGGGACTTTGACTCTCGAGTTGATCTAGAAAGCGCCGACAAGCGCCTTGCGGGGGTAGTAAGTGTTGCCGTTGTCGCTGAACGAGGACGAAGCGCCGGTCGCCATCTCAACCGCGAGCGCGGTCTCGTCGTCGAGGCCCTCGGCGCGCACAAAGCGACAGAAGGGGCAGTCGGAGTGAGTGAGGTCGGAGCACTTGTAGTCGTCAACAGTGCCGTCGATGAAACCCTCCGCATTGTCCCCCGGCACAACGTACGCCTTGAACAGCTCGCTGTACACCAGCTTCTGCTTCTCACTGCATTCATAAAGAAAGAACAAAAAACAGGGCTCGAAATTATGTCAGGGGGGAATGTTTGTGTGCGAAGAATTACAACAGCAAAAAATTGCTGCTGCGACAGGGACTAACGCAGAAAGAAAGCAGGGGAACAAACTAATGCTAGTGTTTCAAAGAGAGCAGGGGAACAAACGCGGCTACTTACAGTCGGCCGGAGAAGTCGGGGCGGTAGGTCTGGCCGAGCACGCCGTGCACGTTGGGGGACAGCTTCGCGCTCATCACGTCCACCGTGAAGTGCACAAGCCCGTCCTCATCCGTGCGAAGCATTTCGATCTCCGGTCGCAGAGTGAGTCGCAGGGCGAGAATGTCGCTGATGCGAACCTCGTACTCGTCGACAAGGTCGTCCTTGACCGGCTTCTTCGCAGCCACCCACTTGATCTCAACCTGCCCGTCAAAGAACGACGCGGCCTCGAGGTGCGACCCGGGAACCCCCAGCTTCACCTCCTCGCTGTCAACCACGAGGCGCTGGAGGTAGCCGGTACGATAGTCGGCGGCCCAGCCCTCACGCGCCTCGAACACAATAGTGTGGTGTCCCCAGAGAACGATGATCTGGCGCATCCACGTCAGCGCCTTGTTGCGGCCTTCCCACTCGCCCCAGCGGCCGTCGAAGTGAGCCTGAACTGCCACGTGGGCGTCGGAAATGAGCGCGTAATCCTCCCCGGGCCGGCCGCTGAAGTCGAAGCGCGACAGGTCGGCGCCGACGAAATGCGGGTCGCCGGTGCCATTGGCGGGGCAGATCTTGCCGACGTAGATGAACGCGGGGCGCACGCCGTTATCTTTCGTGGGGTCGATGTAATGCTTGTCCTTGCACACCTCCTCGCCGTAGCACGTGCACAGACCTGCGCGGACAATGCCGAGAGCACATTCAAGAACAGAGAATGAGAACGCCGACGATGGCAGTGGGGAGCGACGACAAGGAAATTGGGAGGTTCGGAAGGTGGTCAAGAGTCAAATCGAAGCGCGCATGCTTACCGCCGGTGGTGGGGTCGGTGAAGGGCTCGTACTGCCAGTACACGACGGGGTCGGGGCGGTTGCCCTGGTTGTGGTATTGGCACACCTTCCAGCACTCCTCGTTCGGGTCCTTGGTCGCGCTGTACGTGAAGGCCTCAGAGAATTTAGGGTTCACGGAATCGAAACGGCCGGCCTGTTTCGACTTGGACTGGCACTGGAAAATGGGGCAGGAGCGGTTATCCGTGCCGCCGCCAGTGTTGACGCCCGCCGGTTGAGTTCCGAAAACTTGGCCTACTATGCAGAGGAGCAGGAGGAATGCGGCTTTGGTCTTTGTCGTTGCTATGGTGCGTAGATTTCGCTTTCGCCTCAGATGGTTTCACTGAACGGATTACCTATTGTATCACGTTTGTTTGAATAAATGGGCGGACGTGCTCTCCAGCCGTAGCAGCAATATTTTCAATCTGAGGTTTGGAACGACGGCTATAAACGTGGGCGAAAAGGGGGTTTCTCGAGCACATCGTTTTCGCACAATCGCAAGGACTACTGTGGGGGGGGGGACGAGCAAGACGACAAGAGGGTCAAACGAGGACTACAGCTACTCTTGGACCTGATCCGAGCTACACAAATACAAAGAACGCAGTCTATTTAATTGTGTGATTGGCTTTTCTGCGCCTAAACATGGCACGCCGTTCAGAAAGAAACCAGCAATGACTTTACGCTACTTTGCATTACAGGCTGCCGAAGTGTACGAGACGAGTGGGCTGTCCAGAGATACGTACTTACATAAGAATAGCAGCACCAACATGTGTGGAGAGGGAACTAGCAAAAACAAACAAGGACTACTTTCTGATGCCACAGAATCTCACAAGAAACACGTTGTTGGTGGGAGATAGCGACAAAGCAGGCCACTTCATGCGTGAATTCTCAGAGGTCAGGTCTCATTTCAAATTCTTCCGCCTTCGACCATGGTTGCTTCAAATTCCGGCTGCTCGGGTTTCTCCTGGGAACGACGGCAGCCTCGGCTGCTGCTGACGCGGCAATCTGTTGGTGTCACCTGGTGTAGATCGTTCGAGTCGAGAAACGAAGCGCAGGTCGTATTCGAGCACAGAGCATGACTCCTCAATGAAGTGTTACAGCCTACAGCTGATAAACAAAACCATTTCTTAGTTTTTTATTTCCAAAATTGGTTTAACAAGCAAAACGCGTAGGATGTGTTACCTGCTAAAAGGTTCTGGCCTTAGCGCGGACACTATAGGACTCTGATCCTGGCGACCAGAACCCTAGTCAGGTCAGGAGGACCTAGGTATCTAGGCAACTAATTAGTACTGGTTTCAGGATCCCCCCTCATGGCTGCCGATCGGTCAGTTCCGAGTATTCTCACGTGGCTAGTACTCCGAGACACTGCTGTGTCGACCCGCCTATATAAAGCCACGGAGCATTTGCCGATCTTCCGCTCCTTCCTGATCCTCCTCGAGCGATCCGGCGATGGCCGCCTCCTCCTCCCTCTCTGTTTCGCGCTCTGGCTTTCTCCCGTCTTCACCACCGCGACGATCCGTCAGATCTTTCTAGGAACCTTCCTCGCGTGCATACTCGATCTGGCGGTCGTCGGTATTCTCAAGGTCGCGTTTCGCCGGCCGCGGCCGCACTACAATCGCGGGATGCTGGTCGTCGTGGCGCCCGATCAGTGGTCTTTCCCCAGCGGCCACGCGTCACGTGCCATCATGATCGCAGCGCTGCTCTTCCACCTCCTCCCACCCATCTCCACCGAATTCGGCCTGCTTCCCGCCAACCCGGGCCGCCTGATCCCGACGAATCTGCATCGGATGCTCCCGGAAAGCGTCACAAACTCTTTATCAGACGATCTAAGCCCGGAATCTAGGGTTTGGTTACTTATCGCAGCGGTTGCCGTGTGGGGTGCCGCGACTGCCGGCTCCAGAGTGTTCCTGGGACGGCATTTCGTTCTCGACGTGGCCGTCGGATGCCTTTTAGGGTTTCTAGAAGCGCTTCTAGTCGCCAAAATGGTTTGGCCGGCTCCAGAAGTTTCTGAGAAGCTGCGCGAGGTGGCCCTGACTTGCGGGTTATTTCGAGAGGGGTGCACTGTGGATGAGATTCGCAGTGCTGTGGGGCTCTGATGTGATATCATGACACGTCAGCTGAAGCTGTCGGGCTCAGTCAATAAGGGTGATAATGCCAATGCTACAGTGCATACTCCCCAACCCCTTTATTTGTCTACTTACTTATGCGCATTGCATTCTGAAATTCGACTATGCAATCCCAAACGAGCTCATTTCGTCTGAGTCGTTCATTCCATCTTGCTGACAGTCCTCCCTCTCCTCCCATTGGCGCACAACGTTATTCCCTCTTCTCTTCATCCCTCTTACTCTCCCCTCCCTTCTCTCAATCGAACCCTTCACTGGATGGCCGTCTCAATCCCTCCTGCCATTTGTCTGGTCAGTTTGACCCCGAGTCCCAATGATGATGGATTTAGTGACATGATGCTTGCACACTCCCTTGCAGCACCCCCACCCCATGGATAGGCATGTGCTGCTGTGACTGCAGCAGGGCAGCCCATCGGTGGCTGGTGTGTGTGCTGCTCTGGGAGATGCATGTGAGCAAGTGAGATGATGTGGCGTTTCTGAGGGACTTGGTCTACCTTAATCCAGGAGGGAAACTGTGTACTTTTAGATAAATCCTTGTGCTTGGGTGGCATGGCCAAAATGCCGGAGTAAACAGACCACAGCATGTGATGGGTGTCCTGTGCAGTGAACTCTGCAAGGTGAGAGCAGTCCTCTGCATGCTGAGAGGGCATTCATCCGTTCAAAAGACAATAACCAACCCAGTGCTGGCATTCTCAAACGACAATAACCAATCGCTAAAACTGTAACATACCGCTAAAACTGTAACATACGGTATGCCACCACCACCACACCACAACATGCATTCCTACAAAGGAACACAGCGCATACAGTACATTCTCCCTGCACTGCAGAGTGCCTCACTACCAGGTGAAGGCAGTTCTCAACCCCTTGGCCCTTAGCACAGGGGTTCTCGTCTTTCCTCTAACCACTGCCACGGCACGGCTTCTACCCCCTTGGCCCGAGGCCTCTTTACAGTCACTCCAGGTTAAACGCTTTTCTCCACCCCTTGGAGAGAAAGCTCCCAAACCCAAACCCCCCCCTGCTTCCGCTCCCTGGGGAAGGAGGCGGTGCCCCCGCTACAGACGCCGCTACAGATGCCGCCCTGTTGTGCCCTGACTGACCCCTTCCCACATGTATGCCTAGAGTGGCCCGGCCTCCCACTCCCCCATCAGCCCCTTTGGCTCCTGCGGCTGCCCTCCCTCCTCCCACCAGTCCCACCATGCTCTGAGTCCTCGCCCTGCTGCCACCACTCCTTGCTGCTGGGTAAGCTGCCGGAGGGGCTGCTGGAGGGGCAGTGTCTTCCCTCTCTGCTGCCGCTCCTGTTCCTGCTTTTGTCGCTGCGAGTGACACGCCATTACTAGCCACCGCTGCTGCTTCGCCATTCCCTCCTACTCCCCTCCCCCCCTCTCCTCCTCCACCTCCACCTCCACCACTTCCACCACCATCTCCTCCCCCCTCCCCTCTCGCCTCTTCCCCCGGGCCCCAGGACGAAACAGCAACACCCACAGACGCCAGCTGGGACGCAATCTCCTCCTCCCACGTCAGCCCTGACGGTGCCACGTCACCAACCCGCCCCCGCACCTTCCCATCCCTGGGTCTGCCCTGCATCGGTGGTAACCCAGCGTTACCGGGAGCTGCTTTGGCAGCGTAAAAGGCGGTGTTTGCTCCTCTGTTGTTCCCAACTGCAGCATCACCAGCAGCAGCACCTGAAGCAGCACCTGAAGCTTCGCCTGAAACAGCAGGGCCGCTGGCCAGGGTGCCGGCAGCAATGGCAGCAGCGGTAACCATATTGGAAAACTGGGTAGACCAGTTGGCGTTGGTGGCGCTGGTGGTGTGTGCGAGTGAGCGCATTGTATTGGTATACTCTGTTGAGAACGCCACTGCTGACTCGTATATCACGCTGATGCCTGATTGGATGATCCCACTGGGGTTGGCCGGGCCGGGCGATGCAGTGGTGATGGTGGGAGGAGCAGGAGCGGTGAGAGTGGCAGGACGGGGGGGAAAGGCGGCAGAACCAGGAGTGGGGGTAGGTGGAGGGGTAGAGGGAGCTGGGTGGGCAGGGGGGGGTGCAGTGGTGTTGCCTTGTGGTGCGGGTGAAGGGGGAGTGGAGGAACCTGAAGCAACTGCTGCCACAGCGCTGGCAATGCTGCCTAACAAGCCGTCAGGTGCCACGCGTGCAGCCCAGGAGAAATCAGCAGAGGCTAAGGGGCTGGTCCACCCTGACCCGCCTGCAGAATCTGCTTGTTGCGCGCCTGACTGTGCAGGTTCTGGCCGTTCTGTATTCTCCTCCTCCTCCTCCTCCTCCTGCTGCGGTTGCAGCACCAGCTGCTGCTGCTTGTTTTGCTGTTTTTGCTGTCCATGCAGCTGCTCTTGCTGTTGCAGTGGCTGCAAGGGGGCTTGTGTGTCGGCACTAGCCGGTGACGGGGAAGGTTGCTCTCCCTTTCCTCCCCCACCTGCTGCTGCTCCGTCTGCTGCAGAGGCTGCTGCTCTCCCCCTCGTCTTCCCCTCATCCACCACCCTCTCAGCAGCCCCATTCACAGCCCCACCATTCCCAGCGCCGCCATTCCCAGCGTCCCCATCCGCAGCCCCGCGGAGCCCCCCTTGACTCCCCCCCTCTGCCACTCTCCCCGCCACATTGAACACAAACGCGTCATCCTCGTTATCATCATCCTCGTTTTCATCCAGCTCCGCCAATTCCTTCTGCAGCCGCGTGCGCCCGCACGCCAGCACCCTCCGCCCCTCCTCCTCCGCATCTCCCCCTGCGCCGCCTTCCCACGGGGGAGGCTCGGGCGCGCGCGTCAGGAAGCGCTTGGGCGCGCCGGGGTAGAGCATCAGGACGGGGCGCGGAGGCACGACGCCATTATGCGATGCGATTAAAGACCTAAGCCGCTGCTCTAGCTGGCCTAGGTGCTGTTTTTGCCGCCCTGACGGGGAGTCGTCGGGCTCTCCCGCGGCTGTTGCTGCCGCGCATGGTTCGCGCAGCCCTGCCGCTCCGTTTTGCTCCGCTCCGCCCTCGCGCTCCGCGGGCTGCGCGTGCGCGTGCGCCTGCCCCGCTTCAACGGCCGGCAGCAGCTCCGTGGCGCATTCGTCCAGGAGGGACTGGAGCAGGCGGCGGACGCGCTGCCGACCCGTGCACTCGTGCGCCGCGGCGGTGACGATGGTGGCGGCGCCGCAGGCGGAGGTTCCCCTCGAGTCGCGGTTCCGCGCCCGCTTGCTTGCGGTGAATGAGGTGGATGATCATGCGCTGATCGTGGCTCTGGGGGCATTGGCGGGAAGGGCGGAAGGGAAGGGGAAGGCATTGGGGAGCGATTGAGTCGCATCATGCGACGAAGAAGGCGCTACCATGATCCACTTACGACGGAGAACCATCGCACGTGCGGCGGTACTTGGACGATGGCTTCGCGAAGAACCTCGTTAAAGTCATCCGCTAATGAGCTGGAACTATGCGATATAAGCACATTGCCGGCGTGGCTGACACCCAGGCCCAGAATAAGCTCCTGCTCGTTGCCCTGCTCGCGACCCATTCCCATCCAGTTGTTACCCGTACGCCGTACGGTATACGTGTGACGTGGCAGTCAGCTTTACGCCGGGAGCGGTGCAAAAAAATATTAACACCATCCATTCTGCCTCTGTCAATCGAATCTCTCACCGGCCGTTTCGTTGGCTGGTCGTCTTTCACCAGATGGTCCTCCGACTTTCCGCTGTTTCGCTCTTCCTTCCCCGGGTTATCCGTACATACGTAACTCGTGCATGCTGGCAAATGCTGAAAATAACGGCGCTTTCTGGAGATGCACTCTAGATTCTAGTATACTAATTCTTCTAGACAGCTGATCCAAGCAAAAATATGATGTGCAAGTCGGAAATCGCAAGCTATACTGCGATATTGACGAAATCGAAAGCTATAACTCGCGACCAAATCAGGAGCTGCCGTATTCCGTGGGATGTGACGAGGGCCAGGTGCGAGGTGGCTGATTGGGTAAATCGAGGTCTGGATTAAGTAAAGCTAGTTGGGCGGAACTGTTGACTTCCATGCTGGATACACATGGTAACTCAACGAAAGCCACGCATACAGCAGAGCACGAGCGACCTGTATCAGCGGGCAGGGGGGTGGATGCATATACAGCAAGTCAGCAGCAACAGCAACAATCGTCGCGAACGTTGGCGACAAAAGTCGTACACTTGCTTCGCAAGTGATGGGAATGAGGTTGGTGGGTAAATTTGTCTGACTTTTGGGGTGAAGCCGGAGATTTCGCGTACAGCCTTATCGAATCGACCTACTTCGATAGCAGAAGCGAGCCAGTACACGCCTCAGTAGGTAACCCCTACCGCAATTCACACATTACACTTCTGCAATAATCAGGCAAGGGCTTCTATTTGGCGCACATGCAATCTCATGTACTCCCCTTTCCTATCCATCAGCTGCTGGTGCGTGCCAACCTGAAAGACAGACGCAATTTACGAGGTAGTAAGAATAATTGGGCAACCCAGTTTTAAAGCATAACTCCCAAAAGCACCCTTGGCTCACCTCGACAATTTTGCCTGCGGACATGACCACTAATCTATCCGCAGAACGGATTGTGGATAACCTGGCATCATGAGGAACAGATGGACGCACAAATGCCAATTAACAGGGTTAAGCATGGGTGAGGTGATGATCCACAGACACTGAGTATCGTTACGAGAGCTAAGCTATGCAACACCATGACAGGAAATGCTAGTGGAATGGGTAGGTAGGGAAAGCCAACATACCGATGAGCGATCACAACGATGGTCCGTTTTCTCCTTCCTATTGCCGAATCCTCATGCATGGCTTGGTCCAACGCCAACTGCAGGAACACACACGTTGGCGAGAGACACAAAGTGACAGGATATTGATTTGTTTGACAAGCAGGGTGTGCAGCAGGATGGGGGGTATTGAGCACACTCAGCAGCACGTACTGCACCTTCTCCCACTTCAACACAGCCAGGAACAGCAGCTCGTTCACTCCCCTCACCCCACACCACGCTCTCCATCTCCCCCCTCACCTGCACGTAGTGCTCGCTCTCAGCATCCAGAGCACTTGTAGCCTCATCCAGAATCAGCAGAGTGGGGTCGCGCACTAAAGCTCGTGCAATTGCTATTCTTTGATTCTGCCCGCCGCTCAACCGGGCGTTGTCCACCACCGTGTCGTAGCCCTCGGGCAGCCCAGAAACAAATTGATGGACGTTGGCCTGGGTTGCTGCTCGGGTGATATGCTCTTGAGAAATTTCCTCTCTGCTTCCGTAAGCGATGTTGGATGCAACGTCAGTGCTGAAGAGACGGGGTTCCTGGTGGCATAGTGTGGAGTGGGGCGGAGTGGGAAATGGGGAGTAGGGAGTGAGGAGTGGGGAGTTTAGGAATGGGGAGTGGGGAGAGGTGAGTGGTGAGGGGAGAGTGCAAGGTATGGTATTATGGTTCTTGAGTATGGTGGGAAATATGGGCTTTGTTCATACTGCACTTGTGCATCATCTCATTCACATGCACGCATAGCGATGTGGAGTGTCTGGTGTGTAGAACGAGCATGCTTGTTAATTGCTTAGGGATCTTTGACTTTGCATCATGAAACCGCTTCCGGGCCGGTAGGAGGAAGAAGGTGGGAGAATCGGGAGAGGAGAGCACAAGGAAAGCAGGGGAAGGTAAAAGGAGAGCGGGGGAGCAGGGGAGGAGTATAATGAGCGTGGGGGAGAGGCGAGCGAGCTCACCTGGCTGACGACGCCAATGTGGCTTCTCAGCCAAGCAATGTCAATCTCTGGTAGAGGCACGTCGTCTATAAGCACCTGTGAACAAGCAGACAGTACGAAGCCATTAACGAAATCCATCAACATTGCAGAGCGGAGCACATGCATGTTATTTCCCTCACCCGCTCCCCTCACCTGCCCCTCGGTGGGCTCGTACAGGCGTTGCAGCAGCCCTACTAGAGTGCTCTTGCCGCTGCCACTCAGCCCCACCAGTGCCACCAGCTCGCCTGGGTGGATGGTCAGGTTGATGTGATCCAACACGGGTGCCTGCCGAGAGAGTAATGGGGGGAGAGGGGAGGAGGTGTGGTTACTGTGATGATGTGACGTGATCCAACACCAGTGCCTGCAGAGTGGGTGGTGGGGGGGAGGTGAGGTGGGACAGTAGTGGTTGATTCAACACCCGTGACTATATGTGCAGGAGAGGTATTGATGCCATTTAAACATATGGGTTTAGGGAGGGAGGGACGGAAGAAGAGATGCACCTCAGGGCGGGTGGGCGCACCTCAGGGCGGGTGGGCGCACCTCAGGGCGGGTGGGCGCACCTCAGGGCGGGTGGGGTAGCGGAAGGAGAGATTGCGGAACTCCAGCTTGCCGCTCAGCGATGGCAGCACTCGGCCTGAGGAGAGAGGCGAGGAGTGGAGGAGATTGTGAGGGATGGGATGGGAGTGCACACCCTGATGTGCCGTCGGGGGAGTGGAGCAATGAAGGCCAGGAGCGAGAAGAGAATGGGGGGAGTGGGAGGGGGAAGGGTGGGATGAGGGAGAAGGGGGCTCGCATTAAAGCGGGAGCACTTGCAATCGCCAGGGCCCTCTGTGAGAACTCACACTCACCATGGCTCTGCGTGAGCTGCTCTGAGGGCGGCAGGTCCAGGAGTTGAAACACTCGATGGCAGGCGCCGACAGAGTCCATGAGGGACGCCCAGTGGTCGCCCACCCACCACGTGGCGTGCACCACCCACTCCGCGTACAGAATGAACTGCGTCAGCTGCTCCGCTGTTATGCGCCCCGCCATCACTGCACTGCCTCCCATGATTAAAGCAAGAACCTGAGGGATAGGGAGCATCGGGGAGAGGGGATAGAGGAGGGAGTGGGATTGGAACACCACGTGGCATGCACCATTCAACCTTGCTGTACCTGCGCGGCGTTGTGGACGGTATTGTGTGGGCTCTGGGATGGGATGAGACGTCTCATTAGATGTCCAAGAGCATACCTGTGTGGCGTTGTAGATTGTGTTGCCAGTGCACGTCCACACGCCATACGCCACGGACCGCCTCAGACCCACGTTCACTATGCGCTGAAGAGGCACCTCGTACCTGATACACGCAAGCACACTCGCACGCACACACGGTTCAATATGAGCAAACTTTCATGCACACACAGTTCAATATGAGCACACTTTCATGCACACACAGATTGCTTTGTGGTGAACGGGTTGTTTAAAAAGCACGGACTGTGACGTAATCGCGGTGTGGCATGAGACAGTAAGAAGAGGACAAAAAACACCTAAGCAGGGGAAAGTACAACATGGAATGCAGTCCAATCAGAATGCACTCAAGACGTCATGAACGGGAGGTTGGGGCTGAGCCGACAACAATTCAGACACCCTGTTGCACAAAGAGTGGCCTCACCTCTTCACCTCCTTGCTCTCAGTGCCAAAGGTCCGCACCACTCGGGCGAGTGACAATGTTTCCTCTGCCACCTGGGAATGAGGTCAATGGGGGTTGAGGATGGCATGGTGAGGATGGGTCTGGAGGGGTGAGAATGGGTCTGGTTGTCGTGTTTCTAGGCGTTTTCATAGGGCAGTAGGGTATCCTCCGCCACCTGTAGATACGATAAGCGGGAAGGGGTGGGAATGGCGCAGTGATGGAGGGATGGGGTGTGGAGGGATGGGGGAATAAGGAGGAGCACTGAAGACGAATGAAGAAATGTCCGGGATCCTGAGCTAGAAAAAATTGTCATGGATAATCAACATCGAGCTGAAGTGGAAACGTTTTTGTGACCAAGAGATTGGGTCACCAAGAAATCGGTTTTCTTGGCGGTTGTCTCACCTCACTTACTCCCCTCACTGTTGAACCCCACTGAGACCACAAGGTCGAATTACAGTAAGCGTCTGAAGTAGCAGTTGCAGTCAAGCATTGAAACATGGATCTCTGGTGGGTTTTCCTCACCTCGTTGGCGGCTGCCACAGTGTCCTGCACCACCATGGAGCTCCGACAGAAGAAGTGATTTGAGGTGCTTAAAATCCCACCTCAATCCCTGCAGGGGCTATCTCTCTCACCTCATTGGCGGCGGCCACCGTGTCCTGCACCACCATGGAGCTCCGCCGGGAGAAGCTGGACGGCAGAGAAGCGGAGTGGGCGGCAAAGAAGAGCAACAATGGGTGGGAAGCATGGCATCGGAAAGGGGGGAGTGGGGCAGCGGTGAGGAGGCGTGGGGCGGAAAGGCAGTCAAGCGATAACGGGTGAACACAAAGAGATGATGACACAGGAGTTGGGAAGAGAGAAGACTGGGAGTGGGAGAGGGGACGCTGAGAACGGCTGGATGATTTTCGACAGTGAGAGTTGAAGATTAGTGAGCATAGCGCCAGAGATAATCCATGAGCAGACCCCCCAACATACCTGCCGTACACCATGAGCAGATACCACATGAGGCCACAGAGGGAAGCAGTCACGAGGGCCATCTGCCAGCTCAGGCGGATGAGGAACACAAACGCCCCTATGCCCTGCTCGTGCATGGGAGATAGGGGTAACGGGACGGCGGATGCGTGGGATTCGGATGGGGGAATGGGGGTAAGGAAGCAGTGGAAAGGGTAAGAGGGCATGTGGTGGTGGTGGCATGTGGCATACTGAGGATTCGAGGCAATGCACATGCCACGTGAATGGCTTTTTCTCTGAGCCAGCATGCGGATATGTGCAGGGTGTTGGGCAGCATCATGCTGAGATCACGGTGTGCCTCTCTCGTTGATTGATGCGCACTGCTTAACGTGCACCGTAGCTCAATCAAACCCTCCCTCCCTCCCAGCGCCCCACCTGCAGGGCGTTGCACAGCATGATGTTGAGATCAATGGCCACGGTGTGCCCCCGGCTTGTAGAAGCCCATTCACACTCCAAACCTGTCCAAACGTACTGCACATCCCCCTCCCTCCCTCCCTCCCTCCCTCCTTTCCTACCTGACTCCCTCAACCCACCCCACCTGCAGGGCGTTGCGCAGCATGATGTGGAGGTCAATGGCCACGGTGCAACCCTCTCTCGTTGAGGCACACTGCCTAGCCCACACACATAACCCAACCCGTTCCTCCCTCCCAGCTCCCCACCTGCAGGGCGTTGCGCAGCATGATGTTGAGGTCAATGGCCACGGTGTGCCCTGCTTGTAGAGGGACCTCATACACCAAGCCAATTTAAGCGCACAGCCCATTACCCTCCCTCCCTCCCACTGCCCACCTGCAGGGCGTTGCGCAGCATGATGTTGAGGTCAATGGCCACGGTGTGCCCCGCAGCCTGGCAGTCGGAGCCGAGGCGGGACGTGAGGTCGCCCACCGACTGGCCGTCAAAGAAGGCAATGTCCTGCCGGATGAGCGTCTCGTACAGCGCCAGCCGCATTCGCCGCACCTGGACACAGGGGGGGAGGGGGGTTTGCAGAGTCAACGAAGGCGATTTTCTGCTGGATGAGCATGCTGTACAGGGCCACCCGCATTCGCCGCACCTGGACAGGACACCGTGGGAGAGAGAGATTTGGTTAAGGGGTGGGGGTGAAAGAAGGAGTTGTGGAGGCGTATTAGAATGGTGGGAAGGGAGCCGCATTTGCCACCACGAGGAGAGGAGTGCTAGGGCGTGCAAATAGGCTAGGGACAGGCAGGTGAGGGTTAGAGTGCAAGACGGCGTCTGAAAGGAGCGTGTTGTGCAGTCTGCACTGACCATTTGGAGGTTGAGGATGGTGAAAGAAGCGGCCCTCAGACCACTGCACGGACGGACAAGACAAGGGCGAGACGAGCGCAGGGGAGAGCAAAGCAAGTCAGTGCCGCTCAAGTTGTCTGTGGGTACAACATTGTGCACACCTGAACATGACGCACACCTGAACACGACGCACACCTGAACATGACGCACACCTGAACACGACGCACACCTGAACATGACGCACACCTGAACATGACGCACACCTGAAGAGTCCGCAGGCGAGAGTCATGGTGATGAGGAGTTGCACGTTCCTGTCAAACTGGGGTTTGAGCCCGTTGGACGCGGCGAATATGGTGGCCGCCAGGAAGTGCGGAATGGTCACCTCCGACAGCTGGTGGCGCACAGACGTGGGGGTGTGGAAAGAGTTGCGAGGGAGAGGGAGGGGGGGGGGAGAGGGGGAATTTTCCAACAGCTGGTGGCGCACAGGGGATGTGGAGACGAGGGTGGGGAAAAAGGGAGAACAGACACCTCCGGCAGCTGAAGGCAAAAAATCAAAGCGGTGTTGGAAACGAATGCGAGAAATGGTGCAGGCCCAAGCGATGTGGGGAAGGACGAGGGGGGAGGGAACGGGTGTGGTAGAAGAGACGGGGGGGAAGATGCAGTGTCGGGGGGAGGGGGGGTGGGGAGGGGAAGACCGCGTGGTGATGATGGAGAGGACGGATGAAAGGACGTCAGTGGGAGGAGAGAGACGTGAGGGGTGTGGTGGATTTGTCGGAAGGGCAACATGGATAATTCGTGGCCTAAGTGATACGCTAAAGCAAGCACGCTTCAATCATCCGTTAAAAACCTGAATCCAAGCGCAGCCATGGACTAGCGGTAATGACTGATGTCCTGATAGAAGGCAGTTCCGGATTCAGGAGGAATGAGGATACTCGAGCAGAGGGTGGTGGTGGTGCGGGGAAGTGCAACTGAGAAATGTGGTTTGTCCGTCAGAAGCCAGGTGTAAAGGCTGGTAAGCCGTCAGATTCGATCTGGCAAACATCGAGGTCTCTACGAAGCTGTGGCTTGCCCTCTGCCAAGCCTCAGATATTGGTTGAGGCTAGGCCGGGTGGCGGCCCAATCTGACGAGCCGTAAACTTCTGTGGCCCTCTGAGCATCGAGAATTTCAAGGTGAGATACACGTGGCAGGAGAAAGGCTGATGGTGTCTGGGTTCACGAAGCAACAGACAAGGCGAACTTCAGCCAGAATGAAGCGGAATTTCGCCAAACATTTCGCCACCACCGAAATTACTTTCCACGTTGCCCCCAAGCAAGGAACACGCACAGAAACCAGCTGGATGCTTCATTTCCAGCGTCAGCAAGTGAATTGCAATTCCAGCAGGAGCAAAATGAAAAAGTTCCAGGGGAATTCTATGGCGGAACCGGCCTGGTAGAACTTGGTGATGGGCATGACACAAACAGGGAGGACTACAACTGGGTTATGTCAGCGCTCAAGTCTCTATCTTGCATGTAAAACTAACATAGGCCACCAGAGCCTAAGCGTCTTCGCGTGGAAGTGTTTTCGGTCTCATCTGCGTCAACGTCTGACTGACTCACAGCATCGAATTCCGTCAGCGATTTTTCTTTCTGCCAGTTGTCCCTTCGTCCCCTCTCGCGCGCCAGTATCCAGCCTTTGTAGACATATCCGCATCTCTAAACGCCAGTCATCCTTGGTTCTTACGAGTGCGCTCCCAGACGCCATGGCGGCTGTGACTGACTCCAACTACCTCGCGATCACCGCTGTTGTCACCATCGCGTACCAATTATCATTCTTCGTGATTGCTGCTGGCTTCAAGTTCGATAAAGTCACCGATTTTGCGGGTGAGCATCAGCCAATCTAGTGGACTCCACAGAATGCTCGTTCTCGCCCAATCATCCGTTCCAACATTCCGGATGTCTAGGGAGTCCGTAGCTTTCTAGGATGGTCTGTTGAAATCAATATGTCTCCTGTTCATGCGATGCCGTTTTCAGGAACCACCAACTTCATTGTCCTCGCACTCCTCACCTCCTTCCTCAGCGGAACCTGGTACTGGCGGCAGGTAACATACTCTATAATATTTCCTTCTCGTGACTTATGTACTTGCGAAAGAGTCGGAATGACCACCTTCTGAAGGTCTTGCTAGGAGGCGATGATCCCCCTGCTCATTGTTTCTCGGCTCTCGTTTCTTTCCTCTCGCTTGTGGCTTGCCTGGGTCCGTACAGGTCCTGGTGACGTCACTTGTCGTCATCTGGGGCCTTCGCCTCGGCCTTTTCCTTCTCTTCCGGTATGTTCACCTGCTGTCGTCCGAAGAATTTCCTTACTGTCCCGTTACTTCTGACCCTCCTCTCTATCACTTCGCTCCCCATCATCTCCCACCCATCTCCCACCCTACTCTCACTCCCAAATCTTACTGCCCAATCGCTCCTCCCAACCCCCTGTCCCCTGCGCGCCTGCCAGAATCCTCGCATGGGGGGAGGACCACAGGTTCGACCAGACGCGCAACAACGTCCTGCAGTTCGCCATCTTCTGGGTGTTCCAGGTACCACCCACACATCACACTCTGCCTGCCTGTGGCCTCTCCACCCTCTGTCTGGCTGTGGCCTCTCCACTCTCTGCCTGCGTATGACCTCTCCACTCTTTGCCTGCCCTCCCCTCTCCTCATCTCATCAGGCGGTGTGGGTGTGGGTGGTGTCGCTCCCAGTCACCATCGTCAACGTCACAGTCACACGCAACCCCCCTCTGGGCCCTGTAGACGCGCTGGGGTGCGCGCTGTGGGCGGCAGGGGTGCTGCTGGAGGGGGCGGCAGACCAGCAGAAGCTGCGGTTCAAGGCAGATGCTGCCAATCGCGGCCACTGGTGTGATGTGGGCGTGTGGAGCTGGTCCCGTCACCCCAATTACTGTGGCGAGGTGAGTGTATGCAGGGGAATATAAGGTGAGTGAGTATGGGGAGGTGAGGTGAGGTAGCGTATGAATGGTGACTCAGTATGGGGAGGTGAGTGTGGGCATAGCGTATGATGCGATGCGGGTGAGCATTAGAAGGGACTAGAATGAGAGATGGCATGAGCATGGGAGGTTGATGTGACCATGTGGGCGAGGAATCTGCTTTAGCATAGTGAGGTGCGAAACACGCAAGTCTTGCTGCTATTAATGGGCATACATCGTGCTGCTATAAATGGGCATGCTTCGTGCTGCCACACCACCCCCACACACACCCCCTCCCTCCTTCCCTTCCGCTATGACACCGCATCAGATTCTGGCATGGGTGGGGGTGCTGGTGGTGAGCTCGGCGGTGCTACAGGGGTGGCAGTGGGTGGCGGTGGCGAGTCCGCTATTCACAGCTGCCATCCTGCTCTTCCTCTCGGGCATGCCTCTGCTCGAGGTGCATGCTGTGCTGAGCACCATGCGCTCATGATTGCACTCCAGATTGCATTCACTGCTGCATTCCTGATATGCGGATTGTTTCATTCATGATTGTGTCATGACGGTAAGAGCAAAACACGTGCATTTTGCACTTGAAATATCTTTTTCCCAACGTGTGCAAGATCTGGTGCGATGCACATCTCGCATCCATGCGTCAATCCGTGTCCCACCCATGCACCTGCCCACTGCCGCCACACATGCATCCCCTCACCCCTGCCTCACCTCACCAATCCCGACATGCACCCCTCTGGCAGGAGTCTGCAAATAAAAAGTTTGGTCAGCGGGCAGATTATCTTCAGTACCGTAGCAACACCAGGTGCGTGCGAGGCGCTGCCAGCTCGGTCCAATCAGTTTATTATTTGTGAAGTAGTCTCACCAGTGTGCTAGACCAGCAACCACACGTGTGCGCCATTCCTGTGCCTTTGCCTCTTCTCATCCGCTTTCCCATTGCGTTTCCTCTTCTGCTTGCTGCCTATATGTGCATCTCTGATTGGTGTGTGTGTGTGTGTGTGTGCAGCCCTCTCATCCCGCTCCCCCCTGGCCTGTACGCCATGCTGCCTCCCTTCATCAAATTCGCCTTCCTCCTCGAGCTGCCAATCTACGCGGAGCATCTGTCAACTGCCCGCAACTCACTCATTCAAGAAGACCGGTAGCCCATTTTGAATTCACCCGTTTTATCATTCTTGAAAGCTGCGCAGCTGTTTACGCAGAGCATCTCTTAACTGTCCACAACTCATCCAAGCAGATTAATAGGTAGCTGTACCGGATCTGGATTAGGAAATTCTCAAAAGTTGCCCTGGCCATGCCATCCTTGCAGAGGAGGAGCTTTACATTGTCCTCGCTGCACTCACTCCATTCCAATTGACCAGTAGCAGCGACACGGGGGACACAGCTGGTGGGCAGCATAAGGAGGAGAAAACTTGCAGGTGGAGAAGCCAGGAAAGGGTTTTTTGGAACGAACATGAGATGGCTGGATGGCTGGCCTCTGACTGAGACAAGACAACGTTGAGAACTTGGTGAGGTGACACTGCTTGAAGTTATCCCCTGGATGGCTGATAGTGAATTCTGGAACTTGCAAACTACCACTTGCTGCCAAAACACCAAGGTGGGAAGTGGATCAACATGAGAATTTCACAAACTGCAGCAGTAAGCAAGCGGGCAGCACTGCCATGCGTCTCGTCAACCTGGCATAGCAGAGAGTAAACACCCGCTGAGATCTTCAATCTTGGCACCACCACACCGCACCACCCAAATTACTATTTCTTTCTTGACGCACGGTATGTAGGGTGAGGGTAGGGTGTGAGTACATTGCTACATTCATGCAACACAGTGATAGCAGCGGTGTCACTCCCATCACTGCAGGCCCTCACAAGTCCCGCAGCAGGTTCTTGGAAGCTTCGTACGTGGACCAGACAATGGCAGCAGCCGGAGTGTGGAAGAGCACGCATGCACGCATGCCCTGCAGCAGCGCCCCCCACCCCTCCTCCCTCACTACGCTGTTCAGCAGTGCGCTCACAAGTCCCGCAACAGGTTCTTGGAGGCCTCGTAAGTTGACCAGACGATAGCGGCAGCGGGGGTGTGGAAGAGCATTTGGGCACGCACAACCCTCAGCAGCCCCCTCCACCCCTCACATGTCTCGCAACAGGTTCTTGGAAGCTTCGTAGGTGGACCAGACGATAGCGGCAGCGGGGGTGTGGAAGAGCATGCGGGCTCGCATTCCCCTCAACAGTGTCCCCCACCCTTCCTCCCTCACTATGCTGCTCAGTGCTGCTGTCACCGATGCACTCTGCAGCCGCTTCACCCCACACACACCCTGCACGCACGAGCAGAAGAGGGGGGAGAAGGGGGCAAAAACGGCGAGGTGAGGAATGGAGGTTGGGAGTGCAGTGTAGGTGCGATGGGTGTGCTGACACAGTACAGGCGTCCACTCCTCCTTCCCTGCACTGCTTCCTCCCTCACTGCACCAGCAAAGGCATCAGCAAAGGCGCCAGCAAGTAAACTGCTTGATGTGGTAAGGGCACACCTCCTCAGCCCAGCAGGCAGTGCAGGCACACCATCAGGCTTCACCACATCAAGCGGGTTGGTGACGGCACTGGCAAGCGCGCCAGCAACGCCGTGCCTCCTCAGCCCAGGACATTCCCCAGCCCAACCTTCAACACACCTGGCATTGTAGCCGGGTCTTCACCACATCAAGCGGGTTCGTGATGGCACTGGCCAGAGCGCCAGCAGCGCCGCCCGCCAGCACGTGGGTGAGCAGCCTATCCTCGTCCAGCACGCCCTCCCCAGGTAACGCCTCCCCCGGTAGCGCCCGCCCCAGGCCCGCCTTGCTGGCCTCGTATGTCGCAAAGTGCACGGCTGTGAAGGGCACGTTCATGACCAGCGTGGTGCGGTAGGAGCGGTAGAAGGAGTAAATCCCCTCTTCTTGTAACATCTGTATTTAGTAAAATGTGTTGGGTAAGGAAGGGAAGGGGAAGGGGAAAGGGGAGGGCATGGGGACACATTGGCAAAGTGCACGGCTGTGAAGGGCACGTTCATGACCAGCTTGGTGCAGTAGGAGCGGTAAAAGGCATGGATTCAATCCTCATGCAACATCTGGAAATCAGTGAAGGGAAGAGAATCGGCGGGGGAAAGGGGGAGGCAAAAAATAAATGAAAAAAAAACAAAAGTTTTGGTATTGATTTTGGAGTTTGTATGGGGGAGGGAGGGAGGGAGACAAGGGAGTGTGCTCACAGCAATGAAGGGAGAGCTCATGACAGGGGTTGTGTAGTAGGAGTGGTGGTGGGGGAGTGGAGGGGAGTCACGTGCACTGCACTGGAGAGAAGAGAGCCAATTATGCCAATTCTCACCACCAACCCAAGCCTCCCCCCAACAGCCTCCGCCCCCCAACCTTCCCTCCCCAAGCCTTTTCCCCTAGCTACAGTCTCTGTGAGAGTTTTTTTAGAATTCTTTGAAACCACCCACCTTGCGACAGCAGTCAACCACGCCAGCATAGGGGCTGCGCCTTAGCTGCAGGCGCTGCTTCACCACGTCCATGGGCGTCAGCACCGCGTCGCTCGCCACCGTCGCCAGCGCGCCCGCCGTCGCATGCGCGACCGCTGGCGGCAGTGAAACCCCTAAAGCCGGCGTAAACCCTAAACCATCGGAGACGTTGCTGCTGCTACTGCTGCTGTTTCTCAGTAGCGACTCTTTCGCCGCTTCGTAAACGGCGAAGTACACGGCGTGGGCAGGACCGGCCCCCAGTCCCATGGCAGCTATTCCCCGATATAAGCCTGCTGCGCCTTCCGTTTTAAGGATAGACGAAACAGCATTCCTGATTGTGGGCGAATGCGACAGGCTCTGCGCTGCTGCTGCTGCTGGATTTGCGACAGAACACGTGGATTGGAAGGCGCATGACGTGGCAGCGGGGACGCTCCTCGAGGCGGAGAGAGACGAGAAGGAGGAAAGCGCGGAAGGGGATGCGGACGGGAGGGCGGAAAAACCGGCGGAGGGTGCGGAGGGAGCGGGGGGGACGGGGGGCCCGGGGGTGGCAAGTGCTTGCATGCGCGTCTTGATGGTGTCGACGGGGAACATTGCCATGTGCTCCACCATGCCTGGCGGGCGGGAGGGAGGGCGCAGCATGATGGGAAGGAAATTACAAAAATTACAAGGAAACAAGGCCACGTGCTAGACGAGGCAGAGTCAGACAGGGACGCTGGCATGCATGGTGGGTGCGCGCAGATGAGAGACGAAGACAGACGACGCGATGGGGTGGGAAAGGCTGCAGATTCCGAAATTCACAGTGTGAGAGATTGAGAATATGAGCGAGTGGCTCGTGACGCCATGGCGAGTGACGGGGGCGCTACGGTGAGCGAATTAAGATCGGCGGCGTAACAATCGCGACGCTTCTGCTGAGGCTACGACTCGCGTTCGGGATCCGCGACGCAACCTGCGACACTCTGCTCTGGGCGACACGCACCTGCGACGGATCCTGCGACCATGTGCTGCCAGAAGCTCAGTCCGTCGTCTCTGCGCTCATCCTCCTCCGCCCCTGCCGCCGCCACTTGCTGACGCGCGCGTGCTCCCCCCGCGCCTTGATCTGCGCCGTGATCCACACCCTGATACGCGCCATGATTCGCGGAAGCCCGCGCAGCAGCGGGCTCGTCAGCTCCGTTCCTTCCACTGACTGCTGACTGCCTCCCCGCGTCGCTCTGTACTGGCTCCGCTACAGTCGCCCCCTCATCTGCCCTTTCTGCTTCATCCGCTACAGCCGTCCGCTCGCCGGCCCCCATAGCAGCCATCCTCCCCACTGGTCCAGTCAATCTCGCTTCCGCTTCAATAGCCTCTAAACCCAAATCCGATCCTCCTTGGTCACTCGAATCTGGTCTGCCTGGGTTACTCAGATCCGATCTACCTTGGCTGATAATATCCGATCGATGCTGCGCCAAATCTCGGCGCGCGACGGTTACCGGCGGGAGCAGTCTGCCGATCTCGGGAGCTGCGACCGCTTCGATAGTGGGCGGCATTCCCTCACGACTGGCTCAAGCAGGAAGATCGTAACAAAGGCACGTCTACAAGCAAATCCCGCTGAGAGGCATCGATGGGGGCTCTGTAAATCACTCAAGAGTTGTGAACTGTGGATGCGAGGTGGCCAGAATGGTGGGTAGGAGTGAATGAGGAGGAAAGAAATCGCTGAATTAGGAGGCCTGGTGCTTGAATGGGCTGGGCTTGGCTTGGGCAGGCAGACGAGGAGCAGCAGAAGCAGCCCTGCTGACGTGGCGAGGCGTGCTTGAGATGCTTTCTATTCATAGCACTGCTGTGTGGAAAACTGGATCAGTCAGCGTTACAACTGGGGTGTGGGTCAATGAAATCATGGCAAACCAGATGACCGCAGTTTCATCACCAAGTACCGCAGTACAGTACAAGGTTGTGATGAGAGCGTGTGTCGTGTCGTGTCCACCAGGGTGAATCTGGAGTACGGTACGGTACCTCAACCAGAAACTAACCAGCAAATAACAGATTCACTACCGTGTATGATAGCTTCGTCGCTCTACACTTCAAGAAGTCTTTAGCGTGTGACATGGTATATGAACGTTTTGCTTTGCAGAAAATGCGAAGGGTGAATGGCCCAATCAACTCTACCAATACAACACGAGGAAGTGCTATGGCAACACGACCTGCACTTTATAACGAAAATTTAGTCTGACAATGCAGTGCGAGTTGCTGTGGTGTGCATGTGCGTCGTCACGTGCGTGCATTCGCCTGGATAGATAAAGACAGCGCCGAAGGGCCTTGGCGGAGACGCACGACCAGCACCAACAAAAATCTTCTCCTCCAGTCAGAAAGCCGCAGGCGTCCTACAAATCACGCTCCACCCATGTCACCCTCAATTGGCCATAGCAGGCGGGCACGCGAATGTGGTGAATTTCAGACCTCAGCTCTAGGCGGGGCGAGCCGGCTGGTCTGGTCTGTCTTTCAAGTTCCGCGATACCCGCCAGAGGGACCGGGGCCTATCTGAACTCCATGGAGCTGTAAAATGCCACGCGGAAGGCATTTTACGGTCAATGGGATAGGGGTTCGAAAAATCACCCAATGACATCCATCTACCGCATTGTTTGTGGTTCATCTTATTCGACAAGAAGATTTTCCGCATGTGATGGAGAAACATATGATGAAATGTCAGTCGAAGAGGCATTCTCGTCCACGGATCCCCAAGCGCCACCGGTTCGACGGTCGGCTGCCACAAAATCTGCCAACCTAGAATGGAATTCAGGACAAGGGTCGACGACGTTTATGGAAAGTTCGCTGGCCCTTTGAAGCCATATTCGCGACAGCTGTGCACGGTTGGATCGTCGTCCTTCAGGTCGCAGGTGCTCCGTAAAAAATCTGGGTCGTGGAATGTGGATCCGCCACATTGGTATTTCCCGTCACAGCAAGAGCATGAAATTCAAATATTCAGGGTCGAAACCATAACCACCCCATATAGATGGCTAGAATTGAGTGTCAGCTAAGCACTGGTTCGCAGAATGTTATATCATCCATATCCCTACAATAAATTGTTCTGTTTTGTGTAAACAAGACGACAACGTTCACTGATAATATATCAGGACTTGGTTTAACCTAATTCGTTTCAGAACTTCGTGTTTTCCCTGATTCAAACAGGGTGTTTTCAAGACAGGTGGAGTGTCACAGCTGGGGAGGGAACAAAGCCGCGTTACAATCATCTTTTGCGCGTAAGCAGCGGGAGTGAGCCCTGCATCTGGCCTCCCTAATCCAGCAGTCATGATTCTTCCCAACTGTGTGCATTTCGCTGTACATAACCCTGCCAACCGCCCTCGCTCCTCCACATCCACATTACAGTATTCCCTGCTGGACCCTTCTGGTCCAAAACAGGCCCAGCTGTTCACTTCTCAGCATTGCAGCTGCTCTATCCCTTCTTACAACAGAATTTCTCCCTGATAGCCGCTAATTCTGTGCATAGACGAGGAAATCTGCCTACCACGAACTACGCCATGTCTCCGTAATGCGGTGAGCGTTCACAGGAGTACAGGAGAACTCAGACGAGCAGCCCCGCGAAACGACCACGAAAATGTCCCAGCGAGCTGTCACTAGCGTCGCCTCTCTCCGATCTCCGTCTCGACAACGCCAGCGACGCCGCGCAGCCTGCGACGACGCCGTGCAGCGACGCCGTGTTTCCAGAATTCACGGCGCGCCTCGATGACTACTTCTCAATCTGCGACGAGCCAATCGGCTCCGGCCATTTCGGCGTCGTCCGTCGGTGCGTGAACAGGGCGACAGGCGAGGTGCTCGCGTGCAAGACTATTCTTAAAGACCGGCTGCTGACGGAATCAGCGAGGGAGGACGTGCGGCGCGAAGTGGCGATAATGCAGACCGTTGCGGGGCACCCGGGCGTGGTGCAACTTCGAACGGTGTTCGAAGATGAATCAGAGATTCATCTCGTCATGGAACTGTGCGAAGGCGGCGAATTGTTCGACGAAGTCGTGCGGCGACAGAGGTTACCAGAGAAAGAGGCCGCGCTGATCTTTCGTCAGATTGTGTCAGCCGTTGCGTTCTGCCATTCCCGTGGCATTGTGCATCGCGACCTGAAGCCGGAAAACATTCTCCTCCACCGCTCACAACCGACCCCTACCGGGACTTCGCCGACGCCCCCTCAGAACCCCTCCCAGCTATTCGCGAAAGTCGCGGATTTCGGCCTCGCGGTGCAGATCGATCGGGAAACTAGGGCGTGCGGCATTGCCGGTTCCCCTTTCTACATCGCACCGGAGGTGCTGAGCGGCGAGTACGGGGTGGAGGCGGACGTGTGGTCGCTGGGCGTGGTGCTGTACGTGCTGCTGAGCGGCAGCCCGCCGTTTTGGGGCGCGGACGACAACGGCGTGTTCCGCGCCGTGCTGGAGGCGCCGCTGAACCTGACGAGCGGCGCGTGGGCGGGGGTGTCGGCGGAGGCTAAGGGGCTGCTCCGCTGCATGCTGCACCGCGACCCGCGCCGACGCCCCTCCGCCGCCAAGCTGCTCTCCCACCCCTGGATCCTCGTCCACGCCTTCGGCGGCCGCGTCGTGCGCAAGATTGTGTCGCGGCAGGTCATGGCGTCTGCTGTTGCGGGATCAGTTGGAACGACTCAGAAGAATCAAGTGACTGGCGGAGCAGTGAGGGAGGACGGAGTCGCGAATCTGCCTGTCTTGAGAATGTCAGCATAACTCGTTCCGTACTGGATTCGATTTTGAGTTGCTCCGACTTGGCTTTGAACCGTAATGGCATTCCCGCAAGGTGAAGCCACCATGGCGTGTAGCATAGCTGGGTAATATATGAGTGTTGAATAATTGTTGTGAATATAGCTGAAAGTGTATTACTGCTCAGAATTTTGGTCAGAAGCTACGAACTTGAGCTACCTACGCACCTAAGAGTACACCGGCACCACTAAGAATTCCGCAAGTAGTCAGAGGTTGCGTATTATTCAGAAACGAAACTATTGATCCAAAACATGCTTAGATATAATATGCCACGTCTGGATTTGAAGATTAGCTATTGCACTCCAGCCTGCTGTAGACTGAGCTTCACGTAGCTCTCAGCTTTCTCCACGGGAACCAGCGGAACTACATCCGCAGCCTTCTTCAAATACTGGAAGTCGGATTTTTGAAACGATGCAACGACAGTGTTGTACTTACTGGCTGCTGCGAATACCGTGGGGTAAGCTGCTTCTACCACATGGGGGACAAGCGGCATGGACAACGCCAAGCGCCACAAGAAGACAAGGTAGGCTGAGAGAACCGGCTCCAGTGAGTCGTAATAGTAGGATTTTGCAGCGCCAAGGGCTCCCTTTTCCTGATAGCCGTGAAGAGCCTCCTTGGCACGCACCGGAACAGTGCGGACAAAATCAGATGCTCGATAAGCCAAGTCTCTGGGGACGTAGCTGTCCGCGTACTTCAGTGCGACGTCAACCTGAACGCCAAAGGGACCCGTTAGACTTTACGCAATATGGAAAGAGGGGGTATGATGACAAAGGGTATATTGGACCTCACCTTCTCGTCGGCGAAACGAAGAACTTCGTCCGGCTTGTCCTCAATCTTACTCCACACAGGGCCAACCACGGTTCTCACCATGCTCTCCACCCTGTCAATTCCTGTTCTAAGCGACCCTGAGTTTCCCTTAGCCTGCTCGTAAAGCTTAAAAAGGAGGATGTACAGGCTTATCACAGCGTGCCTAGCAAATTCGAGATGCTTCAGGCCTATGTCAGCTGTGGGAGAACTACGAGACGAAGAGGGATCCGCCATGGCTGTACGTGAACCTGCCGATCTCAACTTAGCGGGAAACCAAATTGCTTGAAAAAAGCACTGATGGAAAGTCGCGAAACAAACTGTGGAAACCAAATTGCTTTACGGTACAAGATTCTCGGAGGGAAGTCGCGAAACAAACTGCGAAAAATAGGCGCAATCGCTTGTCAGCGGCAGCTTGGAGAGGTGACACAAACAGATGCAGAACAAGGAAAATGGGAGCTTCTTTGCACAACTTGAATCTGTGTCGTCGGTGGAGAGGCAGAGATGGGACCTGGAAATGACTGCAAGAACGACAACCGCAAGTAACCTTCGATTGGTCAGGTATGCTGGAAAGGGTATAAAATCGGGCAGGGGGAAAAGCTGCTACGATTGGTTGGATTGCTTTCAACTTTGTCATTGTTCTGAAACGAACGGCAGCCAGCGCTTTACAAGGAGTGCATCAGAACATTTGACCTGTAGGCTGGGACCACATGGGAGCGACTCGGCGTGCGTGTGACGTGATTGCTCGGTCAACTACAAGTTTCAGAAGGCGTAAGTTTCAAGAATATCAACGGAATTTCCGAAGCACCAGCAGGGAACAAGGATTGACGCATAAATGTCCCTGAAACACGTAAGCCTTGACCAATCAAGAACCGCCTAACTAGGGAAAGCAACTGCTGTGTTGCCTCCGAGCCCAGTTGGAATTGTCGTGGGTTGCGTCCCCGATGAATGAAATCGATAGGAACAACGCAATGTACAAGTCAGCAGCACCTCAATATTTTCACTTCCGCCTAATAACAGAGATACCACCCATATAGGGCCTCAAAACCTCTGGGATCTCTACAGAACCATCTTCAGATTGGAAGTTTTCTAGAATGCTCACGATCAGACGTGGAACTGCACAGGCAGTAGCATTCAAGGTATGGGCAAACCGTGGTGGAGCCAAAGGTGGCTTGGCTTTACCACCTTTTTTTCCTTTCTCTGGCTTTGTAGAGCTTGCCTCCTGATCACCAGAGTTCGATGCAGGGCGATATCTGATATTCAGTCGACGAGCTTGGTAGTCGGTGCAGTTTGACGCACTAGAGATCTGCAAATTACAACAAGTGTGAGCGTTAGGATAAAACTCTCCACCATTCCAGCCAGTGTGGACGCACAACCACACGAAGCGAAAATTAACAATGACCACCGCGGACGTACCTCTCCATATCTGTTTAGCCCTGGCATCCAGGCCTCAATGTCAAACTTGCGATAGGCAGGAGCGCCTAGATCCGCTGTTGGCATGTCCAAGGTGCTGTAGACAATGGGGGGGTGTACAAGAGTAAAATGCCATGATGAGCTTCGTGAGGACAGGTGAGGGGCGAGGTGTAGACAGGTGTGGATGAGGTGAAGATGAGGTGGTACAGCACGTATTGAGCAGACAATTAGGAACAACAAAGGTTATCCGAGTGTGACACACGTACACAAAGTGTAGACCGAGGGCCGTGTACATGTCCTCCTCGATCTGAATGAGCTCCTGGTGGAAGGCATTGCTGTCCTCCGGGCGGCACACCACAAACATCTCCAGCTTGCTGAACTGGTGCACGCGGTACAGCCCTCTGCATACACAGTGGCGCAGCAGGGTCAGAACCCACGGGTAAGGGAGGGGTAAGATGGAGACCGCGTTACTCTTGAGCTCGCTGGTGAAAACACGACGTGTGCGTGTAAAAATGGGCGAGAATTTCTTTGATAAGAGTGGGTGAACGGAGGTGTTGGGCCCACCTCACCCGGACCCGTCCAATGGGCTCCACACAGTGGACCACAGGCAAGTGCCCGAGGCCACTGCAAGGTGCTTCAGGGGCAGGAGAGAGGCACAGCCCCGGTCGCTCTGGCTTACTTGATTTTGTTTGTTGATTGTTGGCCATGGGAAAAGACCAACGATCGACCGTCAGTAAGCGGAAATTAGCCGACACACACACATGCCTTGCTATAACGCTCATTTTGGTCCGCACAATGCCTACTCCTATCCTCCCACGCATTGGCGCTCCTATCAAACCTCTCCCATCCCTGGGCCCCACGCTACCTGGTGGCAGAGCCGGCCGCGCCAGCCTCTGTGCGGAAGCAGTGGGAGAAGGCCACAACACGCTGCGGCAGATCTGATTCGCTCAGGATCTTATCCATGAAGCTGCCGCCCACAGGAATCTCTGCTGTGCCGGCCAAGCACAAGTCCGACCCCTCCACTGAGTACACCTGCGTGTTGGCGGCGCGCGGCTGGAAGCCGCATCGCTCTACGACGTGCGAGCGCACGAGGTCGGGCGTGGACACGGGCGTGAAGCCTCGCGCGACGAGCAGCGCGAGCGCCCAATTGAGCAGCGCCATCTCCAGCAGCGCCGCCTCGTTGCGCAGATAGTAGAACTTGGCGCCGCTCACCTGGCGGAGAGGGAAGGGGGGCGGAGGGCGAGGGGAGACAACGGAAATATAACGAATTTCACACAACAGTTAATTCGTTGCGCAAAGTTGCTGAAATTGGTGAGAAGTTAACTAGCTTAGGACCTGATCAAAAGGCTAAGCTTCCCAAGCGAGTAATACGGAGGGGGACTCCAGGGAGGAGGTGGAATAGGAGTGACATCCGCCGTTACTCAAGCAGTCGCACGTTCTCGACCCATCACAACCCCCCAATCAGGCTCACACTACCCTCACACGACAGGCTGACAGCAGCTCAGCGCACCTCAGCAGCGGAGTCGAAGTCGAAGAGGTCGAGCGCGAGGCCGAGCTCCACGTGGTCCTTGGGGGGGAAGGCGAACACGCGCTTCTCGCCCACCTGATGCCGTGAATCAGGGGGAATGCATGAAGGCATGAAGGCGTGAGAGAAAGTCAAACAGCAGCATCCACGAAAAAAAATTCCAGTAGAATTTGGTGCCAGTAATTGGAACAATCAGCAAGAAACTCACCGTTCGCAAAGTGACAGCCACTTCCTCTCCGCCACGTGGCACGTCGGGATGGGTCAGGTTGGGAAGGCGCTGGCCTTCCCGCTGCAGCTCAGAAGCCACCTCCCCCAGTTCAGACTCGAGCCCCGCCAGCACGTCCTTCAGATGCTTGCCTTCGCTCACCAGCCTCGCCCTCTCCTCCGCCTCCAGCTTCGCCTTCATCGCGTTCGCCACTTTGTTCCGCTCCGCCCGTAGCCGATCCACCTCCTGGAGGATTGATAACCCACGCATGCACGCACGCCATGCATCATATGCCAAGCAGATCATGCACGATAGACTGCTGAATTAGCAACAGTCTAGTGATTCCGGAAGAAGTAGTCTTGCAAGCATAAACAATGGACTTCATGAAGAGAATTATAAAATTATTCTTACCAGATTCTTTGAAACAAAGTCTTCGTAAAGCTCCACGACACGAGCCACGTCAGCATTGGACTGCCGTTCCTTGACATTAGCCTCCATCAGGTCCCGGTTCTCTCGTACCCACTTGAAGTCAATGCTCGCCTTCCACGTGGCAGGAGGAGCAGCAGCAGCTTTCACTGAACCGTCGTTCGACTGACTCGGAGGGGACACCTCCTTCGCCTCAACAGCTGCTGAAGAAGCGATCACTGATGGCATCGCTGACGAGACTGACGCGTATGGTCTCAATCGGTCATTATTCGAATGACGCTGCGTTCCAAGGAACGAAGTGAGGCGACTTCCTTGGACCAAGGCGTTAGTCGTGGTTTTCTTGTGCAATCTGCACGGCTGGGCAGTTGGAATAACGGGTAGTCTAACTGACAAGCTTAATACCTCTGCTGCGTGACACGCCATTCTCGCGATTCGTTGCTGAGGCAAGCTGAGTCCAGGAACGGATGATTCGAAAAGGTTGAGCCGGCGTATCACAGGAGATGGCAAGCCGTGGCTTGAAACAAGCAGTCTCGTAAGCCCGCGCCGAGAAATGTTCATGCCCTAATTGCTCTCGACAGATGACACTAACAAGCTGCTCAGTAGCAGCGGGAAACTCTTCAACAGAACATAACCAGCACGTCCTGAAAAAAAGCTGGAGCAATTTCTGTAAACTGCCTGACAAACTAAACTAAAGCCCTGAAGCTTTCCGTCAATGTCCACCCTTTCTGGTCAGGAGGCAGAGGTGAGAGGGAAGTGGTTTTCTCTTGGGATTGGATTATTGTGGTGGAGATGGGCGCAAAATTGTTATCCTTGGCAGATGTTATCGGGGCTGCGGAGGAGCTGGGTCCACGTCATCGACACACTGGCAAATGCAATCGGCTTCCTGTGATGCCACGTGTTGGCCCAATGGCATTGATGATTATTGAGATACATTAGATCAGTCTACACTTAGCAGATACGAACGGATGTTTCAATTAGCATGAGACCTCAGGCAAGTGAAACATAATCTATGAGGACTAAATAAGAATTAGAGATGCTGTCAGATTTCCACGAAGGGCCACCAATGTCTTCCAATAATTTAACCTGCAAAACAACACATCCCATCAAATTAGAAAACCTCAGCAGTATGCACAAACTCAGCGGCGCTAAATTAGGACCACGTACCTGAGTTGCAGGGCTACCAGTTCTTGCCACCTCGCCTACCGCCTCGATTACCCCCTCGGTTATAACCACCACCTCGCCGGCCTTTCTGAGGAGTTCCACCTCCCCTGGTGAATCTGAACGGACCCGGTTCACTTGACTCAGCTGCTGGCCCATCCTTGCTGTCAGCCTCATGCTTACTGGCAGCACTTTCATCGCTAAAACCTGTAGGCAAAGCTACAGCTTCAGCGGACACAGGTTCAGCAGGCATAGGTTCAGCAGGGGTAGCTTCAGCAGGAGTGGCCCCAGCAGGAGTAGCTTCGGCAGGAGTAGCTTCGGCAGGAGTAGCTTCGGCAGGAGTAGCTTCGGTAGGCATCGCATTGGCAGGCGTAGCATTGGCAGGAGTAGCTGCAGCAGGAGTAGCTTCAGCTGCCTCCTTTGCGTCTACACCTGCCTCAGTCACAGCATTGTCCTGGTTCGCTGCACCATCCTGACTCACTGCATCAGCCTGGTTCACAGCACCGTCTCTCAAGGCAGCTTCAGATTCCTCCTGATGCTCCTGCACGCCAGCCTCCTGCACGCCAGCCTCCTGCACGCCAGGATGGACAGCAGGTAGGACGCCACTGCCATACGACTCCAGCACAACCACCTGCTCCAAGTCACCACCCGCTTCCGCTGCAGAGGCCCCCTCCTCGTGCGCCACCTCATCTTCCTTCTCCTGCTGCAGCACCTTCTCTTCCTCTTTCTGCCCTGGCACCTCTGCTTCCCTTTCATGCGCCTCCTCACCAATCCCCTGCTGCTCCCCTACCTGCTCCGTCCGCTCCTTCTCCTCCTCCACCACCTCCTTCTCCTCCTCCACCACCTCCTTCTCCTCCTCCACCACCTCCTTCTCACCCTCCCCATCGCCCACGCCACCCGCTACTACTGCTGTCAGCCCCTCAACCGCGTCCTCCCCCAGACTGCCCTCGCTGCTGCTGCTGTCATCACTGCCAGCGAGACTGCGAGTGGACAGCCCATCAAACGCCTTGAGAGTCGTCTCGTCCTTCTCTTTCCCTTCCACTACAGAATCTTCACCCCGAAGAGCCCCCTCCTGTCGCGCCGTTGCTGCTGCATCCTGCTGCTGCTGAATCAGCGCTGCCAGCTGGCTCTCCAGCTCCTTCACACGCCCTGCCAGCTCATCGCGCTCACTGCCTGCCAGCTCAGCAGCCCTCTCTGCTGCCACCTTGGCAGCGTCCAGCTGGCGATTCTCCTCGAGTAGTGCCCTCAAGTCCTCCATCTGCTGTGGTGTCAGCCCTATCGGCACCTCCATTGCCTCAGGCTCGTCTGCTGCTCCTGCTGCTGCTGCATCTGCTTTCAGTGCTTCTGCATCTGCTGCCCGTGATCCAGCCTTTGATGGAGCTACTGCAGCTGTAACCCCTCCTGCTGCTGCTGTTACCACCAACCCTCCCAGTGCCTCCTCCTGAGCTTCCCTCATCTTCCTCCAGTCCTCCAGCCTCCCTTCGCTCTCCTCCAACCTTCTCTCACTCTCCTTTAACCTCCTCTCCCTCTCCCCAACCCTCCCCTCACTCTCCTCCACCTGCTTCTCACTCTCTCTCAGCCTCTCCTCAGTCTCTCTAACCCTAGCTTCCAGCACAGCACACTCCTCCCTCACTTTCTCACTCTCCTTCTCCGCTTCACCCATCACCTCCTTCCTCCCAGCTTCCACCCCCTTCCCAAACGCCTCTACCGCCTGCTCCTCCCCGGCTGCTACAGCAGCCGCCACAGCTACAGCCACCTCTGCCTCGTGCGCTGCTACAGCCTCTGCTACAGCATTCGCAACAGCACCAGCCCCTGCAGCCTCAATCTCTTTGGTTCTCTCGGCTGCATTCGCCTCAGCTTCCTCCCTCACCGCCTCCACCTCCTTCCTTCTCTCCTTCCGCTCTCTCTCCAACTGCTGCCGTGCAGCCTCGCCTGCTGCCTCTGCTGCGGCATCCGCTGCAGCATCTGCGGCTGCTTGGGCGGCAGCTTGGGCAGCTCGCACAGCAGCAGCCACCACTTGCTCCTGAGACGCCTCTGCCGCCTCCAGCGCCTCTAGCGCCTCTCTCTCCTTCACCCTCATCTCCTCCACTCTCCTCGCACTCTCCTGCGCCCTCCTCTCACTCGCCTCTAGCTCATTCTGCAGCACCACACACCTTTCCTTTGCAGCATCCGCTTCTGCCCTCGCATCAGCAGCCAAGGCTTCAGCTACCTTGACTGCTTCAGCAGCAGCAGTGGCTCTAGCCTCGGCTTCCGCCACTGCGGCTGCAGCTTCCCTCATCCCTTCCTCTCGTCCCGCTGCTACAGCATCAGCCACTCTTCTTTCCACAGCTGCCTTCACCTCTAGAACCTCTTGCTGAATCTCCTCCTCCCTCTGCATAGCAGCACGCAGCTGCTCCTGCAGCATCCTCACCTGCTGCTCCCTCTCCTCTGCTGCTGCCCCGGCTTCCACTAGCTCCCTCTGAATCTCCTCTTTCTGTCTTAGAGCAGCCTCAAGCCTGTTCTTTATCTCAGCAGCAGCAGCAGCAACGCGGCTGCTATCAAGCTCCGAGTTCAGCTCTGCCATCCGCGCCTCATGCTCCGCTATAAGCTGCCCCTGTTGCGTTATAATCGCCTGCGCGGCCTCTGAAGCAGCCTCTTGCATGTCCACGAGCTGCCTGTACTGCCCCTTGAGCTCCTCCACCTCCTCTCGCGCCCCAGCAGCAGCAGCCTCTGCAGCTGAAACGGCTTCAGCAGCAGCAGCTTCGGCAGAAGTCACAGCATCATCAGCAGCTGCCTTCGCAGCAGTCACTGCTTCAGCAGCAGCAGTCTCGGCAGCAGCCACAGCTGCACTTGCATCGTCCTTCACTCGCGTTGCCTCCTCTCTAGCCGCCTCTGCTGCTGCCTCTGCCTGTATTATTGCCGCTCTAGCTGCCGCTTCAGCAGCCTCAGCAGCAGCAGTCTCAGCAGCAGCAGACGCAGTAGCAGCAGCAGCTCGCTCCTCTACCAGGGCCTTAGCCGCCTCTGCCTGCTCGCACGCAGCAAGGAGAACCGCCTCGGCTGCTGCTGCCGCCACTGCTGCCTCTTCCGCCCTCCCCCTCCACTCCTCCAGCTCTTCAGCCGTTGCACTGAATTCCTCCCCCTTCTTCTCCCACGCCTGCAGCTTTGCTTCCCTCTCTGACAGCGCCTGCTGCAGGCCTGCACGCTCTTGCTCCGACTCAGACTGCGCCTGCTCCAATATAGAGTTCCTCTCTTGCAGCACAGTGCGCTCCTGCTCCGCCAGGGAATACACCCGTTCCAGTGACGCGAATTTCTCCTGCAGCAGCTGCACCTCCTGCTCAAGCACAGGTGACAGGGATGGCGCAGGTGTGTTGCTGGGAGCAGGCGCCCCTTCCTCTTCGGATGAGCTGGTGGGTGCAAGCATACTCCCTTCCCCTTCGTCCCCTGATACAACCTCACTCTTCCCAGACTCCTCCCCTTCCTCATCCACCACACTCCCACTCTCCCCTCCACTCTCCTCTCCACTCTCCGCCTTTCCTTCCGCGCTCCTCCCCTCTCCGCTCCCCCCTGCTCCCGTCCCTTCCGGCTCCTGCACCTCCCCCTTTCGATTCTTCAGAGTCTCGCACTGCTTCTGAAGCGCATCGCATTTCCGCTCCCACGCCTGCACTAGCGGCCCCATCTCCGCCTGCATCTCCGCGCGCATCTCGTCGCGCCCCTTCTGTAACGAAATCTCCGCCGCCAGCTCTACCGCCGCCACCGCGGCCGCCTCCTTCCGCTCCGCCGCCGCCGCCTGCTCCACCGCCTCGCTCCCCGCCACCTCCCAGTACCGCGCGCGCCCCTCGCTCTCCTCCAATCGCTCCTCCAGCTCTTTCACCCGCGCGCCTGTCGCTTCCGCTTCTTCCGCCATCGCGGCGGAGGCATCCGCCACCTTTTCCCGCGCCATAGCCGCCTCGAGTTTGGCGTCCGCCGCCTCTCGCCGCGCCTCTTCCGCCTCCCGTTTCGCCTCCTCCGCCTCCTCCGCCTGCTGCTTCGCTACAGTCAGCTCCGCTTCAAGCATCTCCACTATAGAGACGGCCTCGTGGCCTCTGTTTTCCCAGAGCTCCGCCTTTTCCTGCATTTCCCGCAGATCGTTCTCCAGCGCCTCCGCCTGCTCCTGCACCGCCTGGTATTGCGCGCCCAGCGCCGCGCACTCCTCATCCAAGCGCTCCGCCTCCGCTGCTGCGCGGGCAGCGCGCGCCTCTGCTTCCGCTACCTCCGCCTCTTTCCGCGCGCTTTCCGCCATGGCCTCGCGCGCAAGCCTCTCCCATTTCTCCGCGGATTCCTCCGCCTTGGAGAGCTGCTCCTCCAGCTGCCTCCCCCGGCGCACGGCGATTTCCAGCTCCCGCTGCGCGGCCAGAGATCCTTCCGCCTTCCCCACGCGGTACTGCTCCGCCGCTGCGGCCTCCGCCGCCTGCTTTGCCGCCTCCTTCGCCGCCGCCACAGCCTCCGCAATCTGCGCCTCCAGCACGCCTTCCGCCGCCCTGGACTCCCCCTCCTCAGATTTCCCCCCACTGGCTCCGCCTGTTTCTCCTTCCGCGTTAGCATTTCCACCCCCGGAAATGTCCCCGCTTCCGCTTCTTCCCCAATTGCCCCGTTCCAGCTCCTTCAACCGCCGCAACAACGCCTGGCATTGCTCCGCCTGGGCTTCCGCCTCCCTCTCCGCCTCCGCTGCCCTCGCTTCCGCGCGCGCCTTCTCCGCGCGCTGCTCCTCCAGCGCGTGCTCGAGCTCCGCCAGCCCGTCCATCCGCTGCGCAACCCCCTCCTCCTGGCGCAGCAGCTGCGTCTGCATGTCTAGAATCATCTCGTCGCGCCTCCGCAGCTGCGCGCGCAGCCGCAGCACCTCCTCGCGGCGGGAGGGGAGCCCCGCGGCGGAAGAGGGGCTGGACGTATGCGCGGACGCCCCCAGCCCGGAGAAAGTCCCCACGCCGCTCCCCAGAAGACCCAGCGGCGTTCCGCTGCTCCCCGCGCCAGTTCCATCTGTTCCGCCGCCGCCGCTGGGGCTGGCGCCGGTGAAGCGGAACACGCCAGCAGAAGGGGAAGAGAAGGGCGCGTGCGGAGCCGCGCGCTCACCAGTCTGGGAGGGGGTGCGCAGCTGAAGCGAGGAGGACGGGCCCGCGCCCGCGCCAGGGGCGGAGCTCTCAGGGGTAAACAGGGGCGCTTTCCCCTTAGCCGCCGCAGCTGCCATGGCGGACGCTGCTGCAAGCGCGTCGGAAGGAAGCGCAGCCCAGAACTCCGGAGCATCCTTGCCCAGCAGACCCAGGCCCACAGGGGGAGCCCCTCCCGTTGCTGCGCCTGGCGCCACGAGGATGTGGTGAGGGGGAGCGAAAGGGGGAAGGGAGGGGGCGGCGAGCGCGCCTGCGGCAGCGGCGGCTGTGCCGGCTGCCAAGGCAGCGGTGGCGGCGGCGGCGTCTTGACCAGAGGAGAGGGAGTAAGTCCGCGCCCTGCTGCCTGCTCCACCAGCACCAGCACCAGCAGCAGCGGCTGCGGCGGAGGAAGAAGAAGGGGAGAAGGCATCAGCGGTGTAAGCAGCAGCACTGGTGGCACTGCCCTCTTTGTAAGCCCTACTGCTCCCTCCCCCTCGTCTCCGCCTCTCGCTGTAGCTCCCCCGCTCCGCCGGCGCAAGCCTGTTCCCCACGTACCCTCCCTGCCCGGAGTACTGCTCCCCCAGATAAGCCTCGCGCGACTCCCCGCTGTCGTCCGCCCCGCAATCGGCCCCGCGCGCGCGCTGCCTCCCCCCGTGCCCCTCGTGCCCGCGCGAGTGCGCGTGCCTGTGGTCGTATGCGCGGTCGTGGTGGTGGCTGTGACGGCTGCTGCTCCGCCTGCTGCTGCGCCCGCCGCCGTCCCCCGTGACGCTGCTGCCGCGAGGATCGCTCAGGGCGACTGTAGGCCCGGGGAGAAGGTGGGGAGGTTGAGGGGGCAACTGACTAGCAAAGGACGGCGAGTGGGAACGGGGACAGGAGGAACAGTAAGCGGTTTGGGTGCTTCGCTGAGGAAGAGAGAGTCAGAGAGGGCGGTGGGTGAGAGGGAGGGAGGGAGGGAGGGAGGGGGTGGGTGGGTGGACGGAGAAAGGGAAAAGAGAAGGAGAGGGACAGGGGTGTCATTCTCCTTGCCTCGCTTCCCGGCGTGTCACTCACCGTTCCCGCCGACTCTAGAAGACTCTCCGTCGCGGCTCCTTTCCGGGCGTCCGTCGCGTCTTCTCAGCCTCCGAATCTCATCCGCGCTTCCCGAGCCTGACATTTGTCCCGAGCCTGACATCTGCCCCGAGCCTGACATGCCGAAGCTGTCCGATGGTCCGGTGGAGCCGACGCAGGACTCCGTAAGATGCGCCTTGCGCCGCTTGTTGCCCACCGCAGACGCCGCCGCGGCGATGGCGCCGCCCGCCAGCAGCACCCACGTGAGGGTGTCGCGGGGAAGGAAGTCCTGCGCGGACCAGGCAAGGCGGAGGGGGACGGCGGAAGGAGGGGAAGAGGAAAAAGGTGTGGGACAGGGAGTCAAAACTAGAAACTTCTAATCTTCTATACAAACATAAAGAAGAAGAAAACGACGAAACAGATAACCGGGAAACGTAGAGAATAGCATAGCTTGCCACCCATGGAGTGCACTCAGTAAGTGAAGACACAGAAGAGACGGCCGCCGAGGGGGCACGAGGGGCTGACTGACCCGTTGAGACGACACGTCCCGCCGTCTCTCCCGCGACGACTCCCGCGCGCCGGCCCTCTCCTGCTGCTCGCGCATCCGCCTGAGCCGCGCAGCGTCCTCCTCGCGGCGCTGCAGCTCGTGCAGCAGCTGCTGCTCGCTCAGCTCCTCCCACCGCGTGCGCGGCGACATCTCCATGTCCAGCGGGAGAACCCGCGTCTGCCCCTCCTCGCGGATCTGCTTCGCCTCGCCGTCATCAGCTTCGGCATCTTCCCGAACCTCCTTGACGAACGGGAGCGAGGATCGGCGGTGCAGGGAGGGCTTATTTTCCGAGAATGAGCTTTTCTTCTCCGTGGTCGACGGTGGCTCCTGCGGATGATTCATATCCTCCAGGAGCTCTGGTTGTTTGTCGGCGGGGCTCGAATCGTCGCCTTCCGTCGCGTCGTCGTGCGACGGTTCTGCGTGTCGCTCGAAGAGCAGCTTGCGAAGAATGCGAGGGTCGAGCGACAGAGACCGCTGCGGGCACTGGAAGAAGCGAGGAAGGGAGAGGGGAAGCGGTAACGGCGACTGCTTCGGCTCCTGGTCAGCATGCGAGTGCTGTTGCTCTTCGCCGTCGGCGCTCAGCCCTTGCTCCGACGGCTGGTCGGCTTGAGCCTGGTCATTCTGATCGTCTCCTTGTTGCTGCGACTGCGGTTGCTGTTTCTTGCGCTGCTGCGGCGAAGGCAGGAACTGCGTGCGGTACGAGCCGGCCGGCCGTGCGAGGTTGCTGATGAAGCTGGCCAGCGACGACTCCGACGACGAATCCGGTGCTTGCGACAGCCTCACGCGATTCTGCACGGAGTGAAACATGATTGGGAAATCAACGAAACAAGGATGGGAGACGGAAAACTCCGGTGTATGTTGGGGCTCGGAAAATTCTATGCAAGGACGGGACAAGGACAAAACCTTGTTGACTCCGTGCATGCACGTGCTGGACATTCGCGCTCAGGCGAAGGACGCAACTAAGACTTGGTTAAAGTCGACGCCATTGTCAACTAGAAGCGGACAGCTGCAAGCCTGCGTATCAAAGCGTGAACATTGGGAGCAGTGCATGGAGAGCGGAAGACCTGTCCGTACCCGAATGCTGATGCCCTTATCGTCCAGCGTATACGAAGACCACCCTTCACGCTCCATCTAGAAACTTAATCCAGACAAAACGTGGTGTCAGTGATGGGTTTTCTTAGACCAATAAGTTAGTGTCAGTGTTAGTATCTCCTAGAGCGCCAGGCGGAACCAGCTGGCTATCTCATAACAGGTGACACAAGGATAGCCATCTAAAGGCAATGAAGAATCAATCTCAGAGTCACGAGTTCCAAACAACTAGTCTAGGGAAGAGCCAACAATTTCCAAGGGAAGGAGGTCCAAGTACGGCCGCCAACCGCCAAGCCTCATGTGCCAACGAAAAATTGGCCCCAAAATTGGTGGCCCCTAACGGACCTCGCGAACTTGGAGCTAATTTTTACCGTCGATTGATTTGCTCGGCACCAGACGTGATGAAATCGAACGGCGAAACAGCTCGTCAAGCGGTCGGCCCTCTTCTTGCCTCGGCCTCGACACCTCACCTCGAGACTCGTTTTTGCATGCTCCCTCAAACAGAGAGGCTCGATTTGCCGTGCCGCGTGTGGCTTGGTGGGGTTCGCGCCAATTTGGCACGGAAACGCCAAGCCGAGCAACGGACAAACTCAAATGTATCAGCTCCCAAAACGTATATCGTCTTTGGAAGAGAGAAGATTAACACACACTAGCAGGTATAAAGACACGTCTAAAACGCGTTCAGTTCGAGCTTGATTTCTGTTCGTGTGCATGCTTTCGGAACAGTTCGCAGTGTTACAGATGGTCGTCGCATGACATGCATGGCATTGCCATCCAGGCCTCGCACAGGCGGGAACAGATTGGATCGCAGGTGGTCGCACAATGTGGTTTCAGATCACCGCATTGATAATCCTTGGAAACGCTGTGTAAGCGTAAAGAACCATAATATAGCCCTCAGAGGCATCAAGTTATCTTCATTCCAGGTTCGCTTCATGCACCACCCTCACCCATTCTCCTCCATTCCGAGATAAGCCCACCACAGCAGCTCTGCTTTGGAACTCTCTAGAGTGGGGTCTGGGACATCAAGGGAGCTGGTTTTCAGCTCTCTTGATTGCCCACACCACTCTTGGTCGCTGGTGACTCCTTCCTCGTAGGAATAGCGTCTTATCGCCGCCTACTTTCAAGAATACGCGTCTTCTTTTATAAGTTTTGTACGCGGCAGAGTATTTTTCAGGCGCCTGTTTGCATGCAAAGATCTGAGCAGCAGATTCCGGATGAGTCTGTGCTGAACGTTACCCGATCTGAGATAGTTCACCACGAGGTGACGCGGAAGGTGAGTCTAGGATGTCGATTGCTCTGTTCGACTGCGTCGCTGGCTTGGTGCTATGAAATTTCCCTCTGATTTTACGATCCAGGAAGGCTGATAGGGGTTTTGCTTGACTGCTTGTCCAATGACATTTTCCCGTCGTTTTTTTGCAGGATTCCGCGTCCCTCTAAAAAGCTGGTCCGGTATGGACGACCTCGCTAGTGTTTGCAGCACCAGCACGGCGGCCGCGCCCATCGACCCGGCGGAGTACTGGCGACAGTACAACGCTGTGCAGCTTAAAGAGAAGCACTGGGCTAACGAATCGGATGACACCGACGCGGAGTCCTGGCGCGACAAGGACGGCTCGTGGGGCGTGTCCGGCGCCACCGGGTACGGCGCCTCGTGGGGCGCCGCCAACAGCTCAGGTTGGGGCTCTTCTGCCACTCCCGCCGCCGCGCCAGGGCCGGCGCTGGCCGCAAGTCAAGCAGCAGCAGCAACAGCAGCAGGTGCATCAGGGACGGGTGCAGCAGCAACAGCAGCGGCAGGAGCAGTGACGGCGGCCGAGGCGAAGAAAAAAAAAGCGGCGAAGAAGGCACCTGCTGCAGCGGCGTCCTCCCCCACTGCCGCGGCAGCGGCCGCGCTGAAGAAACAGCCGCTGGCGAAACCCGGAAGCCCCGCGCCCGCTGCGGCAAAGAAGAAGAAGAAGAAAGACGTCGTGGGCCCTGGTGTGGCAGCTGTGTCGCCGGGTGGCGCCCTCGCCGGGTACACCGTCAGCGGTTACAAACCGCCGTCGGTGGTAACCACCGCGAAGCCCGCGGGGAGCACGAGCTCCACCCGTTCGGTGGCCGGGAGCAGCAGCGCGATTCCCTGGTGGGCCTCGCTGGGCGGCGGCGCGCCTGCCGCAACCGGCGGCGGCAGCAGTGCGCCTGGCAGCACGACCTCCGTGCCCGCATCTCCGTCTTCCCGCGTTCCGCCAATGGCGCCCCTTCCGCCAGCGGCTGCGCCACAACCACCTCCGCCTCATCAACCCCCCTTCCCGCCCCACGCCCCCGCGCCTTTCACTTCCTCCGCCCCGCATCTCCCCCAGCAGCCGCAATCCTTCCCGCCTCCGCCACATTCCGCGAGGCCTTCCGCCCCTGGGGGGTATGCGCCATCCGCTCAGGGGCCGTATGGCGGAAGAGCTCCTTCCCCCCCGACGTGGGGCCATAGTTCCGCTAACGTACCGATCGGTCTGGCGGGTCAGGTGTCCAATCAGCCCCAGGCTTGGTCCGCGCCGAACCAGGCTGCTGGCTGGTCCGGACCGAACCAACAGCCCCATGGTTTGTTGGGTCCGGGTCAGGGCTGGCAGGGGTCAAACCAAGCGCCCCATGGTTGGCAGGGACCGAGCCAAGCCCCCCAGGGTTGGCAGGGCCCGAACCAAGGGCCTCAGAGCTGGCAGGGCCCGAACCAAGAGCCTCAGGGATGGCAGGGGCCGGATCAAGCGCCCCAGCGTTGGCAGGGGCCGAACCAAGGCCCTCAGGGCTGGCAGGGGGCCAATGAAGCCCCTCAAGGCTGGCAGGGGGCGAATCAAGGGCCGCAGGGCTGGGGAGCGCAGTCGGGAGCGGAGCAGGGACCTGGGCAGCAGGCGCTTGCAGGAGCGTGGTGGGAGGAGGGGCGGGGGCAGGAGCAATGGCAAGCGCAGGCGCAGGCGCAGGCGCAGGCGCAGGGGCAGGGGCAGGGGCAGGGGCAAGGGCAGTGGCAACTGAAGGCGCATGGAGCGGGAGATTGGGAGGCGCCGCAAGCTAAGGGACAAGGACCGTGGGGCAGCGCGCATGGGCCAGCGGCGCAGCAGGCGGGGCGCGGGGCGGGGCAAGGCGGGGAGTGGTGGGAGCGTGACGTTGCTGTTCAGACAGGGCCTGCCGTTCAGACAGGGCCTGCCGGCCAACGGCCTCCCCCGAACGCCAGCCTACAGCCAAATGTTGGCCCACACCCAAGCATGGGCTCTCATGCCATTGCCTCCCAGCAAATGGCGGCGCCCCAGGCAGTGCGTGTGGTGTCCGCTGTGCCCTCCCTGCCGCCGCCGCAGGCGCAGTCGCGAGCGCCATCCGCAGCAGGATCATGGCGATCAGAGCCCGCTGCAGCAGCAGGCGCAGGCGCAGGCGCAGGAGGGGCAGGGGGAGCGGCTCAGGGAGCAGGGTTGCTGATGGTGGCGGGAACAGGCGCGCAGCGTTGGGGGGGCAGCCAACCGCCACAGGCGCCGCGCACCCCCTCCGACTCGGGCTCGGACGCCAGCCGGTGGCGTGCCAAGGAGTCTACCTCTGACGCCAGCCGGTACTCCGCGCCTGCCGGTCCTGCTGCTGGTGCTTCCGCGGGCACGGCGTGGGGTGCTAGCACGGCTGCACCTGGTACTGCGGGCGCTGGCTCCGACGCCAGCGGGTGGCGCGCCAAAGAGCCTGGCTCGGACGCCAGCAGGTACTCCGCCCCTGCTGCTCCTGCTCCTGCTCCTGCTGGCGCTGCCGCTGGTGGTTCCGCGGGGACAGCGTGGGGTGCTAGCACGGCTGCGCCTAGCACTGCTGGCTCTGGGTCCGACGCCAGCAGCTGGCACCGCAGGAACTCCACTACCTCGCACCCGGCTCCTCTGCCTGCTAACGCACCTGTTGCTGCTGCTGCCTCTGCGTGGGCTGCCACCCCTGCACCCGCAGGCGTCTCTGCCCCTGCCAGCACCGCGCCTGTCACCACTGCTGCGTATTCAAGCGCAGCTGCTGGCGATGCCGCTACGGCGGCGAGCAGTGGAGGCGCGGAGGGGCAGGTGGCGGGCAAGGTGGCGATCTACGATGGGTGGGGCGATGTCATCGGATGGAAAGACGCGCCTGTTGCTGCTGCTGCCCTGCCCGCCGCTGCTGCTGCTGGCGCGGCTGCTGACGGGGCCGCGGCTGGGGCTGCTGGGGCTGCTGGGGCTGCTGCGGCTGACGCTGGTGCGCAGGAGGGTGAGTATGCGGAGGGTGACTATGGCGAAGGGGAGTATGGAGAGGGGGAGTATTGGGAGGGCGAGTATGCCGAAGGGGAATACGCGGAAGGGGAATATGGGGAAGGGGAATACTCGGAAGGGGGGTATGCCGGCGATGGTTACGCCGAAGCGGGTTATGGGGATGGCGGGGGCGGCGGTAATGATGGCAAAGAGGAGGCGGACAGCGCTTTGGAAGGGGGTAAGGTGGAAGAGGATGGGGGAAAATCAGGTGGGGCGAATGAAGAGGGAGGGGAGGGGGACGATGAGTTCTGGGATGCGGAGGAGGGAGAGTTGGAGGGGAGTGTGGGCAGTGGCAGCGGCGGCGAGGGGGCGGGCAAGGAGGCGAGGGGGCAGCAGGCGCAGTTTGGGAAGCAGGCGGTGCCAGTGCAAGGAGCGGTGGGAGGGGAGAGTCCGAGCCTCACTTGGCAGCAGCAGCAGCTGCTAGGGAAGCAACCGCTTACATGGCAGCAGCAGCAGCAGCAGGAGGAGGAGGGACAACCGCAGCAACCGCAGCATCAGCAGCAGCAGTTTGCAAAACAGCCCCTTACGTGGCAGCAGCAGCAGTCAAAGGAAACACTCACATGGCAGCAGCAGCAGCAGCCCCAGCAGCAGTGGGGAGGCTCCTCGGCACAAGCCAAGGACAACGACTCCATAAGCGAACTCAGCTCCGCTAGTGGCTACGTGCGCCCCAGGAGCACTGCTACCAACGAGGACGCGAGTGTAGTCAGCGCTGCCTGGTCTGACGCCAAGTCAGACCTCAACAGCCAATGGGGCGACAGCGCCAGCGCCAGCTGGCAGAGCAGCAGCGGCTGGGGGGGGGAGAGTAGGGGTAGCGCCGGCGCAGCAGGGGGGAAGGAGGGTGCGGAGTGGGGGGATGCTGCGCCCAGCAGCGGCCGAGGCTCGGGCCGAACCTCCGGCAGGTATGTGCCACCGAGCAAGCGGGTTGGCGCTGGTAGTGGTGGCGCTGGTGGCGCTGGTGCGAGTGCGTCCGTGTGGGAGAAGAGCAGTGGAGGCGTGAGTGCTGGTGGTGGTGCTGGTACTGGCGCTGCTGCTCCTGCGTCTGCGTGGGAGAGGAGCAGCGGTGGCTTGAGCTCTGGTGGTGGTCGTGGCGGTACTGGCGCTGGTGGCGCTGGTGCGAGTGCGTCGGCGTGGGAGAGGAGCAGTGTGGGGTTGAGCAGTGCTGGCGTGAGCACTGGTGGTGTTGCTGGCGCCGGCGGTGCGTCTGCTAGTGCTGGTGCGTCCGCGTGGGAGAGGAGCAGTGGCGGCTGTAGCCCTGCTGCTGTTGATGCTGGTGCTGGTGGCACTGGTGCTGGTGCTGGTGGTGGCAGTGGCAGTGATGGTGGTTGGGGAGTGAGCTCAGCCAAGGCAGGGTCGAGCAAGTTCGGGGTGGAGTGGCGAAAGAAGCACAGCGTCTCGCCCACTCTTTCCTCAACGTCCTCTCATTTAGCTGCAGCTGCGGCGGCGAACGGGAGAGCAGGGGGTGCGGGAGGGGGTCCTGTGGTAGCCGGCAAGGGGGAAGGATGGGGGGACGCGGGAGGAGTGGGGGGATGGGGAGGGGCAGCAGCAGGAGCCCCAGCGGCAGGAGCAGCAGCAGCAGCAGCAGCAGCAGCAGCAGCAGCAGCAGCAGCAGGTGGTGGTGGTGGTGGGATGGGCAGCAGTGGGAACGCAGTGGCTGGGGCGAGTGGAGGGGGCGGGGGAGCAGTGGACAGTTGGAGGGCGTTTGGGCAGCAGAGGCAGGCGGAGCTGGGGGAGGGCGGATCTGACGAGGACATCTGGAAGCAGCAGGAGGAGGACGAGCGGCTGGCGCGCCAGTGGGGGGGCGCGGATAGCACGGGCTGGGGGGGAGTGGCGGGCGGGGGCGGAAGCAAGGGCGCGGGGGCGGGTGGAATCAAGGGCGCGGGGGTTGGTGGAAAGAAGGGCGCAGGGGCGGGCGGAAGCAAGGGCGCAGGGCGGGTGGTGGGAGGGGAAACGGGTTGGAGAGGTGCGGGGAGCAAGACGGGGCGAGGGGAGGGCGAGGCAGCAGCAGAAGGGAAGTGGAGGAAGGGTAGTGGCGGGGCGGAGGGGAAGGGCGGGGAGTGGAGGAAGAGCCATGAGCAGGAGGCAGTGGTGCCTACTGTGGCACCTATTCCCCTGGTGCCACCCATAGTGGCTCACAGGGAGATAGACGGGTGGGAGGCGGGGAGCAGGGGCGACAGCAGCGCATGGGAGACCGAGACCAACGCCTCTGCCGTCTCGTCGCTCAATAAGGGCCTGCGCGCCTGGCAACACGTCGCTACAGCCGCAGCGTCAGAAATAGTCCCGGTTGTAGCATCGGCTGTAGCGCCAGGGAGCGTGGTATCAGAGCGGTCAGCCACGGATAGTATTCTCTCTGCTATCGGGCTGAAGGCTGGGACCAGCGCTGAGACGTCTGTGACTCCTGAGACTAGCGGTGCTGGTAATTCTGCTGGTTACCCTGAGGGTAGCAGTGGCAGCGGGAAGGCGCCTGGGAGCGAGGGCTTGAGAGCGGGCGCGCCCTCCTTTCCCCCCGCTGCTGCGTCCTCCTCTTCCCTCCCTTCCTCTTTAAACCCTGATGCCGGCACATTCCTCCGAGCGGGTGCGCCGTCCTTCATCCGCGCCCAAGCACCTTCGTACATCAGTGCCCAGGCGCCTTCTTTTATTCGCGCATCCGCGCCCGAGTTCACGCCCTCGACCCCCTCCCCTCCCCCCGGCCACGTCCCCGCCCCCTCCACTGTCTCCGCCCCCGGGGTTCTTTCCCCCGCTCCACCGCACCCCACCTCCACGCCCATCTCTCCACCCACCTCCACGCCTTCCTCTTACTACGCCCAATCCCCTGCTTTCGCGGATCCTTCCGGCCAATCATACGGCGACACAGGGGTCTCTTGGCCGGCCATTGCCCCATCCACCGCCTTCCCTTCGCTCGGCCAACCTGGATTGGCCTCTGCTGCCATCCCGCCCCCCACTGCTTTTGCCCACGGCCTCCCACCTGATCCTGCTATAGCAGGGGTGGGCATGGGGATGGGCATGGGGATGGGGATGGGCATGAGCGCGGGCACGGGCGCTTTTATTCCCGCAACTGGTGGCGGGAGTATGGGGGGGAGTGGGGAGCAGGGCGGGGGTGGGGGGAGCAGGACGGAGGAGTGGGTGGGAACAGGCGGAAGCCTGGGCAGGGGTGGCGCTGCAAGTGCTGCAAGCAGTGCAAGCCGTGCAAGTCCTTCCGTTGCAAGCTCTGCTTCTGGCACTGCAAGGCAAGCAAATGCCACAGTCCCTGCCACAGCTGGGCCGAGGGCACAGAACCCCCAACTCCCCACGGAGATCGGCAGGGGGGGCATCGGCAACTCACCAGGAGCATCCTCCTGGTCGCAGTCCGGGTATGGCCCGCAGTCAGAGTTACATTCCAGTGTGCTAAGACTGCCAGCAGCAGGGGAGGGAGGCAGCGAGTACATCCCCCCTGTGAGCGAGCTGGATGTGGACTTTTCCGATAGTGTGAGTAATGCTGGCGCCGCTGATCGGGCCCGTGCTGCTGCTGCCGCCCTGGCTGCTGCTGCTGGCGGTAGGGCGGCTGGTGGGAGTAGGTTCGGCACTGGTGCTGCTGCTGCTGCTGCTCGTACTTCTGGTGCTCCTGCTGCTGCTGCTGCTGCTGCTGCTGCTGGTGTGACGCCCCAAGGACAAGCCATGGGCGGACTGCTGGGTGATTATGACGACGAGGAGGAGGACGACGACGAGTGCGCTGGCAGGGAGCTGGGCGATGAGGACGACGATGACGATGAGGACTTAGGTGCGGAATCAGCATTCGACTTGACTGCCACGGACTACAAGCACTCGCCCGCGGTCGCCCTCTTCCTCACCGACCTAAAAAAGCTGTCGGCGGATCAGATCAGGTCGCAGGACCGCGAGTACAAGTGCCCTGCGTGCAAGGGCGGGAAGGGCGAGACCGACTGGTGGCCGGGGATCCGGGCGCTGCTGCAGCATGCGGAGACGATCCGGTCCAGGAAGATTGGCGCGCACCGGGCGTTCGCTGCGGCGGTTCATGTGGATTTGAGGGAGAGAGGGGTGTTTCTGGGGGGAGGGGGTGTGGGGAGGGAGGGGCAGGAGGGGGTGCTGCAGGGGCAGTGGCGGGGGGTCGGGGGGCGGAGGGCGGAGGAGGGGAATGCGACGGTGCTGTGGCCGCCCGTGGTGATTATTAGGAACACTCGCCTGCGACCCGATGAGGATGGACGGGTACGTGGTGGTGTGATGGGAGGGTGGGTGGTGATGGGCATGTGGGTGATGGGAGGGTGGGTGGTGATGGGCATGTGGGTGATGGGAGGGTGGGTGGTGATGGGCATGTGGGTGATGGGAGGGTGGGTGGTGATGGGCATGTGGGTGATGGGAGGGTGGGTGGTGATGGGCATGTGGGTGATGGGAGGGTGGTTGAAGGCGGGGTGGGCGGCTGACAATGGGAAGAAGGGTGCATGTAAGAGAAAGGGGCAAACAGACTCCAGAATGGGTTGATGAGGTCTAAGCAGCCGCTCTGCAAGTCCCATTTCCAATCGATCGCTATGGTCTCCACACTGGCTTATTCCCCGCCCTCCCCTCACGCTCATTTTCCGTCTCGGTCGTGCTGCTTTTCCTCCCACACTTACCTTCCTCTCCCACTCCTCCACACCGACCCTCATTCTCTCCTCCCCCCCGCCCTCACTGTCACTTACGTGCATCTCGGTGTTCCTGAGGCAGTGGATAGGCATGGGTAGCTATGAGCTGCGCCAACACTTCTCTCATTTCAAGCTCATTGTGAAGACCAAGCACGCATATGGCCCTCAGGTGACCGCTCTCTCCTAACACGCACTCTCTAAGCATGCACCTCCGTGCACGCACTCTCTAAGCATGCACCTCCGTGCACGCACTCTCTAAGCATGCACCTCCGTGCACGCACTCTCTAAGCATGCACCTCCGTGCACGCACTCTCTAAGCATGCACCTCCGTGCACGCACTCTCTAAGCATGCACCTCCGTGCACGCACTCTCTAAGCATGCACCTCCGTGCACGCACCACCACTACACATGCACGAGGCCACATTGTCTCAACTGGAGTCTTCTCTCCCTCTCGTTCTCCACTAACCCTCGTCCACCTCCCTTGGCCAAATTCTGTCTCAATTGTTCCATGCCCCGTGCCCTCCTACTGCCTTTTCCCCCCCACACCCACCAGGGCCATCGCGGCATGAGCATTCTGGTGTTTGACGCCACACCGGACGGCTACAAGGAGGCCGAGCGTCTGGCACAGCAGTTTGAGCGAGAGGGGCGCGGGCGGCTGGAGCTCTCAAGGCGGTCGGCGCCTCTTGTGGACCGGTCGGGGAAGAGGAACCTGTTTGGGTACCTTGCTACTCAGCAGGATGTGGACGAATTCAACCGGTGCTGCAAAGGTGGGGCTAGGTGTGGGGTGCGGTTGGGCACAGTTTGCGGACGGTGGGACAGGTCGGGAGGGAGGTAGGGGAGGGGCGGGTGGGTGGACCTGTCTGGGAAGCGCAACCTGTTTGGGTACTGCCACCCAGCAGGATGTTGACGAGTTTAACCGGTGCTGCAAAGGTGGGTGGATGATTGGGAAGTTGGCTCTGAGCCGTCCGATTTGTTTCTTCTTCCGCCCATCCATCTGCACTGAACCATGATGGGTGTGTGCGTGGGGGGTTTGGGGGGGGGGCAGGCAAGGCAGCGTTGAAGGTGGAGGTGAAGGGACGGAGGGAGGTTTCATGAGTTGACCTCTTTCCTTAACCCTGTCTAGTCGTCCATTTCCTCCGGACCAAAGCTTCCTGTACGAAACCGTCCGTCCGTGTTCATTCCCGTGTGTGTGTGGCAGGCAAGGCAGCTCTGAAGGTGGAGGTGAAGAGGAGGAGGGAGATGGTGGAGGAGCCCATGAGGCGCATGCGGGAGCAGGCAATGTAGGCCGGCATGTACAAGTCTCAAGTGGTCGAGGTGAGCTACGGCGTCTTGGGGGTTGGGGGGCGCTAGGGCACCTTTCGCAACCCCATACAGTCGTCACAACCCTCCACTGTGCCCGTTCCTTCCCTTCCTTCCTCTCACATGAATTGTGAGATCAATAAGTCAACCACTTTCTTCAACCTCTTTCAACTATCTCAACCAAGCTGCTCCCTCCGGGCTGGCTCCGCTGCAATGTGCAATGCTTTTTCTAATCAATTCAACTTCCTCTACCCCCTCTTCCCCCTATCTCCTCTCTCTCCCCTCCCCCTCTCCTCCCTCTAACCCCTCTTCCCCCTCTTCCCCCCCACCCCCCCCGCCTTCCCTCTCCGTCTCTCTCCCATTGCAGATGTCCCACAAGTTGGTGGAGGTGAAGATCGAGAAGCACCAGCTGCAGGAGCATTTAGAGGAGGAGAAGGAGCGGCGGCAGCAGCTGGCCTCGGAGCTGGAGGGGGAGAAGCAGCAGCGGCAGCACCTCGAGAGCACGGTGCTCAATGCGGCGAGGCTGATGCAGATGAAGGAGGAGGAGGTGCAGGCCGTGGTGGCGCGCCACAAGAAGTTGGCGGCTCAGCACAAGGAGGAGGTGAGCTTGGGTCGACGAGGTGAGGGGGGGGCTGGTAGGGTGTTTTTTAGAATTCTCAAAAACACCCTGCAAGAGCTTGGGTCGACGAGGTGAGGGGGGGGGCTGGCGGCGCAACACAAGGAGGGGGTGAGCGGTGGGGGCGGTACGAGGGCAGGTGCGAGCGGGGTTGGTTGGTGGGCTTGTGTGGCAGTGGCAGGCAGAGGATGCGGCTGGTGCACGTGAAGGAGACTTGAAGCGGTGGCAACAAGAAGCTGGCGGCTCAGCACAAGGAGGAGGTGGGCGGGGGTGATGGACTCGTGTGGAAGAGAGGACCTCGCGTGCATTGAGCTGCCCCCATACCCACCCCCATCCTCTGCACTCCTCCCCAATGCCCACTTTCTATCCTTCCCTATGCCCACCTTCCGTCCTCCCCGTCCCCTGCCCACCTCCCACCAGGTGGCGAGTTTGGAGGAGGCTTATGCGCGGAGCCTGGAGGAGAGGGAGAGGAGCAGGAGGGCGGTGGAGGAGAGGGAGGCGGATCTGGAGTGGCGAGGGAAGGTGGCGAACGAGCAGCATGTCGCTGCCGCCCGCACGCTGCAACGGCAGCTTTCCAGCTCGTCCGAGCTCAGGTGTGTGCCTTGGGGTGTTTTGAGAGTTGTCAAGAGCACTCCACGTTGCTGGGAGGCGGACTTGGAGTGGCGAGGGAAGGTGGCGAACGAGCAGCACGTCGTTCCCGCCTGCACGCTGCAACGGCAGCTCTCAAGCTCCTCGGAGCTCAGGTGCGCATCGCTGCCCCGAACACTTCCCCCATGCTGCTCATTCGTGTGTCTTCCTCCTCCTTCCTGCTTCCTCATCTGTTCTTCCTGTCTTCTTCCCCCCGCATTCCATCTCCCCCAAGCTCCGCGCCCCCAACCCCCAACCCCCACCATACTGTCTGTGCTTCTCAAAGTTCCATGATCACCGTCTGCTGTGCACGATTTGGGCTGCAGTAGTCGTCTGAGATCTCCTAGAATTGTCTGTGTGTATCCGACCCTCATCATTCCAACGATGACGCTTCACATGGCCTCTTACTTACTCAAACTCTCCCTCTTTGGTTCACACTCCCGCTCATGCTTCGCCCTCTCCCTCCCCGCCTTCCCCCCGCAGCGACGACCACAGCAGCGCCCTGCGCGGCAGCCTGCACGCGGCAGCAGTCTTCCAAGCAGGCCTCGCCCAGCTGAAGCAGCAGCAGCACGAGCGGCTGTTGCAGTTCCGCCAGGGGGTGAAGCAGGCGGAGCTGGCGCTGCTGCAGCAGCTGGAGGAGGAGAGGGTGAGGTTTGTGGAGGAGTGTGAGGCGCTGAGGGAGGAGAGTGAAGCCACGCTGGACCAGATTGAATGCCGTGGTGTTGGGAAGGCTGGCAGGCGGATGGGAGGTGGGGGTCGGGAGGGGAGTGGGAGTGAGGTGGGGGGTGAGTGGTCTGGGAGTGAGGCTGGGAGAGGTCAGGAAAGGAGTGAGGTGGGGAGGGGGGATGTGGTGAGTGTGGTTGAGGGAGGGGAGGGGGCAGGGAGTGTCGAGGGGGAAGGAGTGTTGGATGGAGAGAAAGGGGGGGAGCAAGAAGAGGGGTTGAAGGTGAGCGAGGAGCAGGGGGTAGACGTGTGTGAGGAGCAGGGAGAGAAGGAATGGAGTGGAGATGTTGCAGGGGAGGAGGAGGAGGGAGAAGAGGTGGTTCGTGGAAGGGGGGAGGAGGGAAGAGAGGAGGAAGGGGTGGAGGGAGGAGAGGAGGAGGGGGCAGAAAAAAGAGGGATGGTAGAAGAGGAGGTAGCTGTGGAAGGAGGTAAGGAGGGAGTGGAGGAAAAGAAGGAGAGGGGGGGGGAAGAAGAGGAGGGGCAGGTGGAAGGAGAGGAGGAAGGAAGGACGGAAGGAGAGGAGGAGGAAGAGAAGGGTTCAGAGAAGGTAGGAGAGACAGGAGCGATGGAAGGGGAGGTGGTGGAGGAAGGAGGGGAGGGAGGAGATGCAGAAGGGGAGGAAGAAAGGGAGGCAGAAAGGGAGGCAGAAGGGGAGGCAGAAGGAAAGGCAGAAGGGGAGGCACAGGGAGAGGCACAGGGAGAGGCAGAGGGAAAGGCGGAAGGAGAGGCAGAAGGGGAAGCAAACGGAGAGGCAGAGGGAGAGGCAGAAGGAGATGCGTCAAGTCAGGAAATGAATTGTGCAAGTGAGGGGGTGAATGCGGAGGGGGGAGAGGGAGCAGTTGAAGAGGTGACTGCAGTGGGAAGCGAGGAAGCAGTTGAGAAGGTGAATGAAGTGGGTGAGGGGCTAGTTGAGAAGGTGAATGAAGTGGGTGAGGGCTAGTTGAGAAGGTGAATGAAGTGGGTGAGAGCCTAGTTGAGAAGGTGAATGAAGTGGGTGAGGGGCTAGTTGAAAAGGTGAATGAAGGGGGGCATGGATCGGCTGAGAAGTTGGCTGAGGAGAGGGAAGAGAGAGTGGGTGAGGGGTTGAATGAGGAGGGGGCCAAGGGAGTACTTGAGAGGGCCAGTAACAGCACTGAGACAGTTGAGGTTGACGGGTTGGAAGATGAGGTGCAGGGGGGTGAGGTGCAGGGGGGTGAGGTGCAGGAGGGTGAAGCGCAGGAGGGTGAGGTGCTAGAGACCGTTGATGGTGGGCATGGGAGTGGGGTGAATGGGGGGTGCGATGGAGAGGGGAAAGGGGAGGTGTCGCAGGTTTCAGAAGCGACGGCGCACATGAGCGAGAAGGAGATGGATGAGGGGCAGCTGCAGTGTGATGGTGACGGGAAAAGTTCGATGACAAGCACAAAGGAAAGCGCCACAGCTGAAGAAGCTGCTGAACTCCCCGCGACTCAAGTTTTCCAGAGCAGTGGTGCAGAGGAGAACGACGTGTACGGGCCAGAGTCGTTCTTCCTCCACTAATGTAAGTTATTCCAACTACGGTTGTTGTTGGGCTCCATTGAAGTGTTTTAGGGTCGCTTGTTTTTACGTACGGTACTCATTTTGATGCTATTCTCTTCCCCCGGTGCAGGAACATGGATCACTTGACCGCCTTGCATCCATTTTTTTCCTCCAAGCGTTGAAACTTGTTTTCTTGTGATTGTAGCTATAGAGTTCAGTCCGTGTCTTTTTTCAGGTTGTATTCGACGGTTCTTTCATGCTTATTTAGTCGGTGTATTAAAGCAGTTCAATATTAGCTTGTATTTTGTGACGGTAAAAGTTCGATGATTGCTTTTTGTGGCTATTTTGTTTTTTTAATTCAATTAAAGTGTTTTATGTGACAATATATACTGTTTGTACCACTTACATCTTGCTACACTTTTCTGTTTGTATTTGCGAGGATCTGGACAGCAACTGAAGAGCATTTGTTGGTGATGTAGGTAACAGTTGCCATCTTCCATAACCAGGTCGTTTCCAGTTGCATCAACAACAGAAATACAGAATTATAACAACATATACATTTCTTCAAACATCCCGAGTACTTCTTATCGGAGCTACAGTTGTATTGCAACGACCATCACTTCCTGCAAATTGGCTTTGCAACTCGCATGAACGACGAGGCGCGCGCAAGGTCCTACTTCCCCCTCGCCGCAGGCCTGAGCTGGACCGTTCAGCCCGGGCACGAATTCATTGACCAGCCGTTTTGCTTCGTCATTCGAACGTCGGACTCACAATCTCGGAAACTGGGCGAGATTGTATCCACGCCGTCAGCTCAGTCACGGCAGGTTCGGTGCTCGACATCCGTCATACCGAATTGCCCCGTTCCGGGGCCGCTTTGGATAGTACAGAGGCCATCCTGACCGTTCCCTTGCGCCCCTGCAAGTGTAGAGATCTCCACCAAGGTTCTGGGAACATCCAAGCGCCAGGCTGGCTGGCAGCTAGTTTGGGGCGAATTTGTGAAAGGGGCGAATGTGCGGCAAAGCAATCTGGGGCGGAAATCTGGGGCTCAAGGGCGGATTTGTGGGGAAGGGCGAGTTTCCGCACGCAGCGAGGGGCGAGTTTGCAGAGAAAGGGCGGATTTGTGGAAGCATTCAGTTCAGAGCAGGGGGGGCGAAATCGCGAGTCACCCCGCGCCGCTGTTCTCCAACTGGTGTGTGTGTGTGCGTCCTTCCCAAGGCTGCCATGCTGCCATCACCTCTCAAATGCACTTCACTTCCCAAGGCTGCCCTTGCTGCATCAGCTGACGAGGAACCGACCATGTGAGCGTAGTAGCAAACTCGACAAGATAACGCAGCAGAGCATAGCAGCGCAGGTCTGAGGGAGGATCTGCGCCTGAAGCGTTTCGCTTGGCAGGCGCCGCTTGTGTAGCTGATACATTACATTGCAATGTTCGCGTAATGCTCCTCCAGACTTGAAAGTACATTTCATCGATCGCTTTAAGCCGTCTAATTCGTAGGGTTACGCTTCTTCAAAAGAATTGGCTGCCATGATCGTGACTCACGATGACGTGGCGTACAGCGTCACCGTGCTCGACGGCGACGCTCGCGCTATGTTGGAGCTATCCCTTCCCACCGCCGCGCCGCGCGCCACTTCCACGACAGATAAGCCTCGAAGTTCGCTTTCCCCCCCTGTCGCCGCCGCTCCGCAATCCACCGGCAGCTGTAGCAGCGGCAGCAGAACCCTCATTAGCAGCCGCAGAAGCAGCGAAAGCGGAACCTTCAAGAGCAGCGGCAGCAGCAGCAACAGTAGCAGCAGCAGCGGCAACAGTGACCCGAGCAGTCCCATGAGCCCCTACGAGATCGGCCTCATCAACCGCCTCTCAAGCAGCGCGCGTGACACCTTCGCGCGGCCTCCGCAAGCCACCGCGCAATCGCCCGACGGCCACATTCCGCGCCAGCCGCCCGACGCCCCGCAGAGCGCGGAAACACCCACCGCGCCGAGCGGCGCAAGCGCCATGGAGGCAGTGGTGGTGTGCCGCGAGGGCGAGCCGTTCACGGTGGTGGCGCAAGCGAGCTTCCGCGCGCCGTTCCGCGTGGAGATGCGCGTCGCGGGGCAATCGCTCGGGTACACGGAGTATTTCTACTCGCCCGGGGAGATTAACCTTCACTGGTTCCAGGGCTGGCATCTGGGGCAGGGCCAGTTCGCGCCCTTCACCTGCGACCCGGCGATGCCGCGAGATGCGGGCGTGGAGTCGGAGGCACGCGCAAATTGCTCCGCCGGAATAGCGCCTCTTAAGCCGGCGCAAATGCTGCCGAGAAAGTCGCGAGGGCTCTGGCCGCAGGGCTGTGCGGCGGGTGAGAAAGAATCTTCGACGAGTCGAGGGAGCCGGCGGAAGGCGGTAGGCGGCACGCGCGGGATGCAGAGCGGCGGGAGGCGCGGAACGGGAGGGGCACATGGCGGGGACACGGGGAAGGGAAGTGGGCGCAGACATGCGGGAGTGGCCGGCGCGTGGTGGTGCTGCTCCAGCGCGCACTCTGCGGTGGTGAAGATGACTGCGCCGACGACGGGTGCGCGGGGAGGAATGGAACGGCGGAGGAAGCTGCACTGGCGAGGCGGACATAGAGCGCCGCAGCCGCAGCAGAAGCAGCAGTGGCAGGGGAATGAAAAGCAGGGGAATGGGGAGCAGGCGGCAGCGGAGGTGGTTCGGGCGGAGCAAGAACGGGAGGAGCTCGACGGGTGCGGGTGGAGGGACGAGCGGGCTGGGTTGCCCATTCCATCCGCGCTCGCTCTCTCCTTCGACCCGTGTTCCAACGCACTCGACACCAGCAGCAGCGACGGCACCGACTCCCTTTCATCTCCCCCTTCATCGCCCCCCTCCTCGCCTTTCCACCCTCGCCATGTGCCCACAGGCGCGAAGCAAGCAGAGGTGGACGTTGAATTGGGCGCAGTGGGTGGTGAATGCAGCGCAGGCGAGCAACAGGCGGGTGCAGCCTGCAGGGTGCAGTGCTTGCCGGCCTCCTTCTCCCACCCGTGCACCCTGTCGTCGCTGACTCAATCCGCGCTGCACCCGAGCGCTCCGTGTGATGCTGCTGACGCACCCACCAGAACGGATGACGAGGATGGGGATGAGAGCTCCAACGCAGATCACGAGGACGCGGCGAGCAGCAGCAGCGACTCAGACACAGCAGAGGACGACCCGGATGGGAGTACTGTGCCCTATCGGTCATGCCTGCCACCTCTCCTCTCCCTCTGGCCGCGGTACAAGCTCCCTCCACAGCATCGCAGCGTCCCACCCGTCCTCCCATCAGACCTGCCCTCTCTCACCCCTTCGACCCACCCCTTGGTGGTGGATTTCCGAGTGGACGTGCTCTTCCAGTCCATCCGCCTGCTGCCCTGCACCGCTCTCACTACCCATGTCACCAGCTCCAATCCCACTGATGGCCCCACCCACACCAATGCTCAGTGCGAGCACTGTGAGAAGCGCCTCAGGTGGTACCTGGGGGAGGTGGCTTCTGGCCCGGCTGCACCTGTGGCTGCTTCAGGGGCGACAGGGGCTCATGCAGAGCAGGCGGGTGGGGGCGGTGAGGAGAGGGGCGCAGATGGGGGAGGTGGGACCTCAGTGCTGGATGTGCCTGGTCCGGTGCCGTTTCACTATGAGGACTTAGACCAACAGGTGCGTTGCGACGCTTCCACTGGTCATGTACCGGTAGTGGTTATGTGTGCATTTTCCAGAGTCGGGTTCAACGCAAGGTGAATGCAGTGCATTGAATCGATCATGTACCGTACATGTTCGGCCCACTCAGCTGATTTGACTCACGTTATGAATCCTCCTTCCCGGATTTGCACTGGTTTGTTTGCAGGTGATGGTGTCGCTGCGCTTCAACTGTCAGCGGAGACTGAGGGAGAGGGGATGGTCCCAGGCTGCTGTTGCCAAGGCATCAGGGCCTCGATGTGATTTAGACGTTGCAAACACGCAGTGATTGATTGTGTTGTGGGGAATCTAATGTTCTAGCTAATCCCCAAGTAGGCCAAGGCGCAAGTAATGATGTGCAAAAAGCTTGTAGTGCAAGAGCGCATAACCGAATAAAGATTGTGTATAGTCGTTTTGATTTGCGAGGCTGGTAATGCTTTTAACGAATCTAACCCAGATGCCGGTATCGGGTAAATTCTCCCCACAAGCACCATCCGCCAGCCGCACTCCACCGTTCCACACGCTAGACGACGTGGGAGAGGCCCCGATAGCGCGTTTCGCGTGTCGCTGGGACAGATATCGTATCGCGAATCCCACCAATTAGCGTTCTCGACCGAGCTCAGTCACATATGCTAGTCTCCGATTCTAAGCAACAGAGCCGAGCCCAAACCCAGCCGAATCTCGCAGCATTTCGTTGGCTGAGCCTCACAAGCTGCCAGATCGTCGAATCGTAGAAGTTGAAAGCTCATCGGGCGCTGCTCACCGTTGATCTCAGATGTGAACTGATTCAACCATCAAGCACGCGCTGCGCTCACACTGACGGATGGCTTCCCGCGGGGGGCGCGCGTGGGGGCGGGGCAATCGGCGGCAAGAGGCGGAGGCGGGTGGCGGAGGCGGTAGATTCGGTGGAGGGCGCAATCGTGAACGGGCGGAGGCGCAGAGGGGTGCGCGCGGAGGCGGGCGGCGGGCGCAAGGGCGGGCGGTGACGGCGGAAGAAGAGGCGCTGCAGTCGCTGCTGGAAGGTGCGGAACGATGGGGGATGCGGGGCGAGGGAGGGGGGTTGGGTGGTTGGAGAAGAGTGGGGAAGGGTGCTGGGTGAACCTCATAAGCCCCTTACAGGGTGGGCGGACGGGCTGTGGGGTGAGGGTGGAGGGTGGAGGGTGGAGGGTGGAGGGTGGAGGGTGGAGGGTGGAGGGTTGGGGTGCGCGCACCAGACTTGAGTGCCATTTTCCGCCCTGTTCCCTCCCCTCCTCCGCATCCTCCCTTCCGTCCCGTCCTTACTTGCTCTCTTCCCCCACCTGCTCTCGCTTCCACCTTCACTCCCCTTCAGTCCCCCCCCACCCCAGTTATGCCAATCCACAACTTCCCCACCTTCCCGCACCTTTCCCCACTCCCCCCTGCCCCCTTCCTCTTAAGAGGCTGGCAGGAGGAAGCAGGCAGGGCAGCGGCGACTAGGCAGCACAGCTGTGACTGTATTTGAAAGTGACAACAGCGGTGCCACCCACAATAGCACCAGCAGTGTCATCATCAGCAGCAGCAGCCCCCCCGTTACTGTCACCACCACTGCCCCAACCATTCCCAAGGGCCCAGCAACCGACCACTTTGAAGCCTCCCTTCGTTACTATCACACTGCCCTCTCCTCCCCCGCCCTCACTCCTGCCGCCCGCCTCTCCGTGTTGTTTGACATGGGGGAGGCTTATCTGGGGCTCGGGGAGGCGCAGCTAGCAGACGGGAAACGGGCGGTAGGGGGACCGATGAGTCAGCCGGTGCTGACGTGGCAAGTGGTGAAACGGCTGGAGAGGGAGGCTGCCACGTCAGCTGCTGACTCGTCCCGACTCGCATTCGAGGCATTCGATGAGATCTGTCGTGTGGGGCGCACCCTTCTCTCTGCTGCTGACTCATCAGGGGGTGCCCAGTCAGCCGCTGATGTCAGCAGCGGAGGAGGCGGGAGAGGAGGCAGAGGGAGGGGAGGGGGAGAGGGAGGGGGGAATGCTGACGTGGCGGAGATGGTGCAAGGGGCGGCAGTGAATGCAGCGAATGCGCTGGTGGCGTGGGCAGAGGCGGTGGGGGAGGTGGAGGAGGGGGAGGAGGAGAAGGAAGAGAAGAGGGGGGATGGAGCGTGCGAGGGTATGGCAGTGGATGGGGGGGAGCAGCAGCAGGCGCAGGCACAGCAGCAGCAGGAGCGGGCGAGGCAAGGGGGAGTGACGGCGGCACAACTGCTGCGCGAAGCGGCAGCACGATACGATGCTGCAGCAGCCACCGCACCATCTGACACAGACCTGCTGTCCAACCTGGGCGACTGCGCTGTCAAGACGACCGAGCTCCTGGTGAGCCTGCAACCTTGTCCCATGAGGCACACAGCACGGGGCACGAGTGTGGGCAGCAGCGGCGGCGGCACCCACTGCAGTTTCCGTGCCTCCCCCTTGCCGTCTCCGCGTTCCACCTCGCCTCCCCCCATCCCCAAGCCTTTTTGTGGCCCTCCTCCTTCCCTTCCCTCCCGGGTCCCCTTTCCCTTTCCCCCTTCCCATCCGTCCTGCTCCCCCCACCAGTGTCCAGAGCGGCCAGTGGGCGAGGGGGCGGTGGCAGCATGGGGGCAGGCGTGGGGGCAGTACGAGAGGGGCATGGGGGCGTATGGTGCTGCGTGCTCGCTGTGTGATGCGCGGGTGGGGGACGACCTGCCAGGGCTGCTGCACAACTGGGGCGTGGGGCTGCTGTCCGCCGCGCAGGTCAGATTCCCTCTGCCGCTCAGGTCGGATTACCTCAGGTGAGGGGGTAAGGGCAGTCCCACCAAGTGGAACATGTTTGCCCGCAGCAGCATGTGACTTTATTTCCCACCCGTTCAATTGCACACACCTGCTCTTCTCTCTCTTTCTCCTCTTCCTCTCCCCCTCTTGCCTCTTGCACTCCAGCGCTGCCCCGAGCCTGACCAGGAGGTTCGGCTTCTGACAGAAGCTGCGGAGAAGCTTCAAAGGGCAGCCGATTTCCAGCCCACAGATATCGCCTCTCGTCTGGCTCTGGGGGAGGTGCTATCTGCGCAGGGGGAGGTGTTATCCGCTCAGAGGGCCGAATCAGCATTGCCATCTGCCACCCTACAGGAGGCCCTGCACCTGCTCTCCCTCTCTCTCTCCCGCGGATTCTCTGCCGCCCTGCGAATCGACTCTCGCCACCCTGAAGCGCTCCTGGGGGCGGCAGATGTGCACCTGTCTGCCGCCCGGCTGCTGATGGGGCGGGCGGCGGGCAGGGAGAGGGGCGGCGGTGGTGGCCGCAGGGAGAGTGGCGGAGAAGGCATGGGTGGTGGGGATGAGGTGGCAGCATCGCTGCCTCAAGAGGCGGTGGACCACTTGCAACATGCCATGTCAGCGTACCGTGCTGCCATGGTGGCAATGAAAGGTGTGCACTGTCGCTCTGACTGTCGCACCGACTGTCACTCTGACTGTCGCTCTGACTGTCGCACCGACTGTCACTCTGACTGTCGCTGTGAGCTCATCCGTGCACGCATCCATGCGTGTCCATCCATCTGACCATGCATCCCCATGTGTGCATCCCCATGTGTGCATCCCCATCTGCATCAGCAAGTTACGGTACCGTACAGTACCACATTGCCTTATGGCCTTTTATCCTTGCATCGAACCTCTGTCTCCCATGTCCCCTCTCCCGCCCCCCTTCCTGTGCCACCCCATCCAGCCACGGATGTCATGTCATATGCAGACCAATGCAGTGGCCTGTACAACATGGCATGCGCTGCTGCTCTGGCAGGGCTGCTTGCTGAGTCAGCAGACATTCTTGCCAGGCTGGCCGCAATTGGTTGGCTCTCCAAGGGAGATTTGCTGAGTGACGAGGATTTTAGATTTCTCAGGCAGTCCCCGGTATACACATGCTTGCTGTCTGGATTAACGGTGCAAGAATCATTGTGATACCCATTGTTCACCTTCTGACATGGATTGCTCGCCTTCTGACACCCGTTGCTCGCCTTCTGACACCCGTTGCTCGCCTTCTGACACCCGTTGCTCGCCTTCTGACACCCGTTGCTCCTCTTGACACCCATTCTACTTCCTGGCACCCATTCCTCCTGAGACTCATTCCTCCCTTCTGACATCTGCTACCGTACATGTGTAGAATGATTAGCTTACAGGTGTTACTCATACATTTCTTCCTGTGACGCAAGGGTATACTGTATACTTATATTCTATTGTAAACAATCCTAAATAGGAACTTTCTGAGGATTTTGGCGTGTTCGCCATAGTTATTCTATCAACAGTTTTCGCATGTTCATGTCAGCGAAACAATGACCTCGTTACTCGCACAAGAATCTCGACATTGCCGTTCGCTTGTGTCAGAACATTCGCGCAGCCCATAGACGAAATATATCACTGGCGCGTAATTTTTGTTTGGCTGCGCCTAGCAATCGTACCGCGCCCAAAAATGAGAGCCGTAGATCCTCAACATATCGAACGTCTAGCAAATAGCAAATGGCTCGACCTCGACCGTTGGGAATTTTGTTTGGAATTTCATCCGTCGATCAGGCGTAAGCACATCCAGGAATTTCCACGCAGCAGAATTGCCACCTTGCCCCCAAACCATTGACATTCCATTCACGTAGAGCGGTCTAGCCCCTCCATTCTTGCCATGGCCTGCACAGAATTCCTCCTAACCCACCAGACCCGAGACAATCATTTATCTACCATCTCCTTCACAAGTTTACATGCCGGGCGGCATTGTGAAGCTGGGGCCGCGGGTGAGGATGGCATAGAGCAGGCCGGCCCATAAGGCCGCCACGGGGAGCGTGAGAACCCATCCGAACCCAGCGATGGCCACCATGCCCCAGTTAATCGCCCGCCAGTTGCCGTTGCACAGCCCCACGGCGATGGTCGCGCCGACGATGCACTGCGTGGTGGAGACCGGTAGCGCGAGGAACGACGCGGTGATGACGGAGAGGGCAGAGCCCAGCTCCATGGAGAACCCGCGCGACGGCGAGTGGTACGTGATGTTGTTGCCGAGGGCTCGCATGATGTGGTAACCGTCTGCACCGGGGTTAGGGAGAGAGTGAGAGAGAGAGGATAGCGGTGAGTGAGAAGCGCACACGCGAGTATAAAACACCGAAGGGTTCAGCGTTCACGAGTCTGGCCCCATACCTGGGTGAAGGTGGTTATCAATTGGAAATCGGAGGGTCGGAGAGTCAAAAGTTGTAATGCTAGGAAGTGGACTGGTTAGCCTCGGCACCGCGAGCAAGGCGCTGACTTACAGAATGCGAGGCCGAAGTCGAGGGCGATACCGACATACGCGAGCATCCACGTGGGCACGCTTGCGTCCGACGTGAACGTCCCGGAATTCCAGATCTGATACACACCCGCCACGGGGCCCAGGGCGTTTGCGATGTCGTTGGACCCGTGTGCGAAGCTCGCAAACGCAGCGGTCATGACTTGGAGTAGCGAGTAGAGGTACTCCGTCTTGTTGTCGTACAGCACCGCCACCTCGTGCGCGCGGGTCGCGCGCTTGTTTTCCTTCTGCAGGGTCGCCACGTCGATGAAAAGCGCACGCCACATTAGCACCCTGAGCTTATAAAGGAACCGAACGACTGGGTTCTTTGACACAGGCTTCTCGGGCTCCTTGTCTTTGATATCCTCGGGATCGTCAATCGGCATGCCGATTTCCTTCTTCTCCTCGTCACTGAGCAGCTGCGGCGTGAACGCACGTTTCAGGTAGATATCGATCTTGGGGTCCTGCGGCTGCTCCGGCACGCACCAGATGTAGAAGATATGATACCACTTGAGGGCCTCCTCCTTCTCCAGCCGTCGGATGAAGAACGGCACAAGGAAGGCGACGCAGAAGGTTAGCACGAGTCCGGTTACCACTCCGATGATCGTGAACGCCAGTGCGACATTGCCGGAGACCTTGACCGCGCCGCCGACAGTAGAGGCGCTGAAGGAGAGAGTCGACTTGCCGTTCTTGGTCGCGACGTAGAACGACACGATGAACGTGGTGATGGTGAAGTAGACTGGGATCGCGTAGATGCCGGCGCGCAGCGAGTTCTTGCGCTTCATGACGGCGTATAACGTGATCGTGTAGATTATTGCGGCCAGGATACCAGCCACAGCCGGCGCGATGACCCACGACGCCGCGACCTGCGCCACGCCCTTGTTGTCCCAGCCCCAATTCACGGCGTTGATGCCGAACGCGCTGACGCCGACTCCGATTAGCGCGCCGATGACGGAATGTGTGCTGGACACGGGAAAGCTAAAGTACGTGGCGGTCATGACCCACGTGGACGACGCTATCAGCGCGCACATGAATCCCGACATGAGAAGGTCCGGACGACTGCTGAATAGGCTCGTTTGGATGATTCCGTCCTTAACCGTCTTGGTCGTAGTGGCACCGAGAGCAATCGCTCCGCCAAACTCCGTGAAGATGGCGATGCAGACGGCTTGGGCGAGCGTGAGCGACCGCGACCCGACGGACGTGGCGAAAGAGTTGGCGACGTCATTGGCACCTGCAATGGGCACAAAGACGCAATGTCAGCGAATGTGGAAGCCGGAGACGGAAAGACGGAGCATTGTACAGTCAAATGCCGCAGCGAGCACGATAACGATTCTTACCGATGGAGTAGCCGTCCAGAAAGGCGAAAAGCATGCTGACCGCGAATATCCATGTGTAGGAATGGACAGGCATTACCACGGCCATGGTGGCTAGCTTTCACAGACCCGCCACGAGGCTCCAGGGAGTGGCAATGCAGTGCGGTAGATTTAGGAGAGGAACCTGCACTACAACTTTGTAGTGCAGAAGAGAATTGCTGAGGTGCAACTGACTTGTTCTGCTTTGAAGGGCTGGAGGGCGAGAACGACCTTTGTAATCACGAAATGTCAAGTGACCCGCAAATGCGTGCTTGGTCGGCCCCAATCTAGGCTGCAACCGCGACCGCGCGCTCCGCCTTGCTGCAAGAACGCGGCCTGCAGTCGAGTTGGCGATAATGAAGGCTAATACATATTACCCTAACCTTCAAAATATTTCCAAACGACAGCCAAAATAGAGAGTATCAGTACAGTACTAGTAACCAGGCTGTGAGGGAGAAAGCCCAGTTCGTTCACGCATGTCCTGAATAACCTGGTGGTTGGTTTCTAGACTTTGTTGACCTCAGGGCTGCTGCCCGCAGAAGTTCTTTGTTTTCTGAGCCAATGAAGAAACCAACACAAGTTACCGCAAAGCAGTCGGTGTCCGGGCTTCACCTTGGGGAATTCACAAACGAGTACCAAGAAAGATGCTCCAGCTGCGGCTTGCCACGTGAGCGAATTGCTGCAGTATGTTTATTCGACATTGTGCTAGGCTTCGTGCCAGGGGGGTGTTGGAAAACATTCATCCCTTAGGAAGCATGCATCTGAATTACAATTCTGAGAGTTTTATGCCAATTTATCATACTAATTTGATATGATTGTCTGATTTTACATACAAGTTTTTTTCGCCATCCCAGGGTTCCTTTTTTTTTACACAAATGGCTGACTATGTTCCCTATCGCTCGATTGCACACACCCCCTCTTCTCTCTCTTTCCCCCCTTCATCTCCCCTTCCTACCTCTTGCAGCGCTGCTCCAAGCCTGACCAGGAAGTTCGCCTTCTAACGGAAGCTGCAGAGAAGCTTCAAAGGGCAGCCGATTGCCCGCCCACAGATATCGCACCTCGTCTGGCTCTGTGGGAGGTGTTATCTGCGGAGGGGGAGGTGTTATATATGGAGAGGGCCCAATCAGCATCCTCGTCCAGCAGCCTACAGGAAGCCCTGCACCTGCTCTCCCTCTCTCTCTCCCGCGGATTCTCTGCCGCCCTGCGTATCGACTCTCACCACCCAGAGGCGCTCCTGGGGGCGGCAGATGTGCACCTGTCTGCCGCCCGGCTGCTTATGGGGTGGGCTGGGCGGCAGGCACAGAGAGGGGCAGCGGTGGTGGCAGCAGGGAGGGTGGCTGGAAAGGCATGGGTTCTGGGGATGAAGTGACGGCATCGCTGCCTCAAGACACGGTGGATCACTTGCGGCATGTAATGTCAGGATACCGTGCTGCCATTGTGGCAATGAAAGGTGTGCGCTGTAGCACTGACTGTCTCTCTGACTGTTGCTCTGATTGTCGCTCTGGCTGTCGCTGTGAGCTCATCCTTGCATGCGTGCACGCGGTCCATCCATCTGGCAATTCATCCATGTGTGCGTCCCGCATCAGCAAGCAATGGGACAGTACCACATTGCCTTATGACCCCTTATCCTTGCATCAAACCTTTGTCCCCCTATCCTCTCTTTCCCCCCCTTTGTGTGTCACCCCGTCCAGCCACGGATGTCATGTCATATGCGGATCAATGCGGTGGCCTGTACAACATGGCGTGTGCTGCTGCACTGGCAGGGCTGCTTGCTGAGTCAGCAGACATTCTTGCCAGGCTGGCTGGGATTGGTTGGCTGTCCATGGGAGATTTGCAGAGTGACGAGGATTTTAGATTTCTCAGGCAGTCCCCTGTTTGCACTTCCTTACTGTCAGTAATGGTTGTGCAAAACACTTTGTGATGTCCATTGCTCATTTAGATGCCCTTTGCTCGAGGCACCATTTTTCACTATCACACCCATTGCTCGTTGGGCCACCCATTCCTCGCTGTTACACCTATTCCTTGCTGTAACACCCATTCCTTGCTGTAACACCCATTCCTTGCTGTAACACCCATTCCTTGCTGTAACACCCATTCCTCACTGTAACACCCGTTTCTAGTTGGGACAACCATTGCTCATCGAGACACCCAATGCTCGGTGAGATACCCATTGCCTGTTGCTGAAGCAAGAGGCATCAGTGATGACCTGAAAGGTCTGACTGCACTATGCACTACCGTATATTCCTGCAGTGCAAGAGGCACCAGTGATGACCTGAAAGGCGTATCAAGGTGATTTAGGCTCAAGTTAGGAGGTTTGGGCGCAACGAGAGGGAGGGTAAGGAGTGGATGGTTATGGGCAACAAGAGGGTTGGGCACAAGGAGAGAAGGGGGGCAAGTAGAGTAGATGAGGGCGAAAGGAGAGCTGGGGGGGAGAGGAGGGCTGGGCACAAGGAGCTATAGGGGCGCTGATGCTCTGCCTGTGTCTCTGCAGAGCAAGGTCACAACTGCAACATGGGGCAGCTGAAGAATCAAAACTGCCAATTGCATAAATAAATGTTTCATCGCTACAAGGCCTTCCTACGTACCCGCAAACACAATTAGCCAAGCAGACTTTATGAGCCAGAGAATTCCCTTCTAACCCCACCTCCCCTGATACTTTTTTTTAATACCGTCCTAATTTTCCAGCCTACATGCCGGGCGGCATGGTGAAGCTGGGCCCGCGCGTGAGAACAGCATAGAGCAGACCCGAGGCCGTTCCGGCGAGGGGGAGCGTGAGAATCCACCCAAACCCAGCCAAGCCCACCATGGCCCAGTTGATGGCCCTCCAGTTACCGTTGCACAGCCCCACGGCGACCGTTGCGCCAACGATGCACTGCGTGGTGGAAACCGGTAGCGCGAGGAAGGATGCGGTGATGACGGAGAGCGCGGCGCCGAGCTCCATGGAGAACCCGCGCGACGGCGAGTGGTACGTGATGTTGTTCCCCAGGCTTCGCATGATGTGGTAACCATCTGTAGCGAGGGATGGGGAGATAGGGAGGGAAACGACGACGGTGAGTGGCGAGATAAGATTGGCGACTAAACAACGACAGCAGCGGCAGGCATTGGGGAGAGAGGCCAAGAGGCAGCGAGGAGTAGAGACAGAGAGACAGAGTAGAGAGGAACAGAGACTCAGAGGCAGAGGCGAAGTGGAAAACAGCCCGCGCGGCAGGTTAGATAGCGAAAACTGCAACGGCACGGCCACGGCGACTCACAGAAGGCGAGGCCAAAGTCGAGCGCGATTCCGGCGTACGCGAGCATCCACGTGGGCACACTGGCCTCCGTCGAGAAGGTTCCCTGGCTCCAAATCTGATACACTCCCGCGAGGGGCCCCAGCGCGTTTCCGATGTCGTTGGACCCGTGTGCGAAACTCGCGAAGCCGGCGGTGATGACTTGCAGCAGCGAGTAGAGGTACTCCGTCTTGTTGTCGTAAATCACCGCCACCTCGTGCGCGCGCACTGCGCCCTTGTTGTCGTGCTGCATACTCGCGACGTCCATGAACAGCGACCGCCACAGGAGCATCTTAATGTGATTAAAGAACCGCAGGAACGCGTTCTTGGGAACGGGCTTCTCGAGGTCCTTCTTCTCGTTCTCCTCGGGGTCCTCGACGGGCATTCCCAGCTGCTTCTTCTCGTCGTCGCTCAGAAGCTGCGGCGTGAAGGCGCGCTTCAGGTACATGTCGATCTTGGGGTCCTGCGGCTGCTCCGGCACGCACCAGATGAAGAAGATATGGTACCACTTGAGGGTCTCCTCCTTCTCCAGCCGTCGGATGAAGAAGGGCACGAGGAAGCCAGCGGAGAAGATGAGCATTACGCCTGTCACCGCGCCGATGATGCCGAACGCGAGGGCGACGTTGCCGGTGACCTTGATCGCGCCGCCGGTAGTCGAGGAGCTGAAGTTGAGGGTGGACTTGCCGTTCTTCGTCGCGACGTAGAAGGACACGATGAAGGTGGTGATGGTGAAGTAAAATGGAATAGCATAGATGCCGGCGCGCAGCGAGTTCTTGCGCTTCATGACGGCGTACAGGGTAATGAGGTAGATTGTCGCGGCCAGGATACCGGCCAGCGTCGGCGCGAGCACCCACGATGCCGCGATCTGCGCCACGCCCTTGCCGTTCCAGCCCCAGTTCACGGCGTCCATGCCGTACGCGCTAACGCCGATTCCGATAAGCGCGCCGACGATGGAGTGAGTGGTGGACACGGGCCAGCCTAGGAACGTAGCGAACATGACCCACGAGGACGATGCTATCAGCGCGCACATAAAACCCGACATGAGCAGATCCGGCCGACTGTTGAATAGGTTCGTTTGGATGATTCCGTCCTTAACCGTCTTCGTCGTAGTGGCGCCGAGAGCAATTGCTCCTCCGAATTCCGTGAAGATGGCGATGCAGACGGCTTGGGCGAGGGTGAGCGACCGCGACCCGACGGACGTGGCGAAAGAATTGGCGACGTCATTGGCTCCTGCGATCATGAAAATAAGAGAAACAAGAAAGTCAGCGAAGAGTTGACGATCCCGGTAGTTGTGACGGGTCGAGAAGTTAAAGAATAGGAATGAAGAGACAGTGTAGCGAACTCGACAATATTTCTTACCAATGGAGTAGGCGTCCAAGAACGCGAAGAGCATGGTCATGACGAATATCCATGTGTACGAGTGGATGGGCATTACAACCGCCATGGCGGCTAACTTTCAGGATACTCGCCAAGAGGCACAACGGAGTGCAAATGTAGTTCCGCACTAGAAGCTGGAGCTTGCTCTGAACTGAACAGCACTCGAGGTACGACGGACTAATTGTGCTTCGAAACGTTGGTTTGGAAAGAGGCTTCAGCCTACTGTACTTGTAAACACTGAAGAGCGACTGAATTGGTGATGGAGAATTGACCCGTAAGTGCGTGTGCGTGCTTTGTCGCCCCAACCTAGCCTGGAACCGCGCCACACGGTTCGCCTTCCAGCAGCAAGGCGGCCTATAAACGAAAGGATGATTATGAGGGCTAATGCTATTTGGAAACTCAAGATTTCCTTGAACTGTATCCAGGGAGACTGACAGTTCTAAGTAACGAAGAAAGGAGTATGTTTCTATGTTGACTTTGGAGAGCCAGCTGAAGTCGCATTTTTCTGGGCCGACGAAGAACATCTCGGATTCCGGGTAATTCAGAAAACAAAATAGGGTTGCTACGTTCATGGTGCTGCTTTCACCATCTAGCAAAAATATGCTCCAGGTGCGGCTTGCCACGTGACCCAATTAGTTGTAGTATGCTGCATTGGCATTGTGACTAGGCTCCTGCCAGCATGGCATTTTTTTATTGTTCATCTGTTATTGGCTGTGGAAACACATCTCAGTAAAATTATGGAATCGTTGATCGGAGCCGTTCGGTGCAAGATGCCATCTAGATTCCGTTACGCGTCGCGCTCAGGATCGGCCGTGAATGAAGAATGTGCTACAGTACAGAGAAAGTATGGGGTAGGCTCCACCCAGATTCCTATGGAGCCTGGATACTGAATGAACCAGATCTTGGAACTCGGCAAGTTTCATGTCCTTGGGAAGGGTTTTTGACGAGAGCCACACATATTCGAAGGGTTTTGACTAGTTTGGGTGTACGCCTTAGTGGATCATCATGTTCGATATACGAGCGTTTGAGTGACTACGAAATGAAGGTCACATGCTCGGCATAGTTTTAAGCAGCATATCCACTTTCATCCAAGATGAAGGTAAACACTATTTGCGGATGGAGAGAACACCACCTTGCATACGCGATAAAGGGCTACAGAGCCCTCCGGCATTCAGCAAAGTCCAAGGCAAGAACCAGCTGCACATTCACAATATCATCTTGATAGTCCAACTTATTCTTGGTCTATCCCTGCCACGCTTAGTGTGCGAAATGACGAGCGTCGCATCCTCGGAAGCAAGTCGAGACTCCACCGAGTCGTCCCAGCGAAACATCCCGGGCGATGTTGATGGCGCCGGGCGTTTGCTGCCGCCGAGTGCAGCACGCGATTCGCTCGCAGCTGCTTATTCTGACCCAGCGACGACTAGCGCGCGAGATCGCGAGGACGCGACAGTTGCGGGAGCCGAGGCGCAGATGAAACGACTCAAGGACACGTGGCGCCAGGAGCAGCAGCGTCTGCGTCTGCGGTTGGTCGTGGGCGACGCGCTCGACTTCCAGCCGCCGCCGCTGCTGCGTGCGGCGGGGAATACGGAGATTGCGGAGAGATTCGATACTGCGGAGAGGGGGGAAAATGCGGAAAATGTGGAGAGAGCGGGGAATGTGGAGCCGCCCCAAATACAGCCGGCCCAAATACAGCCGCCCCTGGTGCATCCGCCCCAGATACGACCTCCCCTGGCGCTGGTGGGCGGCGTGGACGTGAGCTTCCACCGGCGCGACCCGGACCTGGCGGTCGCGTGCCTCACAGTTGTTGCCTTCCCCAGTCTGCGCCTGCTGCACCACGAACTCGCGCTCACCCGCGTCACCCAGCCGTATATACCCGGATTTCTTGCGTTCAGAGAGGTGCGGAGGGGTTGAGATGGGATGCAGTGAAGCGCGGTGTGGTGGGAAGGGTTTCGAGTTTCCTCGTTCTTTTGTCACCAGTTGCACTGTCTTTCCCGTCTCCCCTCTTTCTGTTTCACCCTCCCAGTTCTCCCCGTCCCCCCCGTTTCCCCTTCCTCCCTCCCCCCTCGTGCTCTTGCCCTCGCCTCCGCTCACCTCCCCCCTCCCCCCTCCGCCCCTCCCCCTCCCCTCTCCCCCTTCCCCCCTCCCCCATTTCCCCTCCCCCTTACCCCCTCCGCGCCAGCAGTGCGGCGTGCTGGAGGGGCTGATCCGCCGCCTGAGGGACGCTCGCCCGCACCTCATGCCGCAGGTATGGGGGGGGAACATGGGCCATGTGGCTGGGGGCTGGGGGTGATGCGTGGTGGGAGGGGGTGATGAAGAATGGGAATGGGTGATGAGGGATGGGAGGGGGAAAATCCGAGCAGGAGAAGGAGCAGGGTGCTTAGGTGGGTGTTGTGTTTCACCGGTTTCAGCAGGCTGCTGAATCTAATCCCTTACTTTCTGCCACGTGGCACTTCCCCACTGGTTTACCGCCCACGCAGGTCATCATGTTGGACGGCAACGGCATCTTCCATCCCCAGGGTAAGCCCCTGTGCTATGCCATGCTCTCTTCCATGCCATGCCATGCTCTCTTCCATGCCATGCCATGCCATGCCATGCCATGCCATGCCATGCCATGCCATGCCATGCCATGCCATGCCGTGCCATCATGGGCTGTACTGATGCCTGTGACTGACTGCACATACCGTCCCCCCGCACACCACTCTCTCTCGCTCTCACTCTTTTCAGTTCCTCTCCTCCTCCCTCACTCCACCCATCTCTACGCACCCATCCCCCCTCTTCCTCCGTGCGTGCAGGCTTTGGGCTGGCATGTCAGCTGGGCGTGCAGGCAGACATCCCCACCATTGGCGTGGCCAAGAATGTGAGCGCCCCACACCATGCATGCCGTCTGTGCCATGCGGCCCATGCCCCATGTGCCAAGGTTTTTCGAGCACGCACAACGATGACGCATGCACCATGCCTGCACCATGCGTCGTGCCCCCATGCACACTCCAGCTGCCACCATCAAGCACGGCATGCTTCTATCTAGATTAGCATGCCCCCCATCCACCCACCCTTCCCCCTCCCTCTCCGCCCTCTCCCACCCAACATCAGTATTACATGAATGGCACGGCGGAACATGTGAGTTATGAGGCATCTTAAAACCCACTCCCCCACCCCTTCCCCGCGCACCATCAGATGTATTACATGGATGGGATGACGGACGAGCAGGTGATTTTCGAGGTGTCTTAGAGGCCGGCCCCCCACCCTCCCCCGCGCACCATCAGATGTATTACATGGATGGGATGACGGACGAGCAGGTGGGCAGCTTGAAGCAGCAGCACCTGCACCAGCCAGGCGACTGGGCAACACTCACAGGCGCTAGCAGTGCCACGCATGCTGCGGTGAGTGAGTGCCGCCCCCCCCGCTGCCTGAACCGCATCGAGCCTTCTCACATGTGACATCATGGTCCCATCCATTCGTCTCGTCACCCATCTCCACAAACCCCCCTCACCCCACTCCCTCCTGCCACCCTCCTCCCCTTCCTCCACTCCCCACTCTTCCCGTCCCCCCTCTTCTTCCCCTTCCCCTCCTCCGTCCCTTAGCCCCTATCCCCCACACGGCACACCTGGCATCAGCTGGTGCGGGGTGGCTGGGCAGTCACAGCTCTGGTGTTTGTGTGGATGGGTCACGGGGTAACCGTCACCACCATGGCAGTCACTATCACGCAGCGCTGCTGCAGGTACCGTGTGCCCAAGCCCATGTCTTAGCCCGCTTCCCCCTTCCTCCTTCCCTTTTCTGCGTTTCCCCTTCCACTTTTCCCCTTCCACTTTTCCCCTTTCACATTGCACGTGTGCCCTCAGCTGGTGCGGGGAGGGCCGGGCAGTCACGACCCGGTGTTTGTGTCGGTGGAGCACCGGGTCTCCTTGCACTCAGCAGTGGCCATCACACAGCACTGCTGCCACCACTGCATGCTTGAGCCTTTGCCTTACCCCCCTTCCCCTCCCCCCTTTCCCCGTTCCCCCTTCCCCTCAGCTGGTGCGGGGAGGGCCGGGCAGTCACGACCCGGTGTTTGTGTCGGTGGAGCACCGGGTCTCCTTGCACTCAGCAGTGGCCATCACACAGCACTGCTGCCACCACTGCATGCTTGAGCCTTTGCCTTACCCCCCTTCCCCTCCCCCCTTTCCCCGTTCCCCCTTCCCCTCAGCTGGTGCGGGGAGGGCCGGGCAGTCACGACCCGGTGTTTGTGTCGGTGGGGCACCGGGTCTCCTTGCACTCAGCAGTGGCCATCACGCAGCGCTGCTGCAAGCACCGTGTCCCCGAGCCCGTGCGGTTGGCCGATGGGCTGTCCAGAGCAGAGCTGCGGGGAGTGACGGTGGTGGAAGCAGCGGTGGGTGGAGAGCATGTTGGAGCATTGGCAGAGCAGAGAGGCAATGGAGAAAGCTAGTGCTGCTTTTGGGCGAGTTGGAAGTTAGATACCGTAGCACCGCTGCAAGCACCACTGCAGGCTCCACGTGCCTGAGCCTGTGCGCCTGGCTGACGGGCTGTCTCGGGCAATGCTGTGGGGAGTAGTGGTGGCGACGGCAGCAATGGGTGATGAGCGCAGCGGATCTTTGGCAAACAACAGAGGCTTCGAAAAAGGCTAGCGGGTGTATGTTATTCGCCCTTGTGTACATTCTAATGCAATATCATGTTATATATGTACATGCATCTCCCGTACAAAATCTTCCTTCCTCCCCTACCATTAGAACCTCCTCCTCACATACGGAATGCCATGAGAACACTATACTAAAGTACAATCTCCAGCTGCCAGAGTGATCGATCGACAGGTGTCATACTCGTCCCCATGGCCACACACAGCTGTCGCATGCGGAAAGGGTTTCCAACCACCAGTGCCAGGACTGATCCCCTCGTAGAGCAGTAATGAGGCACAACTGAGGGCCTTCCAACCAGCTGTACCAGTGCTACTCTTCTCTTGACAGCACAATCTCCAACTGCCGGAGTGATCGGTCCACAGGCGTTACAGTCGTCCCCAAGCCAGCACACAGCTGGCGCATGCGAGCGTACAGCCACCGCCGCTCCTCCACACTCACATGCACGCTCGCCTGCAGCCGCCGAATGGCATTGGGGAAGAGGCTGATGCTTGTGAAGCGGCACGATACGGGGTGGAGGTGGAGGTGGAAGAGGAAGGAGAGGTCGTTGCGATACCCCTCGTCCACTCGGTAATCGTCGATGAAATCGCCGCAGCTGTACAGGATGGGCGCGCCGTGGTGGAATTCCACGCCCTGTATGTGGTGCGCGGACGTGCCTATAACGAGGTTGGCACCGCAGCGGTCGATGAGGGCGTGGGCGAGGCGGCGGATGGCAGGGCTGGGGTGCCAGGCGTAGTTGGGGCCCCAGTGCATGCACACCACTGCCAGGGTCCTTGCAGGAAGGCTGCTCGCTGCCTCTGCTGCTGCTTCTCGTGGTGGTGGTGGCGGTTGTACTGCTGCTGCTGCTGCTGCTGCGGCTGTTGCTGAAGCTGCTGCTGAGGGTGGCGGTTCTCCGGCAGTGCTCGTGTGAGTGCTATTTTTTGCCGCTGCCACAAGGCCAGCGATGCGGTGCAGGTCCGCATCGGTCACTCTGGGCACGGTGGAGAGCGGTGGCAGGGGAGACGAATGAGGAAGGAAAGGGTGAGAGAGAGAGACTGAGAGGGAATGAAAGAAGGGTTCTTAAGTGAGAAAGCGGAACGAAAGGTACAGGTGGAAAAAGATGAAAGGGCAAAGCAAGTGAAGCAATGCAACATAACGCTGTCAGATACCATTGAGAGAGGCATATGTCATGCGTGATCATGAGATTTTGTATGCAGCGTGAAGTATCTTAACCGACTTAAATGAACCCAGTTCCTACCTCTCAGGGTCTATCAGGTGGATTCCAGGCGAATCTTCAGTAGCCGCCCAGTACTTGAAGTGGTCGGCAGCACTGAACAGTGCCAGCTGGATGGGCGGCAACGAGCTGTTGCCACCGCGGAGCTGATTGCGGATTCAAGAAGCAGGATGGCAGGCAGAGTGTGGTGGAGAGAAGCAGGGGAAGAGAGGAAAAGAAGGGGGGAGAGGAGGGGGTTTGGGAGGAATGCAAAAACTGCTTAGCTCTGCTGACAAAAAACAAAAAGACCAATTCAATTCCAGGAACAACGTGACACGTGACATGCCACTGGGTTCCCGGACGCAGATGTGCGCACGCACACACACACACACCGTGATGAACGCCGGCGCTGATGCCTCAGCCAGATTCCGCCCACAGCCAGCGAATCGAGTGCCGACACGTGTCAGGCTCTCCATGGTCTCGCGCATGCCCTGCGCCTGAAAGTCCAGCACGTGGTTGTTGGCCAATGAGCAGAAGTCAATCCTGGGGGGTTGGTGGGGGGTTGGTGGGGGATTGGTTGGGGAATGGTGGGGGAATGGTGGGGGAATGGTGGGGGAATGGTGGGGGAATGGTGGGGAATGGTGGGGGAATGGTGGGGAAATGGTGGGGGAATGGTGGGGGAATGGTGGGGGAATGGTGGGGGAATGGTGGGGGAATGGTGGGGGAATGGTGGGGAAATGGTGGGGGAATGGTGGGGGAATGGTGGGGGAATGGTGGGGGAATGGTGGGGGAATGGTGGGGGAATGGTGGGGGAATGATGGGGGACTAGTGGGGGAATGGTGGGGGAATGGTGGGGGAATGGTGGGGGAATGATGGGGGAATGGTGGGGGAATGATGGGGGAATGGTGGGGGAAGGGTGGGGGAATGGTGGGGGAACGGTGGGGGAACGGTGGGGGAACGGTGGGGGAACGGTGGGGGAATGGTGGGGGAATGGTGGGGGAATGGTGGGGGAATGGTGGGGGAATGGTGGGGGAATGGTGGGGGAATGGTGAAAGCGGAATACACAAGGAGGGAGTCATGATCGAGAATGAGATGAGCCGGGGCACGGAGCGGATTCTTGTAGATATCACTAGCATGCCGAGACACTTTTCGGCATGCATTCATGTTGATAGGTTGAGAGGCCGTACCCAGCTACAGTGAGAGCATCGATGTTGACCGGGTGCATTCTGAAGTTGAACGCCTGATTCGGCCACTTGTCGCGATGACGTGTCACACTCGTTTCCAAATTTGCAATCCGGCAGTCAGCCGCCCGTAACAGCGGCAACCAGCCATCCCAGATGTACCCTGCTGACGTGTCTGCAGCTGCTGACGTGGTTGCAGATGAGCCCGCTGAAGTGTCGGGCCAGAAGCTTTCGGGTATGCGTGCAGTATCCTCGTCAGCACCTTGCTCTGCCTGCCATGCCTGATGCGAGGGCGAGGTTGGGTGAGGTGCAGTGGGTGAGTAGGGTGTCTTATAACAGAACGTGGGTAAGACGAGGTGCAGAGAAGTGAGGTGGAGAGCAGAGAGATACGAATGGAGAGGAGAGGGATTTGCAAACGTGAGGCGAGGGTGTGTGGCACGACGATCTCACAGCTGCAAGGGCAGAGGCGTGCTGGTCGATGTGCTCATCCGCGCTCCCAAGCACGGCCTTGCCTCGTCGCAGCAGCATGTGGCTCACCAGGCGACCCAGCATGCAGTCGCCCACCACCGCTATCGTCGTCGCCCGCGCGCCAGACGCTGCACAGATCGCCATGTCGCTCTCCTCTGACATCACTCGCTTCTGCTGCTGCTAGGTCGATTACTGAACCTAATGAACTATTATTTTCTGGTTAAGATTCCGCTCAGGTCAGTAAAATTACACGTGCAGCGCAACTGCTGCGAGACGTGCAATTCCCTCCACTTGCTTAGTGAGCGCACACTCGAAGTAAGTAACGTTTCTTCTCCTTTTCCCCTCCTACCCACTTACTACGCACTCAACCCCGCCCTCCTTGAACTGACGTAGACCTCTTGTGCTCAAGTTACCTGGCCACGTGCCATGGCGCCGTTTCCCCACACACTGAAGCATACACCCCTCAAAGCGGTACAGCATTCTTGCGCGGACAAGAAATGCTCCACAGGGGAACCAAATGTCGAGACGTTGATTGAGGGCGAACGGAACCCTGGAGTCTTCAGAAAAAAAGCTGCAACGGAAGTGACATCCAGGTGTTAGCGTGTAATGGCTTCACGTCATGCAACTAAAAGGAGAAACGGAACAAAACGAAAAAAAAATGGATGTCTGAACCCGGAATCGAACCGGAGACCTCCAGTGTGTGGGACTGACGTGATAACCGACTACACCATCCAGACATGGGTTTATTGACATGTAAAACGTATCTGTATAGAATGTTTAATTTATCCCACTGTTCAGGAAATTTGCTCAAGTCCCTTGGTGCTGAATACATCAACTCACATAACTGGTACGCACATTCCTAAACACCAAGTACTGGCATTACTATTATCCACCAGCTGCTCAGAACTACCTTAGCGAGGTAGCATCATTTGGAAAAGCTACCGTAGTTAGAATGTCAAATACAGATCCAGACACCGATTTACTGGAGAATGTTCTCAACCGCCTCGAAGACAAGAGGTGCCCACTCAGGACTTGGTGTCTTGATGGCACACTTCGTGCCAGCAACACCGAGCAAGAACGTGATCTCCAGAAGAATGGGGATGGACGGGGCCAGCTTTGCCGAAAGGTAAAGGATGTGTTGGTTGGTGTCCTTAATGTGTCGCTTCGCCACAAAGAAGACGTTGTTGGAGGCCAGCTTTTCTGAGACAGAGTCAATGTTCCCGATTGTTATGCCCAAATCACGGGATACCTCGTTGGAATCCGGAAGCGCCTTCCATGTCTGTGGATCAGGACAAGGGGCGTATGGAGATGAGTAAATTATCAAGACCCAACCCACCTCGACTGCCAGCCAACAGCAGCATTACATTTCCCAGCGAGAGCAATGCAAAAGAAAAACATTTTCGACCACACTTTGACATGCTCACCTCAAGGAACACTCCACGTTCCATGCGCCCTTCTTCAGTAAAGAATGCCTGCACCCTGATTTTGTCAGTGAAATACCAAACTGGCTGCTGATTGTTCTTCACCGCAACTTGGAGGACTGACGATGGAGGAGGAGGAGACGCGTTTTGAAAGAGGGTCAATGGCAGGTCAGCTGTTGCTGATGCACCTGGTTGCAGAGGTGGCACCTGCAATTAGGTAAACACACAAACATCAACACAAGACAAGACTACCAACGTCCAGCAAAGTCGATCTTGGATACATGTCTTACAGGTAAAACGCCAGCTGGAGCAGATATGCCAAAGGAGTTTTTATTCAGCTGCATCATAAAGCCATCCAAAGATGTGCTGGAGTTGTTGTCAAGCTTGACACGGTAAACCACCTGGCCATCCTTGCGCTCCAGTTGACCATTGATCTGCAGCCCTTGCCCAGCTGACGCTGCTAGAAGAACTGGAAGAGAAGGTCTGCATGAAAAACAAAGTCGATTAGACAACCAGCCCAGTATGACAACTGAACAGGAACATCCAGGAGCTACATGTGGAAAGCAGAGAAAGCCTTACCCAGAAGGCGCCTCAGGCACAGGAACTATGGCAGCATCCAGACCCATAAGGTCACCAAGAAGGTCAGGTGGGGCAGAAGCAGCTGCAGGAGCAGGAGCAGCAGGAGCAGGGGATGGAGCAGGAGCAGCTGGTGGTGCAGCTGAAGGAGGAGCTCCTCCTGAAACAGGAGCAGATGACTCTTCATACTCTTCAGACGGCTCAGTTGCTGATGCTGGCACAGCAGAGCGGAGACGAGAGACAAAGGCTGAAGGAGGCTTCTGATAGACAGACGACAAGGTTGCAATGTTTCTAAGGAGTTCAGCCAGCAAATCTGGGTCTAGCCCGGAAACCTCGTCACTGATAGTTGGCTTCTCTGCAAGGACGATGTCTTTTGCTGCTTCAGGGTCGGTCGAGAGAAGCCTCCAGTACACATAAGCACGATCTCGAAGGTCAGGATTGTCCGTCTCTTGGGTTGCGTTGTTGAGAACCGTCTGCAGAACAATAAGAAGCCTCAGTAACATTAACAACAAAAGCTGCAACATACAGCGAACCAAGACTGGAACCGACTTTCCTGAATCATCTGTTGTGGCCCCTCTGTTGGCTTCTTCAAGAAGAGCTTTACTGCTGCTGTCAACAATTGCAGCTGAACCTGTGAGGGCTCCTCCAAAAAGGTTTCCAAGAAACCTTCCAAGAGTTCATCGGCATTGTCAATACGCTCAGCATACTCTCCAATGATCCATATCATCGACGCCTGCATAATGCAATGACCACGTGAGATGCGATGCACCAAGTTGCATTCAACAAAAATCATGACGAATAGCCATCTGTACCTTCGCCTCTGGTTCATCCAGGTTGTCTAAGCTTTCACAGAGTGTTGCGATAATGGATTCATACCTGCTCGAATAGGCAGCATGAATAACCAGTTATTAGTGGGTGTATGACAAACAAGTCACCCAACATTAAATTGCTTCACTTACGTGTTCGGATATCTGCGGAAAATGTCCTTGATCACAACAATCGCCTCTTGGACGACGTAATTGACCTTGATCTTGATAAGGTCCAAGAGGACATTGATGCATCGCTCTGCAGCCTTCTCAAGCTTGATGGCACACCGGCCGATAGCACGAACAGCTTTCCTAACGAAGTCCACATCCACCTCAGTTGCATACTCCTTGAACTCGAGCAGCACCTGACAGCCAGATTCACGAATTAATGCTAAGTACACTGACTGTAACTACATGGATAGCGAGACAAAAAAATGAAAGCAAATACCTGATCAATGTTTCTTTCAGATGCGAGGCGAATCATGATCTCAAGCTTCTCCATCTTCACGTAAATAGGGTCATTATACTTGCAAAAGAAAACCTAAAGAATGACGCAAGGAATTAGTGGGAGTACTTCACCAGCAATACTTAGGACTTCTCAACTGGCTTCACAAACCTTGATTTCATGTGCAAGAATCGATGGCCGCTTTTGCACGACGAGGTTGATGTTTCGCAGAGCCACATACTGAATCTCAGGCTCTGACGAAAGAAGCGTGACCATCGGAGGTGCCATCTTCTTGCTAAGGTTCCGTATCAGGTCAGTGCTTGTGATAAGTTCCATTTGCAACAAAATGACCTGATCAACGCAGCGTACATTTTGAGAACTTCGTTCATAACCAGGCAGAAAGAGAGACTTAGCGCGACAACAAGGACCAGAAAACGCACCTTAACAGCAGAAAGGACAACGGCTGAGTTCGCATGCTGCAAGCGAGGAGTAACGCGTTCCACAATCCCCTCGGCTTCACGAGCATCACGTGCTTTGTATTTGGAAAGTGAATCCAAGATGAAAACCTGTCCCCACCTGAGGTCACGGCACAAGTCGCTCGTTAGACTCATGAGCAACTTTGCAGTCGGATACGAAGCTTATAGAGAAAACACTCACTCGGTACACTCGTTCAGTGCAGCAAGCAGTTTGAAGACTGTATTAGGCGTGATGTCGAAGACAGGCTTGCTGCTGCCTTCTTGAATTTCGGACAGAGCGGCAACTGCGTTGGCCACTACCATGGGATTGCTGTCAGAGATCATATCCCGCAGAATGTCTAGAAAACCACGATCCTCGACCAGCTCTGCGTTGATGTCGTGGAGCTTGGCCACACAGATTGCTGCGGTCTTCCGAACGTACGGGTCGTCGTCCTGAAAAATAGGAGAATAATGTTTGTTAGGGCAACCAAACCTCAGTTACAGAGGTCATCATAACGTTGGCGTGTACCTTCAGGCATCGCTGCAGTGGGTCACACAGGTACTCCGTGATACGATCAACCCTAATGCAACCCATTGTTCGCACCGCCAAGGCCCGAATGAGCGGATTCGGATCTTGCGAGTCCTGGAGAAAAGAAATGTCAGTGGCTAGCTGAAAGGGCGCTACACCAAGGAAATTCGATAATTGAGGTGTTAGGCACCTTCACAAATGTGTTGACGGCGAGGATGGCAAGATCCGGCTGGCTCTTGGCATAGTTAATGAGGTACAGATAGACAAGCTTCTTCAGCTCCAGGTTCTCAGTCTGCATGCAGTTCACAACATCTGTGAACAGCATGGACACGTCCTTGCCTACAGTCATGGCTGCAATGACCTTCTTGACCGCATCCTTCCTCTTCTCCTGCAACACATATCCACAAATCGTATTTCAATGCTACGCTCATCAACCTACATCTGCATGATAACCAAAGATCGACTACGCCATGGTCCATAGAACAATCCTGGTTTCAAGACGGCACCTTGTACGGAGAATTTAGCTCCTCTTTCAATTCATGAATCTCGCCCTTCTTTGTTGTCGTAAAATATTTCGAATCGTGGCCGCTCATGGCTATAGCTTCTATGTAACCTGCTGCTGGAAGAACGACGGTCTAGGCGACAGCAGCCAGAACAGAGAAATCTCCTAGCTATTTGTGCCTGAAGCGGATCTGACTCCAGGAAGTTCACCAACATGAAGCAGGAGGTGGATGCGCACGAAAGTGGTGAAACGGCTCGCTGGCGAGAAACAGAAAGCATGCGAAAATCGCTGAAGTGTGACCAGCAGAAGGTATGTAACGGGTATGAAATTTGGACGTTCTTACTTACAATGCCCTTACATACAGGAACTGTTCAAGCTTTACCTTGAATGGATTTCGTGGAAAAATCACGCGTTCAGATTCATCAAAAACTACATATACTCTACGAGTTGATTAATACTGCTATTCATATGTGTGGTTATGCTAGAACACCTTTAACATTATTGAGGAGATTAACTAATTTGGGCTGCTCCAATTGCTAGAGACAAGACTCGACGTTAACGTCGGAAGGGTTGCGTAGGCGTTACTTATTTCAATAGAAAGATATCAGAAAAATGCACTATACTATATGAAGCAACAAATATGTTCCTATTTATAACGGGATTCTTATTTCCTAATTACAAAATACGATAAACATTATTTTCTCGCGTTTGAGCGTTAGTTAATGGGACTGATTTAGAGATTGATATTCTACTTGTTCTAATCATTTTTTTAAAGGTGTGTGTTTTTACCTACATCTGATTATTTGCAACATCATAGTTGGTTTAGTGAGTTTGTTTATTTGCAGGTAACTCTGATGTTCGCGGATGGCGTGGTCACACGCGTGTTGTCACGTGATACAGTTCCAAATTCAATGTGTTGCGCTTTTTTTGTCACGTGCCCGTGAATTTAGCTTGCAATTCGCCGCATCATCATTACAATGTACGCTTATTTTAAAACCCATTTCTTGCCTGGTTTTGCTCTGGCAGAAAAAAACCTTGCAAGCGCCACACATTCCCAACCACTCTTTTTTTGCCAGCGCCTCAGATCCTTCCGTTCTCCCGCTGTCAACTCAAATTCTCCGCTGACTTGGATTCTTGAATTTGAGCACCTGCCCTACTCTGCTCCCTCTGCCTGTCACTTTGGTACTGTGCGCTACGTTCCGTTTCCCTTCCCAGCTGTCAATTCGAACTCCTCCTCCTGCTCTCTCTGCCATTTTCTCCCAACCCACCATCGCCCATCCTCTTGTCTAGCTATCATCCAGCTATCGCATTTTACTAACACCTAGCCGTCGCCTCTCCCTCTTATCCCGTAGTCGCCCCTCCCTCCTACCCTGCCGTCCCAATTCCCTCCCATCCCGCCGCCACCTCTCACCCCGTCATCGCCTCTCACTCCCACCCCCCTGTCGCCTCTCCCTCACTCCCCGCCATCGCCACTCCCTCCTATCCCGCCATCTCCACTACCTCCCACCCCGCCGTCGCCACTCCCTCTTATCCCGCCGCCGTCTCTTCTCCCATCCGGCCGCCGCCTCTCCCTCCTCCCCGCCGTCGCCTCTCCCTCCTCCCCGCCGTCGCCTCTCCCTCCTCCCCGCCGTCGCCTCTCCCTCCTCCCCGCCGTCGCCTCTCCCTCCTCCCCGCCGTCGCCTCTCCTTTCCTCCCCGCCGTCGCCTCTCCCTCCTCCCCGCCGTCGCCTCTCCTTTCCTCCCCGCCGTCGCCTCTCCCTCCTCCCCGCCGTCGCCTCTCCCTCCTCCCCGCCGTCGCCTCTCCTTTCCTCCCCGCCGTCGCCTCTCCCTCCTCCCCGCCGTCGCCTCTCCTTTCCTCCCCGCCGTCGCCTCTCCCTCCTCCCCGCCGTCGCCTCTCCCTCCTCCGCGCAGTCGCCTCCTTCACTCCTCGTCGTCGCCTCTTTTCCCCTCCCCGCCGTCGCCTCTCCCTCCTCCCCGCCGTCGCCTCTTTTCCCCTCCCCGCCGTCGCCTCTCCCTCCTCCCCGCCGTCGCCTCCGGCGGCAGGTGCACGAGCGCAAGCGCGAGTGTTGGTGCGCGAGCGCGGGTTCCCTTCCCCCACTGAATTCTCCTCCCCCCCTCCCTCCCCTCTTTTTTGTTTTGTTTGCTCTCTTCGTAAAGTTTTTGTGTAGATTGGTCTCCTCTCGCATTGCACTTTCATTTGAAGAAGGGGAGAGACGGAGCGCGAGGGAGAGCATGTACACGGGAGCGAACACGCAGAAAAGCGCGCGTGAGAGTGCGCGTGAGAGAGCGCATGAGAGAGCGCACGAGAGAGCACGTGAGGGAGCGCGTGAGAGAGCACGTGAGGGAGCGCGTGAGAGAGCGCGTGCGAGTGAGAGTGCTCCTGAGAGTGCGCGTGATAGAGCGCGTGAGAGAGCGCATGCGCGTAAGGGAGCGCGTGCGCGTGAGAGAGCGCGTGCGCGTGAGAGAGCTCGTTAGAGTGCGCGTGAGAGAGCGCGTGAGAGTGCGGATGAGAGTGCGCGTGAGGGAGCGCGTGAGAGTGCGAGTGAGAGTGCACGTGAGAGTGCACGTGAGAGTGTAAGTGAGAGTGCGCTTGAGTGAGTGCGTGAGAGAGAGCACGTGAGGGAGCACGTGGGAGAGCGCGTGGGAGAGCGCGTGAGAGAGCGCGTGAGACGCGTGAGAGAGAGCGCGTGAGAGAGAGCGCGTGAGAGAGCGAGTGAGACGCGTGAGAGAGTGCATGAGAGTGCGCGTGAGAGAGCGCGTGAGAGAGCGCGTGAGAGAGCACGTGAGGGAGCGCGTGAGAGAGCGCGTGAGAGAGCGCGTGAGGGAGCGCGTGAGAGAGCGCGTGAGAGAGTGCATGAGAGAGCGCGTGAGAGACGCGTGAGAGAGCGCTTGAGAGAGCGCATAAAAGCGCGCGCGAGAGCGCACGTGAGAGAGGGCGTGAGAGAGGGCGTGAGAGAGCGCGTGAGAGTGCGTGAGAGAGCGCGTGAGAGAGAGCGTGAGAGAGCGCGAGAGGGAGCGCGTGAGAGAGAGCATGAGAAAGAGGATGAGAGGGCGCGTGAGAGAGCGCGTGAGAGAGCGCGTGAGAGAGCGCGTGAGAGTGCGTGTGATAGAGCGCGTGAGAGAGCGCATGAGAGAGTGCGTGAGAGACGCGTGAAAGCGTGCGTGAAAGCGTGCGTGAGAGAGCGCGTGAGAGAGCGCGTGAGAGAGCGCGTGAGAGAACGCGTGAGAGAGCACATGAGAGAGCGCGTGAGAGAGCGCGTGAGAGAGCGTGGAGAGAGCGCGTGTGAGAGCGCGTGAGAGACGCGTGAGAGACGCGTGAAAGCGTGCGTGAGAGCGCACGTGAGAGAGGGCGTGAGAGAGCACGTGAGAGAGCGCGTGAGAGAAAGTGTGAGAGAGCGCGTGAGGGAGCGCGTGAGAGCGTGTGAGAGCACGTGAGAGAGACCTGAAAGAGCAGGTGAGAGAGCGCATGAGAGATTGCGTGAGAGAGTGTGTGAGAGAGCGCGTGAGAGAGTGCGTGAGAGTGCGTGAGAGAGTGCGTGAGAGAGTGCGTGAGAGAGTGCGTGAGAGAGTGCGTGAGAGAGTGCGTGAGAGAACGCACGAGAGAGCTTTATGAGCACGCTGGGGCATATGCACTAGCATCTATTCTGCTGGTGCTTGGGCAGCTGGGACTACTTATGCAAACGAGTGTCGCTTTCTGCACTAGTTTTTAGTGTGTCGGCTTCTAAGGTGTTTGCTTCTCTGTTTTTGCTGTGTGCAGGCCGTGTGTGTGTTTGCTTCTCTGTTTTTGCTGTGTGCAGGCCGTGTGTGTGTTTGCTTCTCTGTTTTTGCTGTGTGCAGGCCGTGTGTGTGTTTGCTTCTCTGTTTTTTCTGTGTGCAGGCCGTGTGTGTGTTTACTTCTCTGTTTTTTGCTGTGTGCAGGCCGTGTGTGTGAACTTCTCTGTTTTCGCTTTGTGCAGGGCGCGTGAGCTGAGAAGGGAGATGAGGGAGGGAGTGGGAGGGAGATGAGGGAAGGAGGGACGGAGGGGTGTAGGGAGGGTTAAGGGAGATCAAGGTAGCGATGGTTTATTAATTGGTGAACTTCATTGGCTATGCTTGCATGCTTAGTATTAGCTGTATGTTTCTGCGTGTTTTTCTCTCTGCGTATGTGTGTGCGTACATGTAGGCTATGTAGTTGTGTGGCTCTGTTTCGGGGTGAGTGCTAAGTGCCTCGTGTATACAATTGCGGCTGTGATCGTTGGTGGGGCAGCTTTGGTTGCCTCTTCCATACCAGATCAATCGCAGTTGCATTAACGATGCATTCTAGCATTAGCTTCGAAGCACTCACAACTGGTGTTTCTCGTTTTTGTACAAGTTCGTGTGCTGTCGTTTGGGTCTGTTTTGGGGTGGTGCTAAATGCATCATGTATGCAACATGGGTTGTCATCGTCGGTGGGGCAGCTTTGCTCGCCTTTTCCGTACCATATCAATCTCAGTTGCAGCATTGATGCATTTAGTGTTTGCCTCGAAATGTTCATGATTTCAGCATGTGGTTTTTGTACACGTTCTTGTCCAACCAATTGTTCCATTACTATGGAATTATTGGTTACATTTGGTTTCACATTTTTGGGGCAACTAAAAAGTTGAACAGTATTTTTTCCCAAACGGGCAGGGAAAAATCACTGTTCACGGTCAGTTCCCCAAAAAGTGAAACCAAATGTATAAGGTTGCTACGCAACCCAAAAACCAACTATGGTTCATATGGCATCACCTCTGCCACCTCTCTGTTCACCTAGTCTGGTCAGAAGTTCAGAAAACGAACTTCGCGGGCGAAGACGTTTTTTCCGCTGCCCACGTCCTCACTTTCGCCCCCGATGGTGCTACACACCATGGTGTCGATGGCGACGTGGGTAGTGGCGATAAGGACAAACGCTTCTCAATTGGGGTGGCGGAGGCGACGACGGGAGGCGAGGGGATCGAGGAGCAACTGGGGCAACGACACATGCGCGTGACGTCGGCTTCAGCTAGTGATATACGGAAGATCGCGAGTGATGGTTGAGCACGTGACGAGGGGAGGAGTGCGCGTAAAGGGTGGAAGCGCGCGTGACGAGGGAAGGATAGCGCGTAACGAGGGGAAACGCTCGTGACGAGAAGGCACGTGCGCGGTGCAGCGGAAATGCGCGTGACGAAGGGAATCGCGCGTGACGAAGGGAAACGCGCGTGACGAAGCGTCACGCGGGTGACGAAGGGTGGCGCATGACGAGGGGAAGAACGGAATCCCGGGCAGGCGCGAGTGAATAGGGCAGGCGCGAGTGACGAGGGTAGGCGCGAGTGACGAGGACAGGCGCGGGTGGCGAGGGAGAGCGCGGATGACGTCGCGCGCTAAACGTGGGGTAGCATTGTGAAGCACTCGTTTGTGACTCACGTTCCGTGTGAGTGACGCTAAAATGTATGTAAATATCGTGTGTGACACTAGGCTTGTGCTGTCCAGCTATTGGCGAGACAGCATGAGTGACGCGAGTTGCCGTAAAAAACGCGGTCAGGGGAACTAGCTGATGCCGCACTGGCTTTCTACTTACGCGAGGGACTAGGCCGATCATTACGACTAGGTGCTCAAGATATGTGAGAGCCAAACAGTGGGCCAACCTGAGCGACGTTCGGTTCTGTTTTGCGATTGTGCACAAAAGCCAATGAGCAGAGAGTGTCGCTAGGCGTTGTCCCAGAGTCGCGAGAGTTTCCTCAAACAAAGTAGGGTAACCCTGTTTTTGACGATTTCAAGTTCAAGAATCTTGAACTTGAAAATAACCATGCTGTACTCGGGCTTTAACTTATAGAGTCACTGCCAAACGGTACGGTACACGTCGTAGCCCGATTTCACGACGTGAAGCATGGGATGGAACCGTAAAATTTAGACATCGCTGCGCCCTAACCATATTTCGCCTGACAACCTGAATGTTAGAGCGTATTCCTATCCTCGTATCAAGAAAACCTCATATCAACCTCCCACTGAAAATTCCCCTAAACCCAAAACCTCTCGCTACTTTTACCAGGCAAAAAGTACAATCTTGATATGAGGTTTTCTTGATACGAGGATAGGAATACGCTCTTATTGCATATTCCGGTGGCTCATTTTCAAATACCTACCGTACCAGAGCATTTTGAGCTTGGTTCGTGCTCAAAGAAAAGTTTGGCGCCTACGATTCCGACTGTTTTTGCCGACAAATGCTTAGAAAGCGCAAGAATCCTCATAGGCGTATGAAAAAGCATTCAACAATCTGAATGTTATCGCATATTCGAGTGGCTCATGTTCAAATACACCTATTAGAGCCTTTTCGGCTTGGTTCTTGCGCAAGGAAAAGTTCGGCGCCTATGATTTCGGCTGTTTTTGCCGACAAATGCTTAGAAAGCGCATGAATCCCTATAGGCGTAGGGAAAAGCATTCAACAATCTGGATGTTATTGCATATTCGAGTGGCTCATGTTCAAATACACCTATAAGAGCCTTTTCGGCTTGGTTCTTGCGCAAGGAAAAGTTCGGCGCATATGATTTCGGATGTTTTTGCCGACAAATGCTTAGAAAGCGCATGAATCCCGGTGGTACTGGAGGTACTGGAGCTGCTGGAGCCGGTGGTACTGCAGGCGCTGGAGTTGGAGACCCTGGAGCTGGAGGCGCTGGAGCTGGAGGTACCGGAGGTGCTGGAGCTGCTGGTCCTGGAGGTGCTGGAGGTGCTGGAGCCGCTGGTCCCGGAGGTGCTCGTACTGGAGGTACTGGAGCTGCTGTAGCTGGAGGTGCTGCAGGCGTTGGAGCTGGAGGCGCTGGAGCTGGAGGTACCGGAGGTGCTGGATCTGCTGGTCCTGGAGGTGCTGGAGGTGCTGGAGCCGCTGGTCCCGGAGGTGCTCGTACTGGAGGTACTGGAGCTGCTGGAGCTGGTGGGGCTGCAGGCGTTGGAGATGGAGACCCTGGAGCTGGAGACCCTGGAGCTGGAGGTGCTGGCCCTGGGGGTGCTGTTGCTGTCGGTGCTGGTTCTGGAGGCACAATGCGGCCGCGACCGTACTTCGTTCCACTGCTTCAGCAGGTTCTTGATCTCCCGTCTTCTACTGGCCTTACTCCTCCCTTACTGTGTCCACCGCCTGACCAGTCGCAGCCGCAGTAAGAGCCAACCTCCCCACTGCCTGCTCCTTCTCCTTACACTGAGCAGACAGGAGATCTTACAGAGCGTCGTGAGCCTGCGTCTCGTACTGCGTCGCCTGTTCGCGCTGTTCGCACTGGTCGCCGTGTTCCTCGTCAGCGTCCTCCTCCTGTCCCCGGCACGCACCCTATGGCACTTCGTCCTTCCTCTGTTCCACATCGTGTCCCTCTGCCGTCTCCTCCTGCGTCCTCTCTTCCTGACGTTCCTGACCCGCCGTCCGACCTTGCTCGTGCTGCCAGTCCTACTATCACACGTCTTCTAGCCACTGTTGTCACTGACCCTTCGTTTGAGTTCACTGCTGCGTCTGCCCTAGTTGCTGAGCTTGTTGACTTTGCTGCCGCCTGTCGTCTCGACTATGCCGCTAGTCTTGTTGCTGAGTCTGAGTCTGCCTGTCCTCCGTCCGTCGGGGGTGAG